GTGAGTAGAGAGTTTGTCGTGGATCTGGGTGAATTTGGAAGGGATTAATTTACAATTTTGAGGTCATTGTAGGGTGGCGTTGGAGACATCGTAAGGAGCGTTAAGTATAATTCTAAGAATTTTGGGTTGGAACAATTGAATTCGTTGGATGTTGGTAGGTTAGTGGTGCCCAACAGTTCTAGTCCATATGTCCAAATCGGTTTCTGGACAGTGTTAGTTTGTTTTTTGTCGACAAATTAGATTTGTGTCCGAGTAGTTTATAGAGTAGTCCGAATCGCCTGCTCAGTTCCTGTCCTTTTATTTGGATCTAAGAAGTAAGTATTCAATTTACACTGATAGAAGCAAATGTAATGACCAGGTTGGCTGAGCCGCCATAGTTTATAAACAAGATGAAATGTTAGCTGAATTGCAATATCGATTGCGCGTTGTTCGACTAACCAGGCCGAACAGCTTGCCATTTTAATGAAACTTAAATGAGTTGGTGACTATATTTCTACAGAGCCACTGCATAGACTTGGACAATATTTACCGATAGGCAAATAAGTCTAGAAAGTTTGAAAAATAACAAAAACCATCTTCCCTTGGTTGAGAGCGCTAGAAAACTTCAAGATTTACTGCAGTTCAACAAAGGTGTGGAGATCCGCTTTTGCTGGATTGAAGGTCACGTTGCACTGAAAGGAAACGAAGCTGCAGGCTTGTTAGCTAAACAAGCTTCTAAAACATATAGTAAGCCACCTAGGTCTTATTCAGTTGCTGGGAGTCTAATTGGGCAGTAAACGGGGCTCACATCAAGAAGTTTTTTCCAAATGTAGCAAGCCGACGAGCAAAGCCCCCTGGCTAAAGTGAACAGGGCATATTTGTGCAGGATGAATATTCTACCTCATCCCTACTGTACCTATGACAGGCTTTCACCCCAAACATGGAAGCATATATTGTTTAACTGTCTAAACTTCGAGAAACAAACTTCGAGCATGTGCCTTAAAGGCATCGCCTGGCCATTGGACGACCTATCGTATTAATGAGCAACGAAGACGTGTGTGAAGAACTCATGAAGTTTATAAAAACTATTGATATTCAAACTTATTTTTAAAAAATATATAAAAAAATGTTTTGTAACTAATTGTAAAAATTAATAATAGACAATGATTATTTGGAGATCGTGAGGTGCGTTCTGGTGTGACGTAGGTTTTAGAAAAACATTTTCTTTATCATGCCAACGTTTCGATCTTCATTGAGATCATCTTCAGGGCCTGGGATTTATAAACATTGTTTACATTTTACAAATACATGTAGGATGTGAAAAAATTAATGCGTACAATGCTAGAAAATTTTAGTTTAAAAAAAATTGAATTTATACAATGCTAAAAAAAATTTTAAATGAATAAAATAGCATTGGATAAATTCAATTTTTTTAAATTATCATCATATTATCATTGGCTAACGGTTACTAAGCTCCACACAATAATAAAAAAAATTTAAAAATAATTAAAAGTAATAAAAAAACTATATTATTATAAGGAGTCAAATAGTCACTGTTTTAGTTCATCAATATAAAGAGGGAAAAATACCATAATAGATATCTATAATCATTGCTTTGCATAAGATATATATGTAATATCTAAATAGAGCATATATCAATAAACTTCCTGGCTTTAGGGATACTTTCGGCTGGAAAAAAAAACACACATAAGCACACCTTTAATCGTTTACACCGGACACCGTGAGTTTCATGGTCAGTTTTGCGCTGATTTGCACTGTTATGCAATGGCCTCTCCCAATTCGCAGGAATGTGAGCCAAGAATTATTTAAATTAATTATACTTCATCGCAAAACATTGACGTCAGAATTTCGTCGATGTTTATCAAAGGGTTTTTGTAACCGTTCATATTTATTATCTTATTTTTGTTTGCAAACTTGGACAAATGTTCTGATAAAACATAGTGACGATTTGTTGTTTAAGAAATTGTTCTGATCTTCAAGAAAATTGCTCATAATGAAATCGTTAGTTTTCGAAAAGAAGTGTGTACGAAGGAAGGAGGGCCGGAAAAGGCACTGCGAGTTGGTTGGAAGTTCGAACCACCCCCTTCACCATTCCTAATCGTTTTCATAATGATAATAATGTGACCCCACGTTTGAATAAATGTACTTATCAAATTAACAACAAACTTTGCTGCTCAGAACTATCTGTTGCAAATCTTTGGAATAGGATCCCTTTCATATTTCAGGGTCAGCTCAAGAAATGGGATTTATTTGTGGTTCAGTATTACGTAATAAACACAACAATTAACTCTAAGAAAATAAGCTCTTCAAACCGTTTTGTTTTTTAAAAACTTTTTTTAACATTTGGATTGTACTTCTTCCAGGACAGTAAAAGACGTGTTTTTTAAAAAACCTGTTTTAATATCTGAATTGTGCTTCTCTCAAGACGGTAAAAAACGGGTTTTTTTTTCAAAAACATTTTTTTTTTTATATCTGGATAGTACTTCTCTCAAGACAGAAAAAGACGTGTTAGGGGCGTCGGTGGCCGCAAGGTTTAGTCATTGACACGGCGCTCATCTCTGTAAGGTAAAGGTCCCGGGTTCGAATCCAGCGGCCCTGAATTCGAACCCGACTTACTTACAAATGGGCTTTTTTTCAAAAACACCGGCACCCTGAGGGTTTATATGACCTCTGCTGTTGCAAACCCTCGTAAAAAAAAAAAAAAAAAAGACGTTTTTTAAAAACATTTTTATGTCTGGATTGTATTTCTCTAACGACGGTAAAAGACGTGTTTTGTAAAAACTTTTTTACTATCTGGATAGTACTTCTCTCAAGACAGAAAAAGACGTGTTTTTTAAAAACTTTTTTAATGTCTGGATTGTATTTCTCTAACGACGGTAAAAGACGTGTTTTATAAAAACTTTTTTACTATCTGGATAGTACTTCTCTCAAGAAAGAAAAAGACGTGTTTTTAACAACGTTTTTAATGTCTGGATTGTATTTCTCTAACGACGGTAAAAGACGTGTTTTTTTAAAAACTTTTTTAATATTTGTATTGTAATTCTCTTAGGACGTTAAAAGACGTGTATTTTAAAAACTTTTTTTTTTTAATATTTGGATTGTTCTTCTCTTAGGAAAACAAGACATGTTTTTAAAAATGTTGTCAACTTTTTTTTTAACCGTTTAGTAATGATTATTTGGAGATGCGGTCTGGTGTAATGTAGGTTAGAAAACATTTTCTTTATCGTGGCAACGTTTCGATCTCTATTGAGATCATCTTCAGAGAGTAATGATTGTTTTATATGTACGTGTTATGTGAGTGTTATATGTACGTACTGATATTGAATTTGATTTATGATATTAGCGTAGCTGCGGCTGGGTTTAAAATGTTGCACAGCATTTCGTGTAATGGAATGGACATTTTGGTAAACATTCTCTCTGGGAGCTGTGGGGAACGGTTGGTATAACGCTACATACCTTCACGAATCCTTTCAGAGATTGTATAATGGCGTCACACACTTCATGGACAATCTGTGATACAGCCTATGTGATATCCTAAGAGTGTACAATAAGGTGAACGGTTCTCCACCTCCCAGATAACGCAGTCACTGCCAGTCTCAGAGATGGTGGAATGATTTCTAGAAATCTGTTTTCTTTTTTCCGCCTAAAAGCTTAAGCAATTCTTCAAAAGGAAAATATGGGGGTCAAACGGGGGAATTTTCGGAAACCCATACTATCTTCCAATTGAAAAGTTGAACGTATGCTGCAACCACAAGGTCCCTCCGTAAAAAGTCCTCGTTTTCACCAACGTCTCTTCTTTCGCTTCTCTTCACTGTGTATGATTATCAATGCTCAAGCCGCGACCCCAACAAGATCAGCCGTATTTAGTAACTTACGAGGAACACGGCATTCAAGTGTGTACATATGACAAAGTCTCCAGACTGTCTACATGTCTATTAAGAACACTCTGGATCAAGGTATGGTCTTGAAGAAGAAGAAAGCAAATTTAGTTGCTAATGCTTTCGAGCTTTTGTAAGGTCATCAGGCCAAAGCAAACTTAAATATGTCTACAGATTGACATATTTTAGTTTTTTTACAGGCGACCTCAAATTTCCTTAAGACGATTCAGTCCCAACATTGCCAAGGACTGTCCAACACTGTTACAGTCCTTGTCAAAAAAAATTAATTATTACGTATTAATCTTTAGACATATTTAAGGTTGCCCTGTTGATGATCTTAAAATAGGCCGAAAGCTTGGCATTAGTAACTAATTTTGCTTTCTCCTTCTTCAAGACCATACCTTGATCCGGAATGTTCATAAGTGAAAAAGTGGTCGATACTTCTAATTCTGAATAAATACATGTTTATTGTCTGTTCCCATATAGGTCTCTAGACAATCGCTCGACTTTGTATACAACTTTGTATAAGGCCTAAGACTTAAGATCTATTCAACGGTCCATAACTGTAAAAATCAATGAAAATTTGCTCCTAAATTCGAATAACTCGATATTTTTCCATCAACATTCAAAAACCGATCTTCAATTCTAAGTTACTTAAACATTGATATTCAAATGATTCCAATCGTACACTACAAAACATTTAAAAAAGTATCGCGTAAAATAAAATCGTTCCTATTGACGTTGGATTTCACAGTACCTAAAAATGCATTTTATATAATCGATAACCAAGTAGGATCGACGGTTTTCTTCCACTTTTCCCAAAAAATTAATTGTCATTGAAGCTGTTTGTTTAATGTTTATCCGGAATAATGTTTTTCCCCTCTGTTGTAAAAATTAAAGTGGATGCGCAACCATCGCGCTTAGCAGGAAGGCCGTCCGGGATAATCTAATTGAAGTAGGTAAGGGGTGAGAATCAAAGTTCATTCATAGAACTCGTCAAAATTTTATGTTTCCTAGTTTACACGAATTTTCTTACACGTTGCAACTCGTAAAGAAGTAAGTTTTGTCATTTCTAATCCTACAAAATCTTTCAAGACAATATCAAATTTGAAAAAAAAATACCTTTAAAATTTCTTTGTGGTCTATGACTTGAGCTGTTTCCACTTCGATCACTAAATTTGTCAAAGCTGATAAGCTGCGACTGTTGGACGAAAAACAGAAAAACAGAGAAACAAAGAAGGGTCCCAAGCTAAAAAATCCCGGTTCGTTCTGCGAACCCGGAGTTTCATACACCACGACCGTTGTGTGATAAAATAAATGTGATATTGAAAATAAAAACGTTTATCAACATTAGTATATTATCAACTATAGCAACTGCGATAACCTTTTGAAAAGTGCAAATTATGCTTTATTTGCCTATAGAAACAATGTTTAACTCATTGATTAATTATTTTTTGATTTTAAAAAAATTTATCTTTATGACATCCGTATATTGTTTTTTCTTTTCTAACGGCAACGTTGTTTAAGGAGAAAAATAATTTTGTTAATTTTAAAGATAAAAGCAGCCTGACTATTTCGCATAACTATTCTTTTGGTTTGTAAATTCTGAAATTAGATGTATTCCAACGTGGAATTTAATAAATAATAAAATACCTAAAGATAGGCTCAAATTAAGTAAACATGACGCAAATGAGCTGTTAAAGCATCCCACTACACTCGAAACAACCTAGCCTTCACTTTTTGGTATTTTAATTTAAAATAATATTAAAAAAACCTCTCCAAATATTTACCCGAAGTTAAATGTTAAGATGGTAGTCATACAATGTCGCTATCGAGGGGAGAAAAACTGTCAAAAATGAGACGTACACCTAAATTGAGGTCAGGGAGACCATCACTAAATCACCATTAAAGATATAATGAGCTGATCAGAGAAAACATCACGGAATATCATAAAAACGTCTGACTCGCTGATCTTGTAGAATTGGTCGCTTATCAAAGCAGATAAATCGAAGAGATAGAAGCCAAATCAGGACGCCTTTAGAATCACCTTGGCTAGCAAGTGCTGTGAGGGGTATGGTATGGTGATAAGGATACTAGGCAGCAGGGTTTGTACTCCCCAGGCACTGCAGCCTTCTGGCTTATTGTACCTTCCTAGTTCCTTAGTTCAGTGCAATAGACTCTATCCTACTCCTTAGAAGTATCAGGTCATTGGCTGTCGATTCTACACTTTCATTCCTTAAGTTTTTTCGTATGTTAGGTTGAATCTCCATTGAGCTATTGCTTCGAAGATGATATGGGTGGCTGTTTCTTCCTCCTCATTACATAATCTGCAGATGGGATCATCTTTGTATATGCCCATGTTTGTAGATGTTTCCTCAGATGCCAGTGACCGGTTGGTAGTCCTACCACTCCTCTGAGTTTGGCCCTCTCCAATTGCAGCAGTGCTTTTGCCAGTCTTGGTGAGGGTTGTTTCATCAAAAGTTTACTATGTCTAGCGTCGTTAGAGTTTATCCACTTCTCCTTTTGTTTTGTTTGGATCCCTTCTGCGCTAGAAGATTCTTTATTTGTTTTAGTTAACCCAAGTGTAGGTTCGGGGCCTATGTATGGTCTTGAAGATTCTCCTCTGGCTGGTTTGTCTGCTTTCTCATTACCCAAAATTCCTCTGTTCCCTGGCACCCAACATATCATCATGCTGTTGTGTTTCCCCAGCTTTTGGGGATTTTGGATGCATTCCCTGACTAATTTTGATGTTTTGATTTTTTTTTACATGCTAATGCTTCAATGGCTGCTTGGCTATCAGATCTTATGAGGACTTTTTGCCAGTGTAACCTCTTTTAAGATATTCCAGGGCATAAGCATTGATGGCATGTATTTCTGCTTGAAAGACCGAAGTGTACTTCCCTAATGAGTTTGATTGCTCATTTTTTGGGTTTGTATAGTAAACGCCCGATCCGGTTCCTTCGTTTGTTTTGGACCCATCTGTATACCATATCATTGTCTCCTGTGTTCCTCCTCTCCTTTATAGTCCGTTAAAACTTTATAGGATGTTGTGAAGAATGTTTCCGGTATCAAAGTCAGTCCCCATTTCAAAGAATGGGTGTCTGATTTTGTTAATTATAGTTGTATGCCCGAATTGTTTAGTTCCTATCCTAGCTGCCTTTAGAAACCCCCTTGACTATCATGTGCTGTGAGCTGGAAGTGCAGCAAGATAAACTTCTGAATCCACATATCGTAAGAGTGGCATGCCTTGATTATACATATATAGATATATTTTAGACAGTATTCATGAGCGCAGGAGCAAGTTTCCGGCCGCCATTTGTTGGAAGAAATGTCCTTCACGATTTTGATGGAACCTGAAGTCTGCTGTTAATGGCTGGTTTTCTTCTTGTAACACGTACTGTGGATGACTATAGCTGTTCTTGATGAATGGGAAAAAATTCCTCAGGATTTTATCAGAAATCTTTTCCAATGAATGCAAAGGCGTTTAACAGACGTGATTCGTGAGAGAAGTGAAAATATTCGACATTATAGGAAACAAAAAAAATTTCTATACTAAATTAAGTAATAAACATTTTCTTTGCAAATTTCTTATTTTGACAACCAAACCTATTTTTGGTATGCAAAATATGAATTTAAAAAAAAACATTAAAATTTAAGGGTGGTGCGTTTGTTTTGTCCATCAGTGTAATATTTCGAAATAACAACAAAATACGAGTGCCCGGTTTTCTTGTCTTTGACTATATTATATTCACATACATATAGATAGTTCGTTCATAGACCTTGACCCATTCGCTTTTTACTTTCCTCTCGCTGCAATTTCCTTTATTCCACGCTCTACGGGAGCGTGTCGGCGAGAGCTTTTGGGAGAATCATTTTACGAAAAGAAATGTGAGGAATTTAAACTGTTCAGTGTTTTATAGATAGGTTTACGAGCGAGTTCTCCACGCAATCATGTAATATTCGTACATTTTCAACGGTGAAAGTAAATAAACAAAGTTGTTCAAAATGTAGTAACTTTTTAATGTTCACAGAAAATGGGAATGAAAAGATGGATTTTACGCCGTCAATAATGACGAAGACGTTTGCATAGGTTGCAGGAAGCAAGATATGTCATTTCGTATTTTTTACGAATGTCAGTATAAAATTCAACTGGCTCCTTATACGAAGGATAAACATGATTTGACTAAATATGGAGGATCGACACGCTCTACCCATTGTCATTAAGCTCCATAAATTTCTGGCACTTTCGAAACCCGCATATGCGTGATTATTTCTCACTACCTATGTGTACTAATTGCACCAAACAATCGGTTCCAACGGTTTTTTTTTTTTTTTTAAGTTATCAATATCACCTCACAGCATTGCCTGATAATCGGATAATCTTGACTCATCTGCAATGGCTACCTTATTGCGAAGCATCCATGTTAGGATAGCCGTGTGGCAAATCCATGGAAGGTCTTTTTTTATAATTATATAATTAATTTTCTATTTATTATTATTATCCAATTTTCCGCTCGTGACATTAATTTTTCTTCTCAACCGTCTTTGCTTCTTCATAATATCCTGTCCCATAGACACTTCTCATGCACCTCCCTATCACAACCCGGATATTGGCCAACATCCTCATGCAAAAGACCTGATCAGCTGGACTTCTTCATCTGTTCCAACCTTACATCATTAATCCTTAATCGGCCTTCAGACCACATATTTTTAATCCTCACCCTGGACATCCACCCCAAATTAAGCTATAAACGGACCAGTCAATTGGAACTTATATCAAGACACACTAGAACAAAAATTAGAACTGAACTTCACTTTTCACCATTTGTTCTTGAATATATTTTCATGATAATTCCAAAGTTGCAAGAAGGCAACATTTTGTACTATGAAGAGGAGAAGGTTTTTTTTTATTATATCACTTAATTCAATAATGTTTAATAATTTGTTGAAGTCGTGAGGAGCGATCAAGAATGAGGTAGTTTAGAAAAACAACTTTTTCATTTTTTTTTTTTTTTTTGCCGACGTTTCAACCTTTACTCGGGTCATCTTCAGGGCCTGAGCAAATTAGAAAACATGTTGATTGTAAAAAATACAATTTAAGATGTAAATATAAAATTTGAACCAAGTATTTCATACTAATATAAAGTGTGGTGCTATTCTTGTGGCATCATATTGGTTTTGTGTGAAAGTGTTAGGAAACTGAATTTGTATTTTGCTGTTTTTATATCATTGTGACAGGGTGGGGAAAATGTGTTTTTTTTTGTTTTTTTAAGTCAAAAAATGGCAAAAAAAATAATGGTGAGAATTAAAATTGATTCCTATGTCCACAAATTTATTTAAAAATAAAATGTATTGTAAATGGTTTCAAAGCTGCTAATTCGCCCCAAAAGTTATGTTATTTAAGTCAATCAATCATTGTAGGAAAAAGGCTATGGTTCAATAAATTGTACTTGTAAAAAAAAATGTAAAAAAATTGAACATAATCTGTAGCAGCCATGAATTGTGTACAACATTCCTGTTCAGAATAAATCAACATTGTTCTGTAATTGTTGCAATACCAAGGACAATCTTGGGCAAATTATTCAATAAATTAATCGAGCTAGCAATACCAAGTCATCTGTATATGCAAGTAAATTAATCTTACCAAATACTTTCTCTGCGTGCAGAGGGAATAGCGCAGGACTGTACATGCTTTCTTATGCACATTATACACATATAACACACTATACAGGGTGAATTGCTACTCGTGCTACAAACTTCTCCAGTAGATTCTTCACCCTAAAATGAACAAAAAAGTTCATATTGTCCATGGTCCGATTCTCAACCATTTCAGAGTAATTTCGCTTTTTATCGATTTTGAAAGATATCACGTCCTGGCGTCGGAAAATCGTGATATCTTTTAATCTAAACATTTCTCTTAAAATCTATAAGCACCGTTGAAATCCCCGTTAATTTTTAGAGAGAATCAAAATCATAATTCCATTGAAATTTTTTAATTTAATTTAATGCCCATTTAGTATGTAATGCTTAAGAAGTTTACAAACAGCTAGAAGGTCAAGGAAGAAAGACCCAAACGTTTTGCCACCTTCATCTTCTTATTGAAAAATTAACGGGGATTTCAACGGTGCTTATAGATTTTAAGAGAAATGTTTAGATTAAAAGATATCACGATTTTCCGACGCCAGGACGTGATATCTTTCAAAATCGATAAAAAGCGAAATTACTCTGAAATGGTTGAGAATCGGACCATGGTCAATATGAACTTTTTTGTTCATTTTAGGGTCAAGAATCTACTGGTGAAGTTTGTAGCACGAGTAGCAAGTCACTCTCAAACATTAGCAATCCTTGAACCACCATTTTTTCTCTTTTTGTCATCAACATCTTGGTCTCACAACCACTAAATAAGAAAATGACGAGTGCGTTGGAAGCGTTATTAAATCAGGTAGTTTTCCTCAAATTTGCTGCCTTCTGAGACTAAAATTAGAAACTCTGGATTACTTTATACACTTTCCGATTTACACAATTTTCCACTCTTTTTGTAGTTCTGGCTGAAATAAAACACAAAAAATTAGCCCAAACATTTTGCCACCGTCATCTTCTTATTGAAAAATTAACGGGAATTTCAACGGTGCTATTAGATTTTCAGAGAAATGTTTAGATTAAAAGATATCACGATTTTCCGACGCCAGGACGTGATATCTTTCAAAATCGATAAAAAGCGAAATTACTCTGAAATGGTTGAGAATCGGACCATGGACAATATGAACTTTTTTGTTCATTTTAGGGTGAAGAATCTACTGGAGAAGTTTGTAGCACGAGTAGCAATTCACCCTGTATATATAAACAACAAACTTGAAAACATCCCTATACTCAGAATTATATATTAAAATAAAACACAATACTGTTTAAAATTATAAAAATATTTATTTTAAAAATTACAATATCAAGTATAACGTTGTACTTCTACAGTTTCCAATATTGTAAGCTATTTGCCAGTATGATTATTTGTGTTAATGGAAGTTTTTCTATCCAATGTTTAAACTATATTATTTGATTATGTCAACCAAACTTTCAAATAATCTGATTCAACTCTCATAATGGCACAAGTTGTTGAAATTACGTAACAAATAGTTTTGAGCAATGTTTTTTTTAATTATTAAACCTTTTTATGGTATGGTGTTAAAGTAAAATATATAAAAGTTTAGAATAGTTTAAAAGTAACAAAACCTAGGACAACCGAAGGCTAATATCAATTTCTCAACCCATTCTGTTCAATTTAATCACAATAATTGTTCTCAAAATATTTTACATTTATTAACTTTTTGTTTTTTAATATAAACAATCTTTTGAATTTTTTGTTGCTGTTCGAAAAATGTAAGGTTTGATCATGTTTATTTCTACCAGTTTCGGGATAACTATTACATTTTTTAGAATTTTTAGAAATAGAAAAAGATATCGTAAATGTTAAATGGTATGTATTTTAGTGTGTTTTTAAATCAAATATTTCAATAAGTATAGGTTCTACTTGGCTAGGATTCACATTAAGGTACACACGGACGTGTTCTTCGATGATCTGATGCAGCTCAGTCATCTTGCATATGAGATGCTGGTAGATTTCATTTGACTCCTCTGAAGAATAGATGCTTTGGAGGTAGCATTGAAGTAGACTGAAATACCTCGACTGGAAATAACATGAGATTTGTCTGAGTAAAAGTATATCTGGCTAAGTTTTAAGTAATTTAACTATATTTTCTTAAAAGAAAAAAAATTTAACATCTCGATTATCAATACCTGTTGTTGTGCTATCAACTGCTTATTCACTAGGTTGGTCCTATTAGGGTCAAAAAGTACAATAGCAGTCAGTATGCACATTATATTTAGGTCGTGTGATGCCCGAGTATCGAACGTCCTTAAAAACGCTTCATGCGCATCATACAGGTTGCCCCGCGCCTCTTTCAACACTTCAACATTTATCTGAGACATCTGATCTACTGAATGAGGTATCTACAAAAAATATATTATGTCAAAATCCAAAAAGAAGGACCATAGTTGACCACAAGGACATATAAAATTGAGTGGTCAGGGCATTCACTCGTATTTTCCATGCAGCAATTCTGGGTATAGTCTAGTCCTTGACTTAAAATCGAGAAGAAGTTGGAAAAAAGTTATGTTAAGCCTCCTTTATGGCAGGAATTATTTAAAAAGTTAAAAGGCAAAAACAAAATGAATGAAGAATGTTTTCACTTTATTATGTCGCTATGTAGTGTGTCAGCAATTGTCAGCAAATTACAACTGTAACCTATATTTTTCTAAATAAAAGTTAATCAAGCGGGTCATACAAATTTTATTTGTACAATCATTTTTATTTGTATTATTTATATTCAATTTATTATATTTTTTTTTTATTTAATTTTTTTTTTTTTTTGTATAAATACAATCATACCTGTGCATTGAGCATAGTCCCAAGGTTTGCTTACAAATTTTTCATTTAAAAATTGTGTATAATAAATTGAATATATAAAATTAAGAGTTAATATTATAGTGAACAAACCCGCCAAGAATTTCTATCTGGGTCAAAAGTGACAACACTCCTTAAAAGCATCATCTGCGTACACCCTTGCTTCAGGAGGGTCAACTGATCCTCTTGGCATAGTGCTCTGAAGCCTCCTATTCTCTTGCACATCTTGATCAGTCTCCTTATTGCCAGAGCTGTCAGGTTGATAACATCCAGAAGGCTTTTTGAGCCACAACTCTAAAAATTAATGATGAATGTGCCAGAATTAATTTGAAATAAAAATAAAATCAATTTCTAAAGGCACGTATAAAATGAAAGCACATACTTTAAATTCATCGCCAGGTAAATTATTCAGCTCTTGATCAAGAGGAGCTTCCAGAGCTTTATTAGCGACGATTAGATCCTCTAGGAGTTCATTGTCTTGGCAACTCATTGGAAACAAAGTTGCTGTAGGTATAGATTTTATCCTAACATTTCAAGGGCAAAAATAATTTAATTTTTATCAGGATTTTATTTTTATTTTTTTATTCTAATACTGACAACTGGTAGGTGATTTGAGTCTTGTCAGGAGGAGGTAAGGCAGCCATTAGAAGTGAGTTAGGTACATCGGCCTTGTACCTTTGCCGACAATTGCAAGTCAAAGGCTCAGTTTGGGTGCCAATCTCAACACTAACCATGCTGACTTGCACCGATTTACTATTGCCAATTGAGTCTTTCGCCTTAGCTGTCACCATTCGGGCCTTGTTTGCCAAGATTTTTCTTTTTTTCCTTTCCTTATCTGCCTCCGTCATAATCAGCTCCCTCTTCATGCCCACACGGAAACACTTAGCTAGTCTGCACTTTTGGCAGAACCTCCTCGTCACTGCTGTTATATCACAGCACTGTTTAAATGGACACTGCAACTCCTTAAAATGAAACAATGCAATGAAACAACAAACCATTATGTATATAGAATAGGTGAAATATTGTGCATTTATGCTGGGGGGATAAAAAAGAGTGAGGGAACTAAAAGTTCTTATTGAATTACAACCTTTAGCATAGTTTTTGTTTATTATATATTCCATTATATCTATAAATGCCTCAGCTTTTTCATGAATTTTTATTGCATTTTTAATTAGTAGTAGAGCGCCATACAACTTTTAAATACACATTTTGAAACATTTTTTGATAAGAGATAAAATTAAATTATTTTAATTAAAGAAATCTTGAAACTTTAAAAATGTTTCAGAAATTAAAATGATGTATGTTACAATGAATGTAAACTAATCCATCTTTATAATTATCAAAAAAGAGTAGGCATTGTGAGATATTGTGTGGATCTGCACGATGATGACCTGTACCATTAGTAATTTGGTCATCTTCAAACATCCTGTTCTACAAGGGTATATCAATTATAAATGGGGCTCTTTTTAAAAAAAACTTCTAACTTCATTTTATTAAATTAAATTATTTTAATTAAAGAAATCGTGAAACTTTAAAAATGTTTCAGAAATTAAAATGATGTATGTTACAATGAATGTAAACTAATCCATCTTTATAATTATCAAAAAAGAGTAGGCATTGTGCGATATTGTGTGGATCTGCACGATGATGACCTGTACCATTAGTAATTTGGTCATCTTCAAACATCCTGTTCTACAAGGGTATATCAATTATAAATGGGGCTCTTTTTAAAAAAACTTCTAACTTCATTTTATTAAGTTTACAAAAATATATCATTTTTCTTCATATTCTGTTGCCCTAGAAATACATTTTTACTACTGGATTGGGAGATTTTTATAGCGTCATAAAAACTCGGGAAGTTCTTGTAGTCATTGTAGCACAATGATTTCTACTGTTTCATCATCGTGTCAAAACGCTGGACTCTAAATGCTTCCAAAAAAATGAACGTCTGGACTGTAGGGTTGACATTCTAACATACCATCCTATTGCATCCAATTTTTGCCCCTTGGCAGGTATGAGGCCTGGCATTGTCATGCAGAAGAATTATACTTCTTGTCGATAATTTCTTCCTTTTCCTATCAATTGACGATTTTGCAACATCCAATAATTCATAACACTGCAGAAAAAAGCTGTCTCAATGTTGGCCTCACCCACACTCGTCCTTGGGCGGCTCTTGTCTCAAACTTTTCACACCATCCAGAAAAATTTTTGTTATGAGCAAAGACACGAGTTCTTGACAGAGTGTTGTCCCCCACTGCGTCTTTAATCACCCCAAAATTTCTGTTACATTCACCCCCTTCTTGGTAAAAAACTTGTAATCTGTTGCTCCAGGGAGACATACTCTTCTTTCTCACTCATGATTTTTATTAATGTTAATCGACTCGTTTCAGGCCTATGACCCCTCTGACATTTTTAAGAATATGATACATTTTATTATTTATATATGATACACCCTCACACTTCACTTCAGATGATAAGAGAAAGTTAAGCTAGCATGTCGACCTATTAACACTATTTTAATTTAATACATATTATGTATATAGCTAATTTATTATATAAACTAAAAATTAAATGTTAAAAAAAATTAGTACATATTGCAATATCATCTGACATCCCAGTAGGATGTAAAGTGTTTTTTTTACAGGAACATCCGACAGTTTGGTCATTTCAGCCCCGAAGCACTAACAAAATACCACTACACACTTGATATACAGTCACCCCAATAAATACATTCACACCAACATACATCTACCTGTTACATCTACCCTATACTAAATTAATCTAATTTGGGGTGATGGGGTATTTTTATAAAATTTCTGTCAGCCCAAGTCACAATGACACAACCTGAGAGGCAATGGAGAAACTACTTCGCCATCAGCCCCCTCCCCATTCACACCAATAAATACATTCACTCATACAAGACAAAGAAACACAAAACACAACTTAATTTCTATATACAATAAAAAAATTCCTAATTCCTTTAAAAAGCGGAATAGGGGACCCTGAAACTCGCTGCTGTGTCCGAGAACCCTTTTGAAATCTGGGGGCATACCTACTCGCACCCTGTAGGGAGCCAAGGCACGACACGATTCGACTATGTGTGACACGTCGAGCAACCTTTCTCCGCATAGAAGCTCTTGTTCAGAACTGCTTTCGTTCAGCAAAGGGGAAAAATACATTTTGTACGGTGATTTCATTGCAAAAAGTAATTTAAAAACTAGCACTCACTCTTGTCTTTGTTGCGTTCCTTCTGAAGAATGCTTTGCATGACTCGCACGTAACAGCGTTGAAATTGTAACCAAGGGCTTGATCACCGCAGACGGAACAGAATTTCTCATGACTCCTCCTCTCCTCATTATCCATAGCAAATCAGCCTAAATTCAAGCAATTAAGCTATCGCTTCAAGTGAGTGGCTTTCCGTCTTAGTCAGTGCCCTTTGATCCTCTTGATTTATCACCTTGTTACAAATGATAAACCATATTTTTTGTTTGTTTTATTTTCATTCAAATTATACGTCTTTTAATCACCTCGGCCTAGGCGTTAGAATAGCATGAATTAGATGTCGAGATTAAATGGAAAAAAATATTAAAGAAACATCAAAGTTAATAAATATTTTACCTACACTTCAAAAATATGGCACATCATCGTTTAAATCACCACACATTAAAAATATAATATTTATAGAGACAAACAATTAATTACATTCTTAACACAAAAGTTTTTAATTAAATTAAACAATTACTGGTTCTTCCCTGGGGGTTGTCAAGATTTCTATTATCAAACAAGGTCACACATGACACATCTGAACTACATCTTCAGCCAACAGCTGAACTCCTAAATGCGGGAATTTCAAATTTTCTTCTGTTTTTTTTTTTTTTTAATTAAACAAAATTTTTAAAAACGAGACAAAACCTATACACAAGAAAGTCCTGGGACATCTTTACAATTTTGGCATTTAATCACATTCCAATTATTAATTACATTAATAGTAAACAGTTGCTCTCTATTAGTGCTGTTTTTCCAATGCTTTCGGGATGGTCAACCATGACTTACTTGGAAACTTGAAAATTTGTTTAGTTTTTAGTCCTCTAGTTCTAAAATAATATCTTCTTATAGGTCATAAAAAGTTGTCAAACTACCTAATAACAAAATCTCCTCTGACCTTCCTATTAAGCCCGGCATACCTCAAGGTGCAATATTAGTACCCTTATTGTTTTTTATTTTTATTAACCTCCATTCTTGTTTAAATTAACCTAAATTCACTTATATGCTGATGTGCAAATCTATACACAATGTCCGCCTCATTTAACCCCTGATTCCATTCAATTCATTTAAGACCTTTCTAGTTGCTTAATTGTGCTTCAAAACAATGGTTTCAAACTTTAACCCATTCAAATCTCAATCGATAATTATTTACAACCCACGTCAGCCAACAGATGATTTTCCGTGCATTACTCTTGGTGGCTCTTTAATACCCTTCTTTATCCAAGTAAAAAAAAAAACCTCGATGTGACTTTTAATACTAGAACTTGGGTTGTTTATTTGGGCTTTGTTGCTAGAAGGGTGAATGGGACTTTAAATTCACTATGGAATTATCATAAATTTATCTTTTCCGACATTAAAATTTAGATTAGTCAAAACTCTTATTTTACCCTTTTTTACTTGCAGTATTAACTACTCTTTTCCCCTTAATCACACTTCTAAAAACAAATTAGAATACTTTTTAACAATAGCACAAGATTTGTATTAAGTTCACAAAGAAGAGAGCACATCTCAACACATGACAAGTTCATTCTGGGTATTAATTTATTTGATTACCTTAAACTTCGATTTCTTATTCATTTATTTAAAATCAAAAATAAGCTCTGTCCATCATATTTATTTATTCCATTTGATTTTAATTCTTCCCGTAGTTTAATTATTATAAAAAAGCTTGCATCATAGATCCAAATCTATGAATGATTCATATAGAGTGACTGGGGCATGTAGAATTCCCTTCCACGGCCTATCAGATCGACCAAATGGCTTTCAGGCTCAGTGAAGCTTTCAACTTTTTTGCAAATAATCTGTCATTTGGTCAAACTACTCAACACGATCTTGTTGCTATTCTCTTTTCCTTTATACTTACTTCTTTCCTTCATTTGTTTCAAAAAATTTAATATCGTACAAATTTTGTTTATTAATTATTACTTCTTGCATTATATTTTGTACCCTTTTTGTTATTTAATTGTTTTACATTTTTCTACTCACTATAAAGGGGCCAAGCCCTATTGTGAAAACGTTTTTTGACAAATATATTTATATTGTCAATAAATGTAACGAATCGTCGGCTTACATGAAAACTTAGTTTTTCTTTTCTTTTATTCCATTTTAGCCTAACTGAGCATCCCTACCTTCAAACTAATAAATATATTTCTATTTCTGTTTTTAATAATCATTCTTTTCTTTAGTGTTTTGTTCGAGTGCGTGTATTTATTTGTGTGAGTGTTCAGGGGCTGATTGTGAAATGTAGCATCACTACCTCCAGTAGTGTGTGCGTTTAGGGTCAATGGCAGAATATTTATAAATTTAGATAATTTATATAAGATTGATATTGTATGCAGGTCAATGGAGGAATATCGAGATGGTGTGAATGTATTTATTTGTGCGACTGAATTATAGACGTTAGGTAGTTTTAGGTTAGATTATAGTTTGCATGCTTGGGGGGGGGGTTGAAATGACCAGTCAAAAGCCCCTGTTGATCCCAAGCAACAATCTCCTGGGTATCCAGCTTAAGGGAGATACTAGTGACAAGCCACATAACAGAGTAGGTGAACTCCCTGAAGTACAGACCCCAGGGTCAGCACTTTGGGAAGTGATAACCCTTCGGGGTAAAGGTCCAATAACTTCAATTAGACTCACCTCCAATAACTTTACACTGTTTTATGTATAATCTTCTTAAATTTAAAAATATTTTTAGGCTGTTATTTTCTCATGGGCACAGTAGTTTCCATGTCCCCTGTTTTGCGTTTTAGAGGATGTGAAGGTTTTTTATTGTATACAGTTCATTCGTTTTTTATATGTTTTGGGTGGCCCATGGTGAAATAGTGAGTTACCATCACCCCTTCAGTAGTGGGTCATTGGTGGAATATTTATAAAAGTACTCCATCAACCATAATTTAGATTAGATTATTATTATTATTGCAGATCGATGGAGGACTATAGTACTCCATCGACCAACCAGAAAGAGTGCAATGTCCGTAGGTGTGATTGTATTTATTTGTGCGATTGTATTCTAGATGATAGTTTTAGGCTAGATGATATGTGCATGCATTGAGGGCTGAAATGAACTAGCTGTCAAAAGCCCCTGTTGTTGCCTAACCATGTTGGATCACTTGCACTTTTACAATTCATTAACTTATCCAGATTTAGATAATTTGCCATAAATGATCGAATGACAAGGCTTTGTGTGATAGAGCCAAAGAACACCATCTCAATACTCTCTCTATGGCCATAAATTTGATTGATTTCCACCCTATTTCTAGCCTGATAAAATGATTAGGGAATTCATTTTCAAGTAGAATAATTTTTAATAAACCTAGCGTACTCTGTCATTCTCATAGAGTGGCTTATCCCTCAAATTTTTAAGCCATACAAAACATTCGTGGGTATTATGGATTCAAATATTTTAAATTTCTCAAAGTATTGCTATATCCTTTTATTAATATTTCTTTTATTTGCCCAAATTCTGGTGTAGCTATTTTAGTATAGCAATCTGCAGCCAAACCGAACTCATTCCTTAATATACTGTTTAATATGAATTACAATTTACAGTAATTATTATGTACATAAAGTAATGGAAACATAAAAATCCAAGCAAGAATTTGGTAAATTTTTATTACAAAAAATCCAAATTAATTTTAATTTGCACACCAGACGAAGACAATAAATAGCTTTGTCCAACTTTTTCAAGATTGTATATATTCATAAAAAATTAATTTCTTAAAAGAATGTTTTAAAACATCCATACAAATTTTTCCCGTACCTTGAATTGCATCACATTTGCAAAATGGGCCAATGTTATTGTTACATTTCACTTTTGCTGAACATGGATTTTAGCAATGAAAACACAGAAATTGACCCGTTTTACACAATCTCTCTCTGAGTGGCAAACGTTTCAGTTCTATTTCAGAATGCACGCATAAAGCAGAAAAAACGTAAGTCTAAGTTTATTTCATCAAAGACATTTTTGTTAATAATAAATGAGCATGCACCTATGATAATTGTTTTTTGATTTTTTTTTTTTTTTGCTCTATTCAATTTCTATAAAATATTAAAGAATAAACAATATTTGATGTACAATTAAGGTAAAATAATGTTACATATTTTACAAATTTCTGCATTCTTTCCTTTTGCATTTTGTTTTATTTATATTCAATTAATTTAATTAATTTTTCTTGCTACAAAACTTAATTTTATTCTTCGATGTCAATAATTTCTGTACATTAGGTAAAAATTCTCTGTCAGCATTTATGTAACTTTAGTTTTGAATGACTAACATATATCTCCAATACCTAAGTAATAAAATAACTCTAATTCTATGGATGCTAATCGATTGGGCATTGAACGAAATGAACAAGCCAGTAAACTAGCAAAACAGGGTACAGAATAAGAACAAAACAAATTATAATTAAAGTAGGACTGAACAAATTAATAGAGAAACTAAGTCAGAAAAAAACAAAAAATAAGAGTTAGTAGGTGTGAATCGAGGAAAACATTTGTTGTTGCAATACTTCTTTCTTGGTGATAAATAGCAAAAGCAATGCTGAGATTTTTAACATGTCTACACTTTTACCTACGTAGTTTTAAATTGAAATTAAGAGATTCTGTATTTGCCTTACACCTAAATCATGCTTCTTTTAAAAATATATTTTTTTCATGTTTAAACATATCCATACATAATTTAATACACCGTTCAAAATTAGCACTCAATAAATTATTATTATAATTGTTTTCTGTTTCAGCTGCAACTATTTGCTTTTTAGACATTTGGCAATTGTACACAAAAATTTACAGTAAACTTCGGTGAAGGCCAACTTTCCAAGGTTATTAAATAAATAAAACAGAAAATTGTCAACAAGTTGATTTTGCATATATATGCCACACAATAAGGCAACTTAAATTTAAAATACACTTTTTAATATTAAAAAGGTATTTTTTAAATTTATATTTTAAATTTAAATTTAAATTTATATAGTTATATATATATAACAATAAGTCTATATTTTACATTTTATGTGCTAATCAAAAAATTGGTTCAATTATCATTTAATGGATTTTCTTCCATATGATTTAAAATTACATAAATTTGCTTAACATAACATTCTTATATTTGCTAAACTCTAATTGTTTTTTCAATTCAATCCTGAATTTATGGCATTTGCCTTTTCGAATTGTTTAAATACAATTTTAATCTAACAAATATCCTATTTGGCTTCAGTTGTAGTTACCTTGTAAACCATTATTTTATTAAAGCTAAGAACTTGTCGTTCTAAAAAATGGTAAACAGTTTCAAGGGACTTATGATATAAAATAAAAGTAGTGTTATCTGCAAAGCAAAAAATAATTATATAAAAATATGAAGAATAATATTGGGCCTACTTCTGTACTCTGAGGAACACCCATGTTAATTTGTATTCCTTTCATCACTGCAATATTCATTTTTTATTATTTATTATTGTATATTATTATTTCTATCAGCTAAATAGGATTTGTAAAGTTCCAAATGAAGTCCTCATATGCCATGTCATTAATGCACTCAAAAGCCTTTCTGGTATCTAAGAATAAATCCCAAACATGATTTCTTGCATCAATTTGCCTAGATATTGATTTGGTAATGTCAAATGAAGCTTGTAAGGTAGATAAATTCAATCTAAAATCATATTGATGGACAGATAATATTCAAGAAACATTGAAAGTCTATGTTTAAAACATTTCTCATTTTCATCATAATTACTTGCTAAATTGTTCTTCCAGATGAATTGGTTCCTGTTTGTGCTTTTTCTTTTCACATTTTATATTCAAACTTTCTGTGAGAAAGTTTGTGTGCAAACTGACACAGAAAAATGGGCCCGCACTGTACCGCCAGGTTTCCTTAGTATTACCGTCGACCCAGTGACTTTGCTCTCAGCAGGACCTTTACAGTAATTAGTCTAATAAATAATTTTTCAACATATTGGAACCTTTTTATGAAACCGCTTTTGAACAGGGGACCTACTCTAGAAATGGCGAAGGCCCTATCACCAGCTTTTGTCCGTATCTGTGGCGAGGGTACTGATTTATTGCACTTTGGAGAAGAACTGTTCAAAAACAATACATCAGTTACTGGTAGTTTAATATTTTCAACGAGATTTCCAAATTTTCTTATTAAATTGATTTCCAGATGTGGAGATTGATTCGGTGATGCAATTTGCAAACAATGCTGACCTACGTGTCATCGTTGGTCTCAATCCAACAGAAAGACAAAATGGGTACTGGAATTCTGAAAACGCTTTAAAAATTATGTCTTATATGAATAAAAAAGGTTACAAAGCCTCCTGGCAGTTAGGATGTGGTAATACAAATTTAGTATTAAATATACTTAATCAAATCAATTAACATAAAAATATTTTTTAGGTATGAATATCCCTCATTTGAGTGGAGAACACATTGCAACTGATATCTTAAAATTGAAAAAAATAGTAGACAGTTTTCCACTGTTTTCCAAATCCTTGGTTCTTGGTCCTGACTTTGATAACTCTGAAAATGAAATTTTGAAGGATTTTCTTCAGTACGGTGGCAACTCTGTATCTTCTGTCATTATTTCATTGTCTGTAGCAAATATTATTCAATTTATTTCAAATACCTAATATTCTTTTTTTTGTATTTAGGAAACCACAATCGTACTATGATTTGGAAACGTACATAGAAAATTCACTTAAAAATGTTGAAAGTTCTATTCGGAAACAGAATGTTAACCCAGAGGCAGAGTTTAAAAAATCAGTTTTCCTGGGTATGGTTTTGTTATCATTCAAGAAAATCTTAATTTCATAAGGAAAATTTCAGCTGATGCTGTGGCAAGTGGAGGCACCTTCGAGCAAGCAAAGCAGTTAGCTAGAACATTGGGAACTGCAGCTGCACTTGGTTGTAAAATGGTCTTTAAAAAATGCGGAAAAATATCCCTCACCACTCCCACGCCAGTAAAAATCACAAAAATAAAATTATTTCATTTCTCATAATTAAAGCACAAATTTAAATTGTTTTACAGGAATTCTGGTTTTCTGCTCTATATAAAGCATTGGTCGGAAGATACGTTTTCAATGCAAAAGTGTTATCAGATAATAATAATAATTTACATGTGTATTCTCAAAGTACTCCAACTCTTAAACCACAAATTCTCGGTAATTACTATTTAATATTGTTGTAAAGTCTCTGATTAATCGCAAATTGAAAAATGTAGACAGACATTATCCAAATGGTTCTTTAACCCTCTTTGGCGTCAACGACTCACCAGATGAAGTTGAAGTGGAAGTAAAAGACAGCCCAATGGAAGGATCAATGCATATTTTTTCCCTGACAACTCAATTACACGGCCTAAAGGAAGTGTAAGTTCATAAATGATCTAAATGTTACGAACATTTTATTATGCAGCTTAAACATATATTGTATTGCTAATTTAATTTATAACAAAACTTAAGTTAATATAAGCCAAATACTTTTACTTAATATTAATAACAATCGCTAAAAATGTTTTATTATGTGCTGAACAAAGCTTTCTGTTTTGTCAAAAATTGTGTTGAATTTTTGTTTTTTAAATTTTGTTTTAGAACACTTCTTAATGGACGAGAGTTGTCAATGTTGGAATCCAAGCTTCCACTTCTTGCTCCTACTGTTAAGAAAGGGGGATTAGCTCGCATCCCCGGGAACTCAATTTTTTTTATCGTGCTGCCAGAAGCAGGGCTTAAAACATGTTCAGTCGCAGGCTCGAGATCTATTACTAAGAGGGAGATCGTAATCAAAAGGCCAGAATTAAAACAGATCAGCTTAACTGAGCTTGATCAAAAGTATAGAAATTTTGCAAAAAATATATACAACAAGATGTTACAAGATTCTGGCTTGGTGCAGGAGAAAAAAGACGATATGTCAATATCTTTCATCACCTACAACACTAATGGCTGGTTGAATGATCTTCTGGACCACATTTTACCAATAGACAATAGTGGTAATCAAGTGCAAAGTGCCTCAACGCAGAATACAAAAAATATCAGATCAAAGCGTTCAACAGAAATAGTTCACAAAGAAAATGAAAATTTTAATACTGGAAATGTAAATGAAGTTAATACATTTTTCAACGGAGAAGTGGAAGATACACAAAATGCAAATGAGGATGACCAAATGTCAATTGAAAAACTAAACCAACCTATTGAAGGACTGATTCACAGTGAAAATGGTATGGATATTAAAGAAATTGAAGACCAAGAGGGAATTGACCGAACTCTAGTTAATATTGCAAAAGAGGAAGAAAAACTACTAAATAATTCATCACAGGCTCAAATACAACCTGAAGAAAGTGAGGCACCTTCAAGTGAAGAAATTGAGAATAAAGCTGATAGTAATAACGAAGATTTAGTTATGGAGAATGACTCTGAAGATGTTCCTTATGTCTCTGCACCTGAATACCCACAAGAAATTTCAGATATTGGAAAAGATCAAATACCAGAAAACATTGACAGATATGATTTTCCTAATCTCAAAACTTCATATACAGTAAATCCACAAGTTCCTCAAGAACCGCCCATGATTCCACAATATTTGCCAAAACATCCACCATCTCCATCAAATCCAAATTTCATCAGTTCACATACTTCCTATCCCACTCAAACATCTGAGCTCATTCTTAATGAGAAGAAAGAAAATGCAATAAACTCTATTTTGACCAAAATTGTATCAAAGGAAAATGCGTTGTATGAGAACAAACCAGTCGACCCATCAAAAGCAGGGACTGTCGAAGAAATGGATACCAGCCCATTGGTGCAAGTAGTGGTGCCTGAAACAGATCTTGATGTATATGTCCCTCTGAACAGTTTAGACACAGAGAATGAGGATGTCCGACAAACTTTAAGCCCTGGTGATAATCTTATACTACCAAGTAATGACAGACCCACTGTCAAAGTCCAACGGCAAATCAATGACGACCCTCTCTATAAAAACAACCCAGTAAAAAAAGTTCAGGATTACCTAATGGACATTTTGAATAAAGTCCCAAAGCAAATACCAATTACTCTGAACGATTTGCCAGAACCAAATGAAAGCAACAGAGATAAAGTCCTTCACTTAGGTTGGCCAAAAAAAGTGTCACAACCCCTGCCTGCATCACCTGCTCAGTTGCCTGAAATGAACGATCCTTTGTACACCACCAAACTGGCTGAAGCAGTCAGAATGTTCATAGAACAAAAAAAAGTGGAATATGAAGCAATTAAAGCAAAGATGGCCAGTGTCAGACAAAAGGTTCTAGAATCGTCGACGAATATCATCAACAATGAAGAATTATCAAAAAGCCTTAAACAGCGGGGTGAGGAAATAAAAACCATCCTTAAACAAATGGAACCCGATGGAATCTCATCTAAAATGCCTATTCCCCTGTATATTCCAAGTATAAGAGCAAAAAGGAGTGTTAAAGAACAAACTCTTTCAGATGATTCAAAACTAAATGTTGACGCAAAACAACTCTACACCCATGAAAGGATGAAAAGGTCTTTTTCAGAAGAACTTGATAAATTAATAGAAAAAGCACGAAGTTGGTTCGATGATATCAACCCTTTTTCTTCGTCCAAACGGTCCAAAAGAACCCCCTCAATGGACAACTCTGTAAAATTTTCTGACAATGACATTAACTATCATGATTCTCAAGTCAATTCTATAAAATTTTCTCAAAACTCAGATGACATAGATATAAACAGCAGGCTGATAAAAGACTTTCTGCTTAAAAAAATTAAAGGAAACACGGGCATGTATGAATTTGTCAAGAAATATAAAGAAATGTTAGAAAATCTTAAGAAAACTGAACAAATCCTTGATTCTGGAAGTTCAGATTTCCAAACTTCCGTTGAAGAAAATACCAAGGAGAATGGAATATTAGGGAAAACTGATCCCTGTAAAGACTCGTTACAAATTGATGGCACAAGTGAAAACAGTGATAGAAAAGATATAGCTGTTGTTGAATTTGTTGTTTCCTCAAATGGCCCTGAAGCCATCGATGATGAAACTTTTGTTAAACAACTTCTCCAAGGAATGGTCATGTTTTTCAGCATGGTGAAACAGCTAATGGAAAATTAATTTTGTACAAATTAAATAACACATTTGTTATTATTATTTAATTTAATTTTTGTTTATTAAAATTATTGGAAATATATGCTAGTTTAATGTAAATTTGTAAATGTATTTATTTTTTCTTAAGCCACTGGTCTAAACTGAACCAATATAACCAAATAGGTTGTACATGCTGCAATAGCCTGGAATGAACAAAAAGACAAAACATTAAATTAGAGAAAATCTTGTAAAAACATAATTCATAAAAGTGTGGTGATGAGTGACCGTTTGTCAATGATTATTCAGAAATCATGAGATGAGGTCTGGTGAGATGTAGGTTTCAGAAAAACATTTTCTTATCGTGCCAACGTTTCGACCTTTATTGAGATCATCTTCAGAGCCTGGAATTTACAAACATTGTTTAAATTTAACAACATGTAGGCAGTGGAAAAAAGTGAATTTATTTGCATTGTATAAATTCACTTTTTTCCACATCCTACATGTTTTTGTTAAATTTAAACAATGTTTGTAAATCTCAGGCTCTGAAGATGATCTCAATAAAGGTTGAAACGTTAGCACGATAAGAAAATGTTTTTCTGAAACCTACATTTCACCAGACCATATCCCACGATTTCTGAATAATAATTCTTAAATTTGTAAAATAAAATTACCGCTCATTTCATGACAAATCATAACTAAGCCAAAAGTACAAAAATATAAGCTTAAGCGTTAATTTAGAGTCACGTTTATTACATTCAAGTAGTTTGGTCATTTCAGATCATTTTGGTCAAATGTCTGTAAAATGGTCTGGTTCAACCAAGCTACCGGTTCATCACTCTGCAGGCTGCAGAACACAAGAACCTCACAATATTACTTTCTGTTCAAAGCAAAGATTTAATCAATTCAATCAATCTTAAAACTTTCAAATTATGCGATAGAAAAAAAATCAACTTACAGATGTGATTAACTTTGGATTTATCGTTAGTAGGCCACAAGCTGTAAACTTAAAGTTTCTATCTGTTGTATTACGGAGAAAAGTATCGAGCTAGAATTAATCACAGATAGTAAGAAAATCAAATTTCAACTTTGATTACAATTGACATACCTCCTCTTTTATTTCTAGATTAAAACTGCAGTTTGAAATTGAACAAAGTATAAACCTTGTCCTACCAGCCTAAAAAATGTTTGTTTTTTAAACAAAATTTTAAAATAAATTAACTTACATTATACCTCTTTAGCAACAACGCATGAGACAAGAGTTGTAACAATGAATTTTGAAAAATAAAAGAAGCCCCAGAGGATTGTATTTATCAGGAAGATGGTGCCTTGGCTAGAGAAAAACCAGCTGAATATCACAAGATAAATGTTAAAGAGAATTTTTAAAAAACAGCCAGTAATGATGCTCAGCAGGTGCAAACTGAAGATATCGTTAAGATCTTGGAGTAGATCACAGAGCTTTCTGTTGCAATGACGAACCAATTCAATGTTCTTAATAGTCACATTACTCGTTACATACAAACTGAAAAAATGTTTATTTAAAACAAAAAATTATTTTTTTACAGTTGTTTAATTTTTAAAAAATGGTCTATTTTGGCAGTAATTAATAATTAATAAGAATTTAACTTCAGACTTTTTACTTCTTAAATTTTATTTAATAGAAATATTACTAAATGAACAAAAAATTGTAATTTTGTCATTACCGACCAATTTGTCTGATTATCCTCGCTGGTTTGGTCTGTCAGACATCATCCAGCATTTCGCCATGTTTGGGGACTCAATACAGACATGAAGAATCATACCCAAGAATGTGTCTGACACAAAATGGTCAGTAATGACCAAATTACAGTCATCACTCTGCAGACCACACAGAGAAATCTCACAAAAATTAACTATTTATTTACCTAGCTTTGAAGAATTTTATTTTACTCTGCTTTTCAACTTCAGATAAGAAACAATTTATACTTCTAATTCTTGATTTCAAGACTAGAGCCAAGAAAAGAAATTGCATCTCAGAGGTGTATAAAGATATGCAATAGTGCACAGCGCTTACTGCCCATAGGAATTTATAAATTGAACTCGACAAGGTGGTAATAAGATAAAAGCCACAGACAGGGATTACATTACATAAAAAGTACATAAACAACAGGCTTGAAGCTAAAAAATCTCCTCTTAAATTAACACTGCAAATAGGAAATAGTATCTTGTCCACACTATTTAAGTCAGAGATGAACCTAGCAAATTTTGGCACGAGGTACAAAACCGTGCCAGAAAAGCAGCCAAGACTCATCAAATTGAGGATCAAAGGATTTATTATTTTCATCATCCCTATCTGTGCACTCGTCTGGTTTCTGATCAAAGTTATAAGCTCACTTATGTTAGAAGTGGGCTCCGGTCTGGGAATCGGCTTGTCCGGCACGACATCACTTTCTACAACCATGTGCGGCGTTACTATACCGTGCGCAAGGCAAAAAACTATCATGAAAACTGTATAGGCGAGACGTGCTTTCGACAGTTTAAAGGTGCGTTTCGTCTTGACGTAAAGGAATGGCAGCGTCCCGAAGACACAGGATATGTAGTATATCAGGCTGAAAGACCTGAAAAAAGTATTCGACATCATCGCGGATTAAAGCTAACTGGGAATTGAAATTTCCCACTTATAAAATCAATTTCATTTATAATTGGCCAATCCACACCTTGGCTTGGGTCAAATAATCACGCAAATACAAATTGTACTAGAAACTTGTTATTTACTGTTAACATTGACAGGTACAATTTGTCTATCAATGTCAATCAGCTTCCAAAATAGGTCCTTTTGTAGAGGGTAAAGTTATTCTTCAGGATGGCCATTCAACTTTTCCCCTCCCAGATTATCTATAATTTAATATGCTCTATTAGTGGTGGTTTTGTCCTATAAAACCAATTTTTTACATTTATCTAATAATATTTTGTTGTCTTAGTAGTTTTCTACCGCTTGTGGTTTAATCTTTTTTTTTTATATATGGCATCTAAAAAGTTTTTAACATCTTATTACATTTTACAATTCTATATTTAAAATGATATAAAGATATAGATTGTATTAAGTGTAATAAATTTCAATATTTCTCTATCTATGTGGGCAATCATCATTTTGGTATGCCTTTCCTCGCTGGGTTTGGCTATCAGATGTTTCAACATTTTGCCTTCTTTATAGTGAATCTCTCAAAGATGTACGAGCAAAAAGTTCAAAAAGCTTCGTTTAACCAGAAAAGCACATGACAACTGTAACCTCGAAAGATGGGCAGTTCAATTTGTATAAGGTACAAATTTTGACAAAGAACATTTTTCACCAACAGGAGAAAAAATTTGTCTTCTAATCGTTACTGATCATTTTAGTCTGCCTATCCTTGCCATGTTGGCCTGTCAGACGCTTTTCGGCATTTAGCGATTTTCAGTGACTGTAGAAATTAGGATTTCTGTGAAGTTGTCTCTTATATGAGTTATGTAGGCGTTTTAGAAAGAAGTCCATTTTTTTAATTGTTAAAATTGTCTTTTTTAATGTGGTGATTAGTGAACGTTAGTCTATGATTATTGGGAAATGGTGTGACAGGTTTCAGAAAAACAATTTCTTTATCGTGCCAACGTTTCGATCTTTATTGAGACCATCTTCTGGGCTCAGTGTTTGTTTTCTGTGTAATTGTGCCATTCTTGCATGTCATGTTGTGTCTTTTTTTACATTGGTATTGCTTTAAATGGTGTAAATACCTGAACATGAACTATTGTTAATTTGTGTATTTGTTTTTTAATAACAGATTTTGTATTTGTAATTTTCCAAGTTTCAGAGACATTCATTTTCTGCCCATTTTGTACTTTGCGTAATAGTTTCATTATCGAAGCAAGTTGCATACTTTGACTTTCAAATGTTCACAAACGATTATATAATTGTTCTTTGTATTTGATCTTCCTTCCTGTCTATTCAATATGTTCGCCTTCGGACTTATCTGTTTGTTAAATGTGTCAGGTCAGTTTTATCAAACTTTTTATGTAGTGTTTTCTGATTATATTGTAGTCTTTGGGTAGTTTTTATTCTGTCCTGTAATTTTACCATTTTGTTTCAGTGAGGGTGGTTTGAGTTGCCCTAAACTGAGTTTTCCATTGCTTAAAAATCACTATTGTACACCTAGCCAGGACTATCAAACTTTTGAAAAAAAAAACATGTTTCGGGGTGAGCTGACCGGCTGGAATTTTTTTAATGAACATGAAAGGACTTCAAATTGTCTTTTTCTCAATTATACTCTGCAAAAGCGTGATACTCTAAACAATACAATCACAAATTTCATTCGAAAAAAAAAAACAAAAAAAAAACAATTTCGTTAAACCCGACACTGAAATGGCACTAAGTGAGGAAAGGCAGGCCTAACTGATCGGTACTTGTCAGGTTTATCACCTGCAGACAATACAGAGAAATATCACAGAGTAAAAATTTATTAACCAATTGATGACACCCTGTATAAAAAATATTTGTCATAAGACAAGTTCATTACATTTTATAAAACCTCAAATTATCCGTTAGAACATCCTGCAACTCATTTTCAGGTGAACAAAAAATAAAATCTTTCGATTGTGTTGTTTAAAGTTGATCTGTTTTAATTTTATTTTAACAAGTTTTGTGAACACTTGTTCCAGGTGTGGTAAACAATGCTGTTTTTGCAAATAGTTGATCCTATAAAAACTAAAATAACTAATGATACTGGACAAAAAATTAGGTTGTCATATCCATGTAGGAACAAATAGCACAATTATGTAAAAAAAAAGGAATATAATATATTAAAGGGAAAAAATACAGTTGCATGTAAATATTAAGAATCATTAATTATTTTTGTAAGAATGGTTTACACGTTATTGATTTGCATAAAACTTGACAAAAATGTACAGATAAATTTACAATAAAAAAAAGGAAACATACAAGAAAAAAAAAATGTCTAAACATGCCTGAGAAACGAGCAAATTAAATGTAAAATTAAATTTATCTCCTTCATGATGCCTGACACTCTCATTAATCAATTTTCTTGCATTCACATATGTACTGATGGCCTAACATTGAAACAGGGGGGTGGGAGAAGAACATTGATGGCCTTTACTTCTGTAACATAAAACAACTGTTAGAAACTTTTATGTTCAATGCAATTTATAAATACAAAAAACATACCTCATCTAACTTGGCTTTTTTTCCTTTGTTCTTTGTTGAATTAGCTTGGGCAATTTTACGTTTCTTATCTTCAATCTGCAAATAAAATATGTTAAAAATAAAGAAAATCGAGTATCGGTAGACAAGAAAAATATATTGTTTAAATGAAAATCACAACAGGCACAATTATTATAATCCACTTCACTTATACAAAACCATAAAACCCAATAAAATTCTTTTTATTTCTCCAAATAAAGATTGTTCTTTCCTTGGTCAAATCGTATTGTACAACGTAACATTTACATTTTTTAAAGTTATCCTCAAAATATACATAAGGAAAAATATATTTGTCAGCAGCTCACTATACACAATTAATATAGGACCTGAACCACTTACATTATTCCTCTCTGGACTCTCTTCCAAATCGTCAAGGTCTTCCTCGTCGAGTTCATCTTCTAGATCTTCTTCTTCATCGTCATCCCCCACCAATTCACCTGCTGATTAATCAAATATGGTTTATAGTAACTACGATCATTTGCAAATGTTAAGCACAGCTTGTGTAAAATACTTGCTTCCAACTGTGTGGTTTCCAAGGAGGTGGACTGGTCCAGAGCCTTTGACTAGGTGGAATGTGACAGGCGGATCCGGGAAGAGGAGGTCGAGCACTGCCTGGGACTGTGGACCACCTCCTTTCATAACTGCAATGGGAAATCTGACATCTGATTTATAACCCATAGCCTCAACTTCTACCACGTTAACCTCTCCATCTTTTGCATCTGCTCCTAATACTATCTACAAAAGAAATTTAAAAAAAAATATATATATATAATTATTCTAATTACATATTTATTAAAGTTCATGTTTTCCTCTTTTATTTGAGGAGTTCAGATTGTTTAATTTTAATCACCAAATTTCAGCCGCAAATTACCCATTTAAAATATATCATCATTTATTCATACATTTTATTTTATTTTTTTTTTTTTTTAATAAGCTCTTTCAAGTATCATACCTGTTTAACAAGAAGTGTGTGTTCTCCTCGGATGCCTTGTGATTCATTGCCATCTACGGCTTTCATATCTGGGTCCCATACCTCCTTATCTTTGTTCTTTTTTAAAGTAACTCCTGCAGACATAATGCAAGATTTGTTTATTACATAAAAATTGACAAAATCCAATAATATTAAAATGTGAGATTTTTATGTCGGGGGAAGGGTTGAACCAGCGAGTGATTAATTTTGTTTGATGTATTACATATTATCAGGTTAATTAATTAATAATTAACATGATTGAGACGCATTGTAGTATGTTGTGTTTAGCCTTTGGGACTGCTGTGAACTGCACCAACATAGCTTGCATAGAATCGATCATGTATGGAACCTGTTAAAATAATCTCAAGGTTGGAACGGATTTTTCATTTAATTAGTCGTTACATTTAATGGAAGATGTCAACCTTAACCAACCGGTGATACATTGCATTAATTCCCGGGATATGTCCCAGACTTCAGTTTTCCCAACTTCCGACTGAAATTGCCCATCAAAAACCAAAATAATTGAGAATTCGAATACTGTTGGAAAGCTAATAAAATGTTGAAGTTTTTAGCTGGTTTAACACTTTTTAAAAATGTGATGAGAGTGCACAAGTTGCATGTGTACAAACATTTTAAAGAAGTTATTCCAAAAACCATTTCGCAAATTTCATGTTTGTGAAAGTTATTTTGTTAAATAAATAGACTAATTGATTCCTTTTCGCAGGAATGTGGATTCATTAATGTATGGCAAAATTTTCTAGTTGTAAGCTATATACATTATATCAATATTTTTAATATTTCTGGACCGATTTACGTTGATAGTCATTTTTTCAAAGGGAATCGTACCTAAAAATACGATTATAAAAATTTACAAGTCAAAAAATTTGAAGATAAGGTATTTATTATAATTATTATTAAGTAATTATTATGTGAAAATGGCAAAATAACTCTTCAGCTTACAAAATAAGTTACCGGCCATGTGGTTTTTATGTGAGTCTATGATTATTCGGAAATCATGAGATGCGGTCTGGTGTGATATAAGTTTCAGAAAAACATATGCCTCATTATGCCAATGTTTCGATCTTTATTGAGATCATCTTCGGGGCCTGGGATTTACAAATGTTGTTTAAATTTAACAAATGTAGGATGTGGAAAAAAGTGAATTTATACAATGCAAAATATATATATATATATATATATATATATATATATATTTTTTTTTTCNTTTTTTTCAATCAAGCTTGGGTGTTTTGCAATCATAGATATGTTGCTTTACTTTCTTATCCAGATATTGGGATGTAAGTTGCTGGACAGTTTAAACAATTGATTTTGAAAATTAAGTCAGATTTATTTGTTACTGGTGTGGGATCTTTAATTTTGGAAAAAAGTGTGAATTGTTTTATAGATTTTGAAAGCTATTTTAAAGTTATCGGAAGAGAGAAATGTGTTTAATTTATGTGATAGGCCTTGAATGACTGGCATGGAAATGGTATGTTGGTTTGTTTGTATTTGATAGAGTTGATATAGTATTATTAGTAATAGTGGATTGTGGAAGTGTTGAGTTGTAGTTGTTGAGTGTTTAGGGTAGTGATTGTTATGGAGGATCTGTTTGTATATCTGTATGTTCTTGTGATGAAATGATTCATGGCTTAGGGTAATAATTCTGTGAAGTAACCCTTTGGCCATGTTTATTATTGTATGAAGAAAATGGTGAGATGTAAAAATGTCTCAATAAAGATCGAAATGTTGGCACGATAAAGAAAATGTTTTTCTGAAACCTACGTCACACCAGACTGCATCTCACGATTTCCAAATAATCTTGCACAACTTTCATTAGATAAATTATATAGGAGCCAGCCTCTGTAAGACCTATGGACTGCGAGTATTTTAGTCTATTGTGCATTCACCATGTTCATAGAGTAAAATTCTTTATAATAACAGTAATTTATGGTTTAAACAGCTTGTAACTTAATTAAAGCGTGTTAATGAGTATGGGTTTAAACTCTTAGGGGCCTGTTGTATCAACCTCGGTTAAAACCAAGGTCAAAGAAAGAAGCGTTACACCATCTGTAAAGGGTAGTAAACTCGTACACAAAATCATGCAACTGTCTATAGACAAATCGCCAATGTCTTTTAGACTGTTGCGGAACATATCAAGATGATCAAGAAAATTTGTCACACCTCAGTTAAACTAGTTCCCGCGATAACGATATGAGAGCAGCCTGCAGCATATTGTTGCTTTGTAATTTTTGATTTTGCCAGGCGTCCAACATTTGTATTGACTTTTCTGGAAAAATTAAAATTAGAAGGTAGTTCAGGTTTCAGAAATTTCACTCGGCTAACCACCATGGATTTTGAAAATTTACTAATTATGGTTGAAAATAAAATATGCAAGCAAGAAACAAGACTCAGAGCAACCATTTGTCTTTCTGTTGTTTATGTTGCGCAACGTGTCTCAACTTTTCTAAACGAGCAGGGAACCATGATGTGTCATCTGTGTCTACAGGTAGTTGCAGAACTATTTGGTCCAACAGTAGAATTTCTTCTATGAAACTAGCCCTTAAGGGACCACAGTTCAACTGAACTCGTTGGTCAAACTGAGCATTGCACTATGTATTCTAGTTAGTGATCATATTTGTTCATTGTTAACACTGGGTGTTGTACGACTTTAATTTTTTAGCATCTAGAATTTTTGAGGGTTTTACCAACACCATTAGAAGATGTTCCTGTACAACAAAAGATGTTCCTCTACAACAATAACAAAGAACGATTTTCCAACTTTATGGATGTCCCGCACACAATTCTTTGCACGCGAGACATTATTTGAATCGTCACTTCCGGGATAGGTGGATAGAGCCACATGGTCCGATCTGTTGGCCTCCTCGGTCACCCGATTTAACTCTGATTCTACTATTTTCTCTGGGGTCGTTTAAATAACAATACCTATGCCCATCATAACCCAGCAACCACAGTGGAAGGAACTGCGGCAAGATTAGAAAATGCTTGTAAATCCATCTCCCCTGACTCTATCGCTCTGAGCACCTGTGAAGAGTGGTTAAAAAGAGCAAATATTCGCATATTTACACAAGGCAAGGCAGATTGAACATGAAATCTGATTAATAAACAGCAAACCAAATGACTTTTTTTTTTAACTGTTTGTCATAACTGCCTTTTTTTTGACAAATTTAAAATCTGATTGCACCACGTAAAAAATCCTTTAAAACGACGTCAGGATGTATAGGGACGTATCTGAAATTGTGAAGTAGAACTGAGCCTGAAATACCCTGTATTATTTTCCTCCAAAAATGTAAAAATTAGAAAATTTAAAACTGAAGACCTATTTTTTTTTGGATAGCATCATTTGTTTAAGAGATACAGCCGGGCCACATAAAAAAAATAAAAAAAAAAGACCCCGTATATACAATTTAAGTAATAACTTGGAAAAATGCATATACTCTAACAATTTTTTTCTTTCCTCTTGATAATTCGAATTATTTTTGTGGTGCCTCGGGTTTCAAATTATTGAGAATAGACTGTACATATAAAATATATACTGAATAGATGGAAAATGCATTAGTTCTATTACCAAAGAAATGAAAATTACCAGACCCACTATTTCAACATTAATGTCTGGCACAAAATTTATGATTTTATGAACTTCTCGGCACAATAATGATGACACGACTTGAGTACATATATGCGACGAGTTCTAGGGCAAAAGAAATACCAAGTGCCGGGCTTACTATTCCTAATTAGAAAAACAAAACTACAATTAGAACTATGTATAATTAAAATAACTGTGGCCGTCAAATCAAAAGTTAATACATTTTTATTTAAACGTGAGAACACGCCTTTAACATCTTAAATGGAATATTATTATGAAATAGACGTTGTTCGGCTTTCATCTAGGTTTAACCCATGCTAGACAGCCGTTCAGATTTGAACCAGAATTATCGTTTGAATTCGTTTCAGTAATAAATTTGAGCTTAAAACAATCGTTTCAGTACTAAATTTGAATTTAAAAAACTTAAATAAGTGAATGTTAAAAGGGAAAAATGAAAACGGTACAAAAATCACATTCCGCCACGTGTTTTTGAATATTGCGCCAAAGGCTGGAGCGACTCGTTTCCTGTTAATGTAAATCGGCCATATTGGATTCATGCCCGACGAGCGTACGACCTTTGTTCCGCCCAACGAGAAACCATTAAAAACCCAAATTTACAAGAAGATTGATTAATTAGAGGTAAATTCGAGGGTACGTTCTGGAGAGAAACGAAGACGAGGCGACCGAGGCAAAGCTGCAAAGAACTTTGACTAGAAAGCATTGCCAATCGGCGTTACAAGTTCAAAACAAACTTCCGAATTAAATATATATTTTGTTAAATAACTATTGCATAATCGTGACGTTCTAATGCAAAATTTTTTAATCTATGCCGGGAAAAGGCTAACGGCTAGACTCGACACATAGGCGAATCGAACTGTTCGTAATATGTTTGTGAGAATATACTCGAATCAGACGCATGGCAGTCGGTCGGGTAAGGCCGGCCGAAGAGACGCCAGAAACAATTTGACGTTTTACGAAAACGTGAGAGAATGAAATTAAAAAAGTTTTAAAAAGCGGACGTCGGTTGTGCAAAATGGACCGGCCGGATTAAAAAATCAAGCAGAACGACGAGAAGGAAAAAAAAGGAATCGAGAAGATGGAACGAACGGCGCGGGGAAGCGGCTTTAGGCCGGCGAGAGCCCTGCGCCGCTCCGGAGGCGTAAAATAGGCGAAATCGGGCAGACACGGCGGCAAGATGGTTAAAACTGAGAACGGTCAACGTGGGAAAAATGAACACTCACCCCAGAAGTAATCTTCAGTCATGATGGCTGCGAGACAGACGGATAAAATTCAGCAGTTGTCGAGGGCTTAGCCGGCGTTAAAATGGCGGAGGCGTTCGTCGGGTCGACTCGACTACCAGGCTGGGCACGCGACTGCGCACGTCCGTACAATTTCCCACCAGTGTCCAACGATAGCCAACCGACTTCCAGTTTTTAACATTTCCACTAATTTTAATCATTACCTGCCTCCCCAGGATTGTAATATTATTAAATATTACTAAAATTTACTATTACTAATACTGACACAATTCCTTAAACTTCATTGCGAACTATTATTTTATTTGGCGATGAATCTCCGTTTCCAAACAATAAGAGCCCCCTCCCCGATTGAAAGTAATGTTCTAGAAGAAGAAAAAGGAAACAATTTCATACATTTTCTGCCTGTTACAGTTTTCTTCAATCCATTATTTATTTTTTATTATTACGTTTTTCTATTCCCAAGCCACGTATAAAAAAGTCAATGAACTGGCAGACAGTGCAGCAAAATCTACACACAGTCAGTCTATCAGTAAACCCAGATTTGATACAATCCCAAGATATCTGTAGCAAATTGGGATAGAGAATGGGCAAACATAGAAGATAATACAGACAAACCAACATACATATCCATTCCATTCGTTCACGGCCTATCATACAAATTAAACATATTTCTCTCTTTTCCCATAACTTTAAAATACCCTTAAAAAACTATAAAATTATTCACACTCTTTTTTAAAAAAAATTAAATATCCCACACCAGTAACTAGTCTTATGTATAAATTGTCCGGCAATTTACATCGTTATTACATCCCGATATCTGGATAACAGGGTAAAACGACACATCTATGGTTGCAAAAAACCCAAACAAAATCCTACAGCACTGACTACCCACCATTTTGAACACCAACACAGTTTCAATTTAAACAGTCCAAAAATATTAAACACAGAACGAAACAAACATAAACATAACTTTTTCGAAACGGTTTACATCAACAGAGATAAACACTGCATCGATTACATAATAGACACATATAAACTCAGCCGCAGCTATGCTAATATCATAAATGAAATTCAATATCAATAACATAAATAATAATAGAATAATACATAATAATAGAAGATAATAAATTAAGCGCTATAAAAATCATACACAGACAAAAAGATTGAAAACATCAAGCCAAAATAAACGAAGGGTTGATGTTGCAATCTGCAGATTACGAATAGGTCACACTCACATAACACTATTTAATTGACCGCAGTACCCCTTGTTTCAATAAATATTAAGTTTCAAGCACAAGTCCCAGCCAAAATGCAGGTCCAATTCACTCCCTAGTGTTTTACCAATTATCTTAGGGGACGACCAAGATACATTGAATGAAGTTATACAAAATTTAAAATAGAGAAATTTATTTATGAATTTTAAATATACAAAATAAAAAGCAAATAAAAGGCGACGATAACCAAATAGTTGATCACCTATAAAAAAGAAAAAAACTATTATTAACAAAAATAATGGTTATACACAATAGTTACAGTAAATTTCAAGCATAGCAAAAATCTGGCTACTCCATAATTTATTTAACAGTGGTTAACTTATTAAAGAGGATTTAAATTTACATTAAAAAATAAATACATAATTAAACCAAAAACCAAATATGTTCTCTTTTCTTTTACACCCTGTAACACATAGTTAATCTTAAATTAACAAATAAAATTTAAAAAAAGAAAACCTAATGCAATAATTTAACAATGGCTACAGAACAAGATTAAAAAAAATAATAATTAAACTTTGAGTGAATGTGACCAGATTTAAACTGATTTATTAAACCTGGTAGATATTTTTTTAGCTTTGCATAAACTCTTGTTATTAACATTTTATCATGACAAGCAGATCTGGTCAATTTTTTTCTTAGTTGGTTGTACAAAATAAGTTTAAAAACCTCAATAATCTTTTCTTCACTTATATATCTTGGAAAATGATTCAGGTTTACGGTTATAAAATAAAAACAATTAAATAAATAATTTTAAACATTTTTTTATTAATTAAAACACCCTTAATCGATATCAATTCACTTCTCCCACGTGATGGCCAACTTCTGAATAGAACGATGAGTCTTATTATAAAAAAATTCTATAAATGCATTTTCTGATGACCAATAAATTTTTTATGTTGTAAAATGTTGGAGCAGAACCTTATAACTAAGACCTTATAACTTTTTCAACATTTTTCCTGTTGCCGCAAGTGAAACTGGGTACGAGCATTGACGTGTAACATAATCGGTCTTTTCCGATTTATAACTGGTTGATTGATGATGGCTTCAATAATGTCAGTTTCTGGCGTATTGCCTCAATTTGAAAGCAATACATTTCTGCATTGTTTTGCCAGGATTCATGAAGCTTTAGTAATGAAAATGAAGCCCGCCAAAGAGTCACCATCACCTTTTTTTGTTGGGTCGGGGGCTTTGGAAAATACGGTGCCACTTCTTGTTTGTTTCTGACCGTCTTGTCTGCCAGTCAAATCCTCGGACTGTTTTGCTAGTCAAAAACTGATCACAAACCTGGCCTGAAAACGTGTTGGAACAGAACACTAGTTTGGACTTTGGGCTTGGTGTTGGAACGCCGACGGCCGAACCGCAAGTCCGCACTACGCGGATGGAACAAGATAACTTATCAGTGAGTTGGTTGTAGACAATTCGCGGGAAACGGAATCCCTACTCCGTGGGAATCGTCCGGTTTGGGCTTTAATATACCAAACAAATTCTCTTTCATTTCGACTGGAAATAAGTAATACGGAAAATAAAATGAGCCAGAAAAATTTGTTGCAGTTCTTCAAACCTTCGCCAACGGGGAAACGTCCCTTGGCTGAAATTGCCGGTAATCAAGTGTCCGCCAAGAAAGCCAAACTGGACTCAGGTTTCTGTTTTATTTGTTTTTCAAATGTTTCACCTATGTCGACGATTTATTTACATTTCTTAATACTTTTGGGTGCCGATAGATTAAATTTGAGTGTCTTTCAAGTTGAAAATGTGATCCATTGCTTCCCGTATTTCATGAATCATCATGTGTCTATCATAACGCACATGTACCACATTTTACTCAAATTTATTTTGAGTTTCTTCGTAAACTTTATTGCTTTGGATGATTTGTTGTCACAAAACCATCTGTTGACAATGTTGTTTATGTTTATAGTTTAATTCATTAATCCATATATGATTTAATAGTCATAGCTGACCGTATTTATTATTTTAATTAATTATACTATCTAAGGTCTTGGTTGAGATGAAAAAGCTTGTGACTTTTAACTTAACATGACTTTTAATGTTAAGGCCTCTCAGACGAGGCGGCTAGTTGATTCAACTAGTATGGATGGGTGTCAAGGAGTCGTGGTAGCGAAATGTTTGGGAATTGCCCCATCGCCTTTACACGGTCAACTTGTCCGCCCGGGCGGGTGGCCAGCAGGCACAAGTGCCACTCACGTTCTCATCCCCATTGGTTGACTCAACACAAAAGACACTGCTCAGTATTTGTCTCACACCAGTCACCTAGTTGAGTCAGCGAGTTCACGATGGAAAGCGTTGCATTTGCAAGTTTCAATGTGAAGCGGTTCATTGAAGAAATTCGTATTAGTCCCGCGATATGGGACATGTGGGGTGAGGAGTATAGCTACAAAATTAAAAGAAGCGAAGTTTTGAGGGAAGTAGCGCAACAGTATTTGAACGAAAGCGCCCGTTTCCCAATTTTATAACTACGGGTAAACCCACACTTTTCTTTACTGGGTTTCCTCATTTTTTGCTTCTCGTCTTGCAGAAGCAAGCACAAGAAGTGCTCTCGCTTCCTCGGGTTCTACCTTTGTACTGGCCTGTTGAGAAAAGTGGTCGATTCCACAAGTTGCCTGGTGTGAAACCAGCAAAGAAAGTCTTCACACGGCAGTAAACTAGCTGAGTCAACCGGGCAACTTAGTTGAATCAACCAAACTGCCTCGTCTGAAAGAGGCCTAAATGAAAATAAAATAAACTAATATCAAATTTAAAATATTTCAGACGCCCAAGAGCCTAAAGAAACAGATTCCGTTGAAAAGGTTGATTCCAAGACCAAAAAAAATGGTATGTATTAAACGACATTAATATTTATGTGTGGTGATTAGTGACCGTTAGTCTATGATTATTCGGAAATTGTGAGATGCGGTCTGGTGTGACTATTCAACTACTGTGATTCTATGGTCTTCAGGTTTGTGGGGAAATGTCACTTAGCTCCCTTCTGGTTGGGCAACCCGTCAGATTTACATCCTTCTTTCTAAAATAGATGTTTGTCCATTTCTAAAACTATTTTCTTATTTTAACAACTAGCTAAACTTATTCTGAAATGGGGACTGGCTTACATTGTATTTACGTTTTAAGTCAACTATTAATTTTATTCCTAGTTATTATGGATTTTTTGTGTCTTTATGCTTGAATAGAACAATGTATTTTATATTTAAAATTCTATTATGTATTTTGTATCGCATTTCTCTTTCTCTCAGAGTCCTGTACTCCAAAGAGATTGCAGATGTCCCTCCCCTTTGAGCCGAAGCCTGAGGACATCAGGGAAGAGATTTTGGATTTTTCTAAGAAGTTGCCAATCATCGACCCTAAAATAGGCCCATCTTGGTTTAAGGCTCTGAAACCAGAGTTCAAAAAGCCATATTTTAAAAAAGTAATTTTGATACCCCATTCGATATCCAGGACAAAAATAAACTTTGTTTTTATTTTCAGCTTAATGACTTTGTCATGTCTGAGAGGAAGTCGTACACAATATATCCCCCTGCAGACAAAGTCTGGACCTGGACAAAGGAATGTTCTCTTAAAGACATAAAAGTAGTGATCCTCGGACAAGACCCTTACCACAATCCCAACCAGGCACATGGCCTCTGCTTCAGTGTTGAAATCGGAACACCTCCCCCACCCAGGTAAATCATCTTAACCTTTATTTACTAATTAAAAATAATTATTTTCATTTTAGCTTGCTTAATATGTACAAAGAATTATCAACCGATATTCAAGGGTTTAAACAACCAAATCATGGTTATTTAATCAACTGGGCTAGACAAGGTAAAGATATTTTTTTGGTCGGTTACAAGATAGTCATGTATTTAATAAATGATTGTTTAATATATACGATGATTTTTTAAATAAAAAAGTTTCACGAGTAGAATTTGGACTTTTGGATATATATACTCCAATCCCCATGGCCATGACACAGCCGTTTCCCCATAGCTCTTTTTATTGTGCAATTCCCTTATTGAATCATGGTGTCATGTAGCTGCTCTAAGATCCTTAACGATGATGTGACATATTTAATTATAATATTTCTTCTAGGAGTCCTACTGCTTAATGCCTGCTTAACAGTTAGAAAGAACGTACCAAATTCACATAAAGACAAAGGCTGGGAGCAGTTGACAACATCGGTGATAAAATATCTCAATGATCACCATGAGGGACTTGTTTTCCTCCTGTGGGGTTCTTACGCACAGAAAAAGGCGGATTTTGTCAACAAGGTATGTTAACTATTGCAGTGTGTATATTGAATACCCCCTCTCCATTTTATATTTAGGGATGGAGTTATCTGTTTGATTTAATTTTAATGAAAATGATGTAGTAAGATTGTACATTGTTGGAGAAGAAAGTTTGTTTGTCATATAATGGACGGATCACCACTTTAACTTGAAAAATTAGAAAAGCATATAAAGAAGAAGTAAAGTAGTAAAGTATATAAGAACAAGCACAGTTCACAGTATACTAAATTTTGCATTGAAACATGCAAGCTGTTCATCAAAATTCAAGTGACAAATTTATCAAAAGAATTATTAACTTATGATAGGCTGAATGATCAAGAATGATATAAAGGTAGCCATTCAGGATCGCTCCCGTCAATAGCAAAACTGCCGAATATTTGACCGGTCCAAACTCCATTGCGCACTCCAAACATCTACGGCGCGATGACAGCATGGCGTGTTTGTGAATGGAAAAACCTGGCGTGAACGGTGGAGTATTGGCGCGCTAGCTTGGTAAACGGGTAGAAAACCCGCTTTTTTTTTTTCTTTTTTTCGCAGTCTCAGTCTTTCTGTCACTGAGCAAACATCTCATCACCATCGAAAAGTCAAAAACGTTTATTCTTTATTGGCAATGACATCCAATCGAGATTTTATTGTTGAGGTGATTGAATTGTATAAAAGTTTACCATGTTTATGGAAATAGAAATAAAAGAAATTCAGCCTTTGACCAGTAGTTCGACCTTTTTGAAACAAAGGATACAAATGCAACGAGAGATGCGGTATTGATAACCCCTAAGCGCTGAGCAGAAATTGTAGTGAGAACTTAAGTTCTTCGTAGTTCATCCCTGAAGCGAGAAATCGTAATGTGGCTGCCAACCTTTTATGTGGAGTGATGATTTCTCCCATGACTGTCTTTTGTTTTTTAATCAAGGGGGTAACAAGCTGGAGTAAATATGAATAAGACGTTTCATCCATCCTTAAATACATTCACTATTTTTCATGGTCCGCTTGACCAATTAATATCATTCAATAAATTGAGGTTTTTAGTTGAGATAAAAAAAGTCAGTGTCACGAGTGGGATTCAAACCCACGACCTTCGGCTTGATAAGCCGCTACTCTACATAGCTCAAGTGGTAGAGTAGCAGCGTATCAAGCCGAAGGTCGTGGGTTAGAATCCCACTCGTGACACTGACTTTTTTATCTCAACTAAAAACCTTAATTAATTGAATCATCCTTAAATAGTTCCTCCAATCAGCAGGTTCAAGGGAAAGATCTTTGATCAAATTGATGTGGGTATTACGACTTCTGTTCAGGAGCCATTTACACCATTTCCTCTTCGGTTTTTTGCTTTTTATATATAAACAAACAGCATAGCACAAGAGATCGTCATCCATTTTGAGGAAGTAATTCACTAGATGACGATCGGAGCGACTGGCTGTGTAGCGGTCGTGAATGCCCTCTCAAATTTCAGCACTCCAAATGGAACTATTCTGCTCGGCGCGGTTCCATTTGGAGCGATCATGAATGGCCACCTTAAGAAATCCCACCATTAGGGGTGTTAAAAGTTCAAAATCGCTTTAATGATTATTAACCATTGAATACTACTTTCTGAGATTGAAAGTAATTTGTTGAAAATAAATAACATATGTTTTTTTTTCCCCCTAGAAAAAACATCATGTCCTCATGACTGTCCACCCTTCACCATTGTCTGCAAGCAGGGGCTGGTTTGGTTGCAAGCACTTCTCACGATGCAATGAATTTCTGACAAAAATGGGGAAAAAGCCAATTGATTGGGGAAACGTTTAATTTTTTCTGACATATTATTTTTCAATTGTATTTTATAACTATTTGTATTATGACATGTTTTTAATAATATATTTTTTAATTAATTTGTTTTTATTGGTCTTTATCTTTAGTTGAAAATATAATTGTTTTTTATTTATTTATTTTTATTTTTTTAATTTACAGTTACAGCAATGCCAGGGTGCTACACGCAACCTTTTTGTCTTTATATATTTTGTATTATAACATTATTAAGGTGGAGAAGTAATCCACTAATTACACTCTTATCGCAGAACCATTCAGTTTTCTCATTAGGGAGGAAATCACGAGGATATTGGAGCTTTGCATCGGAGGATTGTTAGGATGAAATGTGTTAGACTAATATTAGATAAGGGTTTAAGATTTTATTGAGGTGTCTCTATCGACTTCTTCCTGTTTTGAGGACAAATAGGATGTGGAGGTTTGTGAACAGTAATGATAGATACCAAGTAGAGGGAGCTTTGGCAATGGTTCGATGGATTTTGGACTGAGGTGACGAGATAATTTGTAGGTTGGAATACTTGATTGAACCCCATAGTTCAATTCCATACGTCCTTATTGGTTTAGTGAGTTTCGATCTGTTATCAAATAGTTTATATGATCTGTTCAGTTTTCTTCTGAATAAGTTTACTGGGTGTGGGGGTTCCAAATAAGTTTTGTCGATGTACAGTACCACGTAAGGAATGCCATTGGATGTTGGATTTGGTTTTGTTATGTTTGATCCTCCATTTCACCTTCAAAATCTCAATGAAGAACATATGTGGGTGTTCAAGAACTCGCCACTGGCCATTTGGTGTCTGCGGACCCAGCAAGGAAAATGTTCTATGGATTGTTGAGTGTGGTGGAGTGGGAATAAATGAACTGTCAAAATGTTCCATGATTTGTTATGGAAAATGAAATTCCTTTGATATCTTTTTATCGGCTTTTATATATTGTAAGAGTATCAGGGAGGAGGCCTACAAGGAAAAAGCACGTTGCCAATCTTTCTACTTATCTTCATCCGGACTACAATCTAGAACTTAAATAAAAATATGGGGTTGTACGGAAAATATTGTAGGTTTTTATGTTTTATTTGAATTAACCCTCTTTTAATGAACAGTTTACGTTTGATGGTTTATTCTTTTGAACGAGTGTCATCACATTTTAATCCTCTTCCAAACAAAAATATTTGTTTACGTCAGTAACATTTTGTTACTTGGGAATAATTCAGTCATTACTAAGATGTCGACACATGATTTTTGGTTAATTTCGTCTTATGAGTTAAAACTCAGAACAGTGCCCAAAGGCCAGAAATATTAAGCCCCCCATACCTACGATCAAATTGTGAAAACGTACGTTGTACAACAGGCTATTGTGCAAACAAGGTCCCCCATACACTATACGCATTTTTTTGCATACTCCAGTTGTTTTTGTCTTGTTTTAATGGTAACATGGCATCTCTAAGGTCAGAGCACTAATCAGCTGCTACAGATTAATTAGCGAGAGCAGCTGGAATCATAAGTGCAACAACATAGGTCACTCGAAAATCTCACAACTATTGAGTAAGGTTAACGGTCAATTATTAAGTGTTAGTGATAAAAAGATTAAAACCCCTTCGGGGAAAAAGCACTTTCAGGTGATTGTAATTATAGTCTGGATGATGACCATTGTAACATAGTCTGCTACACAGATGGATCACTTATCAAAGGAAGAGGGAGTGGTGTACGGATCTACATACCAAAATTAGGAATCAGCATCTCCTCCCCTCTTGGCAATAACACCTCTGTTTTTCAGGCGGAAATCTGGCTGGGCCATCAATGTGTGTTGGAGAACACTTATGGAAAATAAAATTAAGGGAAAAGATATTAAAATCTTTTCTGACAGTCAGGCTAGTCTTAGGGCATTACAAAAAGATTTGTCAACCTCACGACTGGTGGAAAAAACTATAGATCTTATCAATAGGATCTCTTTCAGGTTTGAGAATAAGGTGACCCTTATTTGAATACCAGCACATAAAGGACACCATGGCAATGAAAAGGCGGATGGCCTAGCCAAAGAAGGTTCTTATACTGCGTTTGTCGGTCCACATCCGGTATTACCTCACTCTATGAGCACAGCGAAAAGAGAGTATCAATAACTGGGGCATGAAACAATTCCTTAGGGAGTGGAATTTATCCCCCGGACACAGGCAATCGAAAGAGTTCGTTAAGGCGATCAAACCAGCAGAATCGAAATGGCTATTCTCTATCTCAAGGAAGGGAATTAGGAGGCTGATAGGTATTCTGACGAGCCACTGCCCGCTGAGAAGACACCTCTTCGTAATGGGTATCCTACCAAATCCCTTTTCCCGCTTCTGCGAAATAAAAGAAGAAACGGCAAGGCACTACCTGGCAGAATGTGATAGGTATGCTAGGTATAGATTTGAAATCTTTGAAGGAGAGGACATCACCAAATCACTCCCCGAGTGGTCCAAAATGGTCCAAAATCTTGGGGTTTGTGAACAAGTCCAAGAGGTTTATGCAGGACACGTGAACCGACCAAGTCCCGGACCTTTTAGGGATGGGGTACGAGTCTACCCAGGCATTTAACCCCTTGGGTCTTGGTCACCCACCCTGCATAATATATATATGCGTCTCGCAACGCAGCCTGTTTAGCTATATTAATTTCTATTGCGTCAGATGTTGGTGTGAAAAAAATTAAAATGAAGCAAAGAGTTTGGATGAAAGAGTGGTTAAAGGAAAGAACTGTTTTTAGCCACCCAAATCTCAAAGAACTTCAATTCAGTTCACCACTTGTCTATAAAAATTATTTGCAATGGACCCTATAACTTTTGGTGAATTACTAGAAATGGTAATACCATTTATACAAAAAGAGCCCATACACGTTGAGACAGTTGCGCAAAGCCACTCGTGCAATTAATTTCAAACAGTATTGAATTTCTGCAACTTGTTGCACAGCACCTCAAACACCATACAATTGTCTGCACAACAGCCTCAGTTGTGCAATTTGTTCGTAGGTGTATGAAGGGCTTTAATGAAGTCTGGGACGATGGCAGTGTGAGTGAGAGCACCGTTCCGAGATAGTTTAAAAAATTTCGAGAGGGAGACTTCGAGAAGAGAAAGGTGGAGGGATTTCTTCCCTAGATATTGGTCCAAGAGGTTTGGCAAAAAAAAATCTCAGAACAAGTGTCCAAGAACTATCCCGAAAGCATTGGAAAATATTAGATTACTCTTGAAAAAGTAAAATGAACAGAAAACATTAAAGTTATAAAGTTTTCTCTATAGATAAGTTATGGGTGAAAAGCTGTACTCCAAAGATTAGTGGAGTACTCATCATCCAAAGAAATGATCTGTAAATACATATATGTTGTACATGAACTTAAAATTGTTATTAAATTTTCAAACTTTAACAAAGAATACAATCTGGTCTTTGGTAAGTTTTTGTATTAATTGTAAAAACTTTGAATTACCTCAAGAGCTCCCATTCATGATTTTTTTATTATTTTTTAGAAATAATGGAATACAATGTGATCTTCAGTTTTTTAGTAGGATAGGAAAGGTAAAGTGAAGAAGGCAGAGGGAAAAATGATAAAAATATTTTAACTTGAATAAAAATTGAGTAAAGTATACAAAAAGTTTGATTGAAACATGTTCAATGTCGTGGAAGTGAGAATGATCCAGTTCTCGTGACTTGTGTCAGTTGACGCGCTGGCATTATCAGAGTCATATGATAAGGGCGAAGGAGGGCTGTAAAGTGTAAACAAGGGAGGTGGGAATTAATTCAAATCTGGAATGAACGGGAAGTGTTAATTAAAAGACTTTAGTTCATAAAAGTGTTTTTTAATATTAAAAATGGGACGGTTCAGAATCGTACGGCGGCTCCTGTGATATTTCCTCGTTAATGTCTTTTACGAGAGACAAAGGACGTCAAGGTGGGTCTGGAATTTTACGAGGGTTTCACGGCCGGCCTAGGCCGATTTCTGCCCCTGCTTTAAATAAACAGTTGCATTTGTTTTAGAAGAAAAAAAAAAAGACAAATGTTATAAATATTTATGTAGTTTACATCATCCAGACACATCCAGTCTTTGTTTTTCTCTACCCAATCTCAACCCCCCCCTCTAGGCTCTGTAAATGTGACCAAATTAATGTTAAACACTGGCACAGGCGAAGCATTCGATGGACCGCATTACAAATGGGGCATCTTCTGTTACAGATTTAAGTCGCCGACATGTTCCGCATAGATTCCTACATCACTTCTGTCATTCTCAGCTATGTCGACAAGTATGTTAAAAACTTCAAAAGGCAGGATGCCCAGGTATGGACTCAATAGTAAAAAACATGCGTATTCATATTGATTTATTTTTTGTAATTTTCTTTCCACTTGTCATGTGATCAATTAGTTTGTAATAACATAACAATATTTAAACTCACTTCTTCGGCTGACTGCAATTCGTTTAATTCAATGCTTTTTGGTCAACATCTCCATGTGACATTCTTGCCTTGACATACTTTTTAAACAGGAAAAGCCAATAAAGTACTGGAAAGTGAAATAAAATAAACGATTGACAGACAAGTTATTTCATTTGTTTCAACAACGATCACAAATGCCACCCAAAAATCAAACCATCAATTAATGCAATTTTCAAAAATTTTGCATGGCAAGATATACAATAAATAATTCAAACTAATTGCCTTTATGACAATCAAACCTGTAGGTAACTTTTTAACATAATAATATATTTCAAATACAAAAATTAAATTCATGTATACAAATAGTAATAATATGCATAAAAGATTGATCATGCCATTTTCCATCATATGAAAAACATATGCAATACATACAGTTAAAATTACAATGGAAAATTTATACTCTCTTGTGTTAAACAAAACTCCTAGGCAAAGTTCTTTGAAATACCACATTAAAAAAAGAGAGAGAGAAAAAAAAGCTGACAGTTGACAAATCTAAAGTAATATTGGATTGATCACTCCATCATGACCATTTATTATTATTTTAATCCATATATATGGTCATAATTGATTAAATTAATTATTTAAATTGATTATACTTTTTATCTAAGGTCTTGGTTGAGATGAAAAAGATAGTGTCACGAGCGTGATTCGAACCCACGACCTTCGGCTCGATATGCCGCTGCTCTAACCATTTGAGTTATCGTGATTTCCTTCCACTCGGACATCAACTCCTCATCCCAACCTGTAGAATTTTTCCCAACTAAAGTTTATTGGATTGGTATACTCACTCTATCATGACCATTTATTATTATTTTAATCCGTATATATTTAGCAGTCATAATTGACCATATTAATTATTTTAATTGATTATACTTTTTATCTAAGGTCTTGGTTGAGATGAAAAAGCTAGTGTCACGCAGAGTGAGTGTATCAATCCAATATAACTTTAGAGTTGGGAAAAATTCTATAGGTTGTAGGTTGGGATGAGGAGTTTGTGTCCAAGTGGATCAAAGTCACGATAGCTTAAATGGTTAGAGCGGCAGCGTATCGTGCCGAAGGTCGTGGGTTCGAGTCATGCTCGTAATGCTAACTTTTTCATTTCAATCAATAACTTACATAAATTCATTAGATTTCGTGGTCTGATTGACCAAATAACATCTTTCAATTAATTAATCTTTATGTAAGGTTATTCAGATATCTTTATGTAAGGTATTGGTTGAGATAAAATATAATCGATTACTATTAACTTTAATGTGTCAATCATTGGCTTCGGCGGTAGATGGAGCGAGTAATTATTTTTTATGCGAAGAGGTCGACCTTTCATCTTTGTCCCAGAACTTCTATCATAAATTGATTTTGGCTGTTTTTACATTAAAAAATCATTGAATCATCAAAATCAATTAAAAAAGTAAACCGAAGGTTGTGGGTTTGAATCCTACTCGTGACACTGACTTTTTCATCTCAACCAAGAGCTTAGATTAGATAAAAAGTTCAATTAATTAAAATTTATTAAAGTGAGACCCCTCTACAACGGACAGCTAAGGGAACCGAAAAATTGTCCATTGTGGAGGGGTAGGTTTAGTAGGTTTTATGAACAAAATTCATTCCTTAATCAATATTACTATAATATGTACATATAAGTATATTTATTATGTATTTAAAAATAAATATATTATATTTACATATTTGAATCATTAAAAAATTTGTATAAAATAATTTTAAACAAGTATGTAAAAATTTCGAATTCACTTTTTAAAATATTGCGTAATTTTTGTTTGATTGCTTTCGAACTTTTTTCCTTTATGATAATTTATTCTTGATTACATATTTGTTATACTATTGTATTATAACTCTGAATCTCCTTCCTCAAAAAATAAATAAATAAAATAAATACAAATAAAATAAAAAATAAAATCTTTGACTTTCTTAAGGGCCAAGACCTCTAGAGTACTAAGTAATTGACAGGTCAACTGAAAGTGAAAAAAAACAAAACAAGAATAGGTATTTTTGGAATGGAAACAATTTCTTCAAGAGAATAGGGCCAGTAGGGAAAAAATTAAATAACTTTTTATTTATTTATTTATTTTTGGAAGCAGGATGCAATCTTCTCAAGAACAACATTCTATGTATGTAATAAAAAAATTTAAGAAATGGTCACCGAAAAGGCAAAAAAAAGCTGTCCATATTTCATTAAAAGTAGCGTGTCCACGTCCGCTAGAGAGGTGTTCATTGTAGAAGGTTTCAAAATATATTAATTTCCTATATCATTGAGTCAGGAACAGACAAAATGGTCTGTTACGAGGGGCGACTATTAGGAGGGGTTTCACTGTATTATGTTGACAATTCTATCATGAAACAGACTATGAAAAGTGTCATTTGTGACTGGAAGCTCAGCTACAGCTCAGGCCCTTTTGTTAAGCAATAATGGCTAAAGAATCTAGTAAAACGGCATCTACGGAAGTACCTAATTTTCATGGCATAAAATATAACTAATCCTCAATAGATCTGGTTATTGATGTGACAAGAGAACTCAAAATTTAAAAAATAACTCAACTCTCTCAACTTTCAATCTGAACTGGTAATCTTTAAAAAAAAAATAACAACATAGTTTAGCGCCATTCTGTTGAAAAACACATACCTTTCCTGGATACTTTTAAAAATTCTGACCTCCCATGACCAGAATGTTACAAGGTATAACTTGACTCAGTTCAATGTACTTTACCATTTAACTCTTTTAAAATGTGTATTTTTGTAATTTTGTGCATTGAATTATTTTTATTGAAGGTATCATTATGGGAAGGTGATGGGTCCTTGCATAATCTTGACCTGGATTTGGAAGTGCTTGACCAAGAACTCAACCTTCCATTCAGCCTAGTTTCAGGGCACATACACGAACTACTGATCCATGTTCCTTGGACAAGAATAGCGTCAGAACCAGTTCAGATCACAATAAACACCATAGGTAGTGTAACTGGGAATTTCAACTTTGACATTCTATTTTATAATTACTTTTTTTTTTTAAAGAATGTGTTATGAAACTGAAACCTCCGGGGCAGGTGATGGGGCTCAAAAAGGCATCCAAGAAGAAAAAGTAATACAGATTATGAAAACATGCATTTATAAAGAATTTGAACAACTGTTCTTAAATTTATTTTACTTATAGGAAAACTGGAAGCACAGAAGAAAGTGGCCCTCCTCCTAGCTATGTGTCAACTTTAATAAATAAAATTGTGTTTAATATGTCTGTAACTTGTAATAATCTGATTCTTAAGTATGTTGAAGAGGATATTGTTTTGTCAATGAACATTAAAACGTTAAGTTTGAAAACAGTTAATTCAAATTGGACACCTGAATTTTCTGGTATACTATTTTTTTTTTTTTTAATGCCAAAGAACCATATTTTGTCCCATGAATAAATCGTATAAATTACTTTGGTTTCAGATTTAAATCTCACCCAATTAATTTTGAGGAATTTAGTAACTTTTACAGACGTCACAATCTGTTTAGACAAAAGAAATGCATCAGGAAGAATAGAATCATATTTGGTATATTTCATAATATAAGCTTTGATTATATACAAATTTGATTTTCTTTTTCTTTCCTCCCCTCAGGAACCTATTTTGTACAAATGTTCTCTGACTGTAAGACTGAGCCGTACATTCCCATCACCCACAGCCACCTCTGCCACTACAACAAGGGTTGGTATACAGTGTGAAAACGTTACTCTGTGCATAAGCGAGCCCCAGGTACAGTATAGCACATTTTAAACTAGAATTTCTTTCGATAATAAAACATGTTTTAGGTTTCGATGCTATTAAGGCTGGCTATGATGGTTAAGATGATGTTGAATTCACCTAAGGTAACGCCGACTCCTTCGCAGCAGTCTGTTGAGGCGAACCAAGCCGACAACAATTCCCCCACTTTACCTGAGGAAGTCCCTGTTGAATCGTGGTCATCTTGGATGTGGGGCTTTATGCCTTCACTCTTTCCCATTGCCTCAGAGGGACAGACAATAGACACTGTTGTAAACCGCAAGACACATCTTGGCTTCTATGTCAATGATTTTATTCTAGATCTCAAAGTAATTTTAAATATATAATGTATATGTACACACACACCCACACACACACACACCTGATATTTAACACAAAATGCTATTATATCCTTATTAATTAATTATTTCTATTCACAATCAATCCACCAATTAACACTTTTTCACTTATCATTTAGAAAACAGAAATACATTACAGTATGTTTTAAAAATACAGTAATTCCTCGACATTCGCCAGTTTCACTTATTTGCAAAAATAAAAATGCAGAAAAATTTCACAGCAACTTTTGGATTTCATTATTCACGAACAAAACAAAAAATAATTCAAGCTTTTGAATAGCTTTTTCAGATGTGTAAACATTTTCAGAAATTCCTAATTGTTCTGTAAAGCGAATGAAAATTTGTTAGGAAAAATCAACAACCCCCACTATGATTCAACGTTTTGCTGCCTGGTCTTTTTTTTCTTTTTAATTTCGTATTGTTCATCAGTTGGTAACCTGCAATAAGAATTATACATTATGGCATCTTTACCAAAACTGAAAAAAACAGTAATGTCGCTCACAGATAAAATAAATTGCGAGTGAGTGAAAGTGTGAATACAGTTGGGAGATTCTTCAACATCAATGAGTTGACATTGCATTCAATTAAAAAAAAAGTTTTGCTGCAAGTTCAAAATAAATCCCTAGAAGAGACAGAAAATGCTTTGAGCATTGGAGGATATGTCTCAAATGTGTTCCGATTAAGTTCTGTGCTGATAGATCCAAAGCTAAAATAATTATTTGAAATTAACAAAGGTTCTACATCATCGTTTGACTTCCAGGCTAGCAAAGGTTGAGCCGAAAATTTTGTAAAAAGGCATAATTTGCATAATATAAAATTGTCCGGTGAATCGGCATCTGCTGAAGCATAAAAAGATTTCACAGAGAACTTAAAACAATGAGCAAAAATTAAATGTTATGGATGGAAATTTTGAAAATGTTAAACTTAAAAAAAATACCGATAAATGCAATAATACATTAATCGTAGAAATAAATTGCATGTTTTTTTGTACCTTTAACTTGTACCATTATGGAATAGAACCCCCTATTTGCACAGGACTATAGACTCAACATTTTCGTAGTTTTTCTGGAATGTAACCCTCGCGAATGTTGAGGGATTACTGTACAACCATTATAAATCAACCATTATTTTCTACACTTTTTAAAAATTATATTGGAAATGTGTTTTCAATTTTGTTTAACTCATAATTTCAGCTTGTTGACGAAGGTAAGACTTGGGAAAGTCTCATGAAACTTCAGTTTAAGGGCTTATTTGCCGAAATCTCAACTAGTTCGAATGATTGGGTGAACTTCCAGTTGGGTATTTGCCTGATAACGGTACATCCAATCCCACAAATTGAAAATGTAATTATTACACATTTTTCCCCTTTCAACTAAATTCAAAAGATGTTTCATTAAGATGAATTTCTATTGTGCAAAGGAAACTTACCTGTCGTGTGGAGAGATAGAGCCTCAGTTGAAAAACAGTACCCTGTTTGAAAAGCCAGATGTTGACCTTCCACAGCGTGCTTGGGATGTCCATCTGTCAACAGTCACAGGTAAAGAGATTTTTATAATAGTTCCTAATTCCAGATCGTGAGATGCTGTCTGGTGTGATGTAGGTTTTAGAAAAACATTTTCTTTATTGTGCCAAAGTTTTGATCTTTATTGAGATCATCTTCGGGGCCTAGGATTTATAAACACTGTTTAAATTTTACAAATACATGTAGGTCAAAAAAATGAATTTATACAATGTTAAAAACTGTTAGATTAAAAAAAAGTGAATTTATATAATGCTAGAAAATTTTAGATAAAAAAATGAATTTATGCAATGCTAGAAAAATTTAGATTCAAGCAAAGTATTTGTACTTACTCAAACTGTTTGTTTTCCATGTAGATGTGTCATTCTTGTCTGTCGTGTTGAGAGTGCCAGTGTTTTATGTTTTTGTACGTTGGATTTTGAAGGGGTGGGGAGGGAAGTCGGGAAGAGAAAGACATTTTTATATGAGGAGTTGGCTTCTTTGAGGTGAAAGGAGCCGACAATAGGAAAAAATGGGGAATGGTTCAGCTTGATTATTTTTTCAGGATTATATAGACGGGAATAATTAGGGAAAGGAAAGTCAATTGTTGAAGAATTAGACTATGTAGAAATGTTTTTTTCACATTCTACACGTATTTGTAAAATTTAAACAATGTTTATAAATCCCCTGCCCTGAAGATGATCTCAATAAAGATCGAAATGTTGGCACGATAAAGAAAATGTTTTTCTAAAACCTACGTCACACCAGACCGCATCTCACGATCTCTGAATAATCATTAACTAATGGTCACTAAACACCACATATGTTCCTAATTATATTGATTGTCATTAATTGCAATTTTTTGTAAACAACACTGATGAGTATATAAAATGCAATCAATGTTTTTCTTTATTAATTTTTAAGACTATGTTTTATTTGGGTTTAAATAACTTATTAAGCTTTTCCAACTGTTTTACATATTTTTTTGTTAAATTGTTTGTATTGCATATGCATTTTGAGACACATTTATACCTCCTCAGTGACAATCAAAAACTAATGTACTGAAGAGAAGGTATAAATAAGCTTTGAAATGCATATATAATAAAAATAATTTTTAAAAAAATTTAACCACAGTTGGAAAAGTGTAATAAGTTATTCAAACTCAAACAAATCTGAAAAACTTGCAACAATAAGAACAATAAATATCAAGAAACTATGTTTTACTAAATTTTTTTTTTATATAAAGAAAACTACATGGTTTCAAGAGCGCCTGCATTTGCAATGGACTACCTAGCATCGATGGAAGTGCCTATGAACAGTTGGAATGACAACTTTTTAAGGTTAAATAGCACTTACGTTACATTTTGTTACAGCGTTTTTATTAATTATTAAAAAATTTCAGTGATCCGAGGGAAAGAGTTCTAGTCAGGTATGTCGTAGGACCTATTAAAGTGAATGTTACGACAGGGCTATTAAACCGAGTAGCTGTAATAACACAAGCAGCCTCTTATTCTGACTACCCGCTGTATCAACAGTTTTATTTTAATTCTAGTGAGCATTTATCTTATTTTTTAAAGCTTATTTTAATTATTGTAAAATTTTGCATTGTATTTTGACAGATGCAATAAGTGCAGATGATATACAGACAGTATTACGAACGGAACCAAAGTATTTCAGTGAAACCTACATTCCTAAGCAGATAACACAGTTTACAATATGTGAAGCGACTGTTAGGATTTTCTGCGCACAAATTACTGTACCAGGGAAAAAAGGAAAAGTGAGTTTATATCAATTTTTTTTCTTGTCGGTGGTGATAAAAGTAATCTTTAATCCATTGGTTTGATCAAATTGCTAATAACTGACTAGCAATCTAGCGTAATTGTACAATTTTATAGAAATCTTTTGCCCCGGAAATTCTAAATACAAACAACAACAAACAGCCGCAGCTGGTACTAAAGCTGAAGACCCTAGATGGCAGCTTTACAAACCCGCTCAACCCCGACAAGCTTCAAGGGTTGACTTTGAGGACCAACACAACGACGGAGATTTTTTCAGATGCCATGACAACACTCTCTGCTGGTGTTATAAAATTGAGCGCTTCAGTTGTTATTGGGGACATGGAATTTGAAGATTTACTGGAGATCCACAAGCTATCAACCACTCTGGCTTATAATTGTCTTTTAATAACAGATCTTGATTCTGTTAGTAGACATTGCACTGTGCAAATTGGTAAGTCGAAGTACTAAGTTTTGTCAGTCCTTTTTTAAAACAGCTAAGACTGTTGAATTGGTTGTAAAACTTATTGAAATAAAGATTACTTTTTTTACATTAAAAATGGTTTGATTGCAGGTGAAATAAAATTTTCTAGCAGTAATTCTAAATTAATGCTTGGACTTTGTATAATAGATTCATTCCTTAAAAAAAAGGTTTCAGCAAACCCTATTTACACAACTACACTGGTCCAAGATTCGTTGATGACGACAGGTAATGTCACTTTTACAATTTATTTATTTAATTTATTTTTTGTTTTGTTTGGTTCCCAGGCTATCCGTTTCTCAATTTATCTGTCAACGCCATTCATTTTATGTTCGTTCAAAGTAAAGTAAATGAAAGTTTAAAAATACGTGTTGGAAATATGTCTGGTTTTACGTTTTACCCTGAAGAGAAACAAAAACAGCAATATTCAATATTAACAGCGGGAACAAAAACAACTCAGAATGTTTGTGAAGGAATAGCGCAAAGGCCCATTTCTATGAACAGTGCTGCACCTTTCCTTTTATACATAAAAGTACGACAATTTCAAATCAACCTTGAAAAGGCTATGTTTGACTGGCTGACATACACGCCACGACCATTCATCCAGGGAGGAACAATCTATCATTTAGATTCTACTGGGTAAGTAAAAAAAACCTTTCGTTATTCTGGCAATTTTTGACCTCTTTGACAAGGAATGTGATCAATAGAAAGATCTCCTCTTCGAGTTACAAATCAGCAGTTAGCAGAAAAATTTCATCAAGTAGCTTGAGTAGCAACAGTAAAAAACCAGGGGATATTTTAGAGATGTTGGAAAAGCCAATCCTGGCAGTTGAAAAAGAAGCAGAACCAGCCCCAGTTCAAAAATCTACATCGTCAACAGCCTTGGAAAATTGTGTAAGTATACTGTGTAATATTTTTGAAAATTTTAAATGTAACGTAAATAAGTACATTCACTATTTTTCGTGGTCTGCTTGACCAATTAATATCATTCAATTAATTAAGGTTTTTAGTTGAGATAAAAAGTTAGTGCCTGAGTGGATCAAAGTCACGATAGCTCAAGTGGTAGAGTAGCGGCGTATCAAGCTGAAGGTCTTGGGTTCGAATCCCGCTCGTGACACTGACTTTTTATCTCAACTAAAAACCTTAATTAATTGAGTAAATAAGTACATAAAAGTACGTAAAAGTAAATAAATACAATTTAATACAATTAAAACTAAAAAAATCCTTTTGTTCAGTTTTAATGAAGTTAATGTTTATATTTTTTAAAGGCAATTAATAAATAAAAATTATGTCTTCTAGGAAAAAAAAATTAATGAAATTGTTAAGTGGTTTTCTCTTGTTGTCTGCGGTGAATTTTCTGATATCGGACTTACTTACACAAGCTCTTCAAAATCAGCTTATATCATGGTCACAAAAATCCCATCTATAATGGTAACCTCGACATATGGGAAAATAACAGTGGATAGTGATGAGCTGCCAATGATGTTGAACAATTGGAAAAGAGGTATTTTTATTTAAAAAAATCTACAACATAAACTAAAATACTATCTTTCAGACGCATCTTCTCTTCCTTGGACGATAAACATAAGCGGTATTAATGGCTATGGAACTGCTGATGGCAAAGTGAAGGAAGTATTTATTGAACCGTTTTCTATAAACTGCACAGTGGCAGTCACTTCAAAATTTGCAATACCGACGTCTGCTGTGAACGTGACAATTCACATTGACACTTCTAACGTGAATACAATCTTTGGGAAACAGCAAATGATGGCAATCGCTGAGCTGCTTACGTTGGTACATCAAGTCTTAAACGCTTTCGCTGTAAAGTTTGCTGGGTCTAGCCCTGATGATATTGCTCTAGATTTCTTACAGAACAGTGATGAATCCTATAGTATAAACCAGCCTAATATACAATCAAAAGGTAGTTAATTTCAATTTTTGCCATTTTATGCATTATTGACAAGTTTCAATTTTAGTAGATAATTCTCCAATGTTAAAATTTTCATGCTGGCTGCAATGGACAATGGCTAAATTCACTATGTCATTCTTAACGACTCCTTCAAAGTCAAATACTGAAATTTTAAAGCTAGTTTTGGAACTCGAGGACATCATTTTATCTGCGGATATGGATCTGAATGATAACGTTTATCAAAAAATAAAAATGAAAGTCGGCACTGCCGGTATTCGCCATTATTTCAGGTATTTTCTTATGTTAATTGTTTGAAACTAATTTATTATTTATCGTGACTGATCCAAAGCCAAAAGTCATGGGTTCGAATCCCGCCCGTGGCACTGACTCTATTATCTCATCCAATACTTACATAAAAATTAATTGAATGATGTTATTTGGCCAATCGGACCACAAAATCTAATGAATCTAATTCATTATATTAAATAGTGAATTAAAAAGTATTAAATCAATTTTGCCTAACAAATATCATCTTTAGGGAATCAAAAAAAATGCCTTGGAGAATGGGGGCATTCAGTGGGGTAATGATGAGAGTTCATGAATCATCTGCAAGTAATTCTGAATTTTTAGCTTTAACCCTGACAAGAGCATTGGCAACAAGCTATCATGCCAAAATATCAAAATCCACGTATAACCTAAAGGTAAATATGACTTTTCAACTAACGAAAATCAATTAAACTGTTATGTTGTTGATTGTTTTTCTTTCAGGAAAGCAGTCTCCCAAAGGCTTCTGCTAATACTTACGTCGTGGAGATTGATCTTAAATTGGAACCACTCGATTTTGTTCTTTCTCCCATCGTGCTATGCAAGTTTCTGAAAGTCGTTGAGCCTGTAATTTACAGAAAGGAGGTAGTCGGACCACCACCAGGCGCACCATTGGATCAACTGACCACTGCCGATCTCCCGCTGATCTATCTAGACGTTCAACAGATCCGGGCTTTCTTTCCCGCCTCGCTTCTCCCTCAAGACTCCTCTCAGCAGGATTCGATTATAATTCATGTAATTGACGCCAAGCACAAGTTGTAAACTATTTTATTCATACAGGTACTTTTTAGATTGACCACATTGCTTTAAGGCATGAAGCTGTAAATCCAGTTTCTAGAAAGATATTGAGATCAGATATATACACTTCTGCTCAGCGGGCCAGAATGACGACCTTACCTGGATCTCATCTGGAAGACCGCCAATATCAGTTAGACTTCACTGTTCAAATAAGTACAGGTATTTCATAAAACATTCCAATGATTTATGAAATTAAGAACTATTAGAAGAGTCACCAATTGTGATTTTAGTAGAGTTTAATAAGTACAATCCTATTATTTACATAATTTATAAATATCGCAGGAATATTTTTTGAAAGTACTTAAACAAAATTTAATTAAGAATGCCTAATTGTCAGTTGAAATATTTCAGGATGCTGGCAAGAACTGGCGCCTCATGTCAGCGGAGAAGAGGAAGGCCGACTGGACAACCCTGCAGTTTATTGGAATTCAGGAGGTGGACCTAGCATTCACAAAGGAGCCAGGCTAACTCCACTGCTCACTTCTGTGAAAACGTGTCTGATCCTCGCTCCACCCATTGTCACCTCTGGTTTTGTTATAAGCGGCCTTAATTTCGAGGTAATGTTTGAAATATGAAGAGAAAAAGAAGCAAATAATGTTAAAGATTTGAGCTCTTTTAAGTCAATAAAATGGTAAAACCTAATAGGACAAAACTATTGTCCTTATTAAGAGTTTTATCTCTTAAAATGTTATCAACCAATCAGATGTTATTTCTGCCTCTCTTGAGTTGGGACAGTATTATTCTGGGGTGGGGGGTCTTTCTTGATGTAGCCCAGGCCTTCGATCAAGTTTGGCACTCGGGCTTGCTATTCTCGCTCAAGGACATCCTTCCCTCAACCTTATCCTTCGAAGCTACCTCACTGACTGGTACTTCTGAGTCATTGAAGGATAGGCGTCTTCCCCAAACCACCTTCTCCTTGCTGGTGTTCCGCAGGGCAGTGTTCTGGCGCCCGTACTGTACCAAGTGTATACAGCAGACCTCCGATCCCATCCTCAAATTACCACTCTAACCTTTGCAGATGATACAGCGATCCTTTAAAGCAATTCTGATCCTGTCATTTCCGCTCGAAACCTTCAAAAACACCTCACACTACTGGAATCATGGTGTAAAAAAAGACTCAAATTCAACCCAGAAAAATCCACCCACATAACCTTCACCCACCGCAAAAAGATTCCTCCTCCAGTCTACTTCAATCAAATACCCCTCCCATTTGCGGACAAGGTGCGCTACCTAGGACTATACATTGACAAACGTCTGACGTGGAATCCCCACACGACAAGAAGTTATGAAATGTTACAGAGCACTTTCACAACTTCTTGACCGACATTCTAACCTACCTTTCTTAAACAAAAGACTACTTTATATCACCCTAGTAAAGCCAATATGGACTTATGGACTGGAAGTGTGGGGTTCAGCCAAACGTTCCAATTTCCTACCCATCCAAAGAGCCCAATCCATCGTCCTCAGAAAAATCCTTAATGCTCCCTTTTATGTGTCCAACGACACTACCCATATAGACCTAAATATTCCTTTTGTCCAAGATGTAATCCACTCCCGTTGCCAAAAAAATTTCACAAACCTCCCAACCACTATAAATCCTCAAATTAAAATCCTCTCATCCCGACAAATTCCTTCCAACCCTCTTCGCCAACTAAAAAGACGATGGCCACGGGGTCTTCTATCCAGTGACAATTGAATAAAGAATAGTTAGGAGTACTACCAGTGGGTAATTTCTCAACTCTTGTTTTCTTAATACTTATTCATACACTATTACTAGATACCAAAATGCAGGTAGTTGTAATATACAATCAAAAGCAAAAAAAAAAAAAATCTCTTAAAATCTAGCCCATTTACTTTTTCATTCTATCCATTTTCAATTTAAAATAAAGTTAACAATAAGCTGAATCGTCTTTTCAGGCAAATATCATATCAGATGTTGATATGACACTTTCTTTGGAACAGCTTCGTTTGATTAAGTGCTTAGTAAATGAGTGCAAGTCTTTGGTGCCCGAGAGTCTTGAATCACCTCCTCCTGAGCTGCCGGTTGATAGTGGAATTGAATCTGTTGAAGGTTCTATTATATCACATATGACAAGTATTTAAAAAATATATTTTATTTATATTTATGTATATCTTTGCTATTTGAATTTGTTTAATAATAATTATTATAAAAATGTTAGGACAAAAAGAACCGCTAGCCAGGACTGGAAGTACGTCATTGATCAGTACAGTTTCTTCTACAGCAGTTAATACAAAAGGGTAAAGATAATTTCAGTTTTTGTTTTCTTTTAATTAAATTAATAATGTTTAATAGGTTAAGGCATAGAACACAAACAGTTCCCACTGATGTTCTTCTCATTGCCAAAGGGATATCCGTTAAGGTGTACTCTCAACACGGTGTTTCAAGTCAACCTTTAGTGTATTTTATGCTTTCGCAACCGTTTGTATCCCTTGAAAAGCATGGAGATACTTGTGTATACAAGGTATTTTTTAAGTATATAATTGGACAAGAAAGGATATTTTAATACTGGCTTTTTTAGGGCTCTGTTTTTGATGCGGGTGTGAAAATCGGAATGAGTGGACATTTTATTAAAGGCAGGGTTGAGGTTGACCATTTTCCAGTTGTGCTGGCTGCTACCAAAGAAGGTGATCCTGATCCATACAAGGGCATACCACCTGCACTTGCTAACTTTAAGGCGACTAGAGTTGGAATGAAGCTCCCAATTGTAAGTAATTGTCTTGTGAGATTTCTTCTTGAAGCCTATGAAGTAATGAACGTAAAGTTGGATCTTTTCCAATCATTCTGCCTTTCCTTGCTATTTGTGTTGTTCAAACTTGTTTGTGCGCTTTGTCACTGTCTACCTGTTTTGCCTGTCAACAAAACATCAAAATGCTGAATGTGTGAAACAGGCCAGAACCGTGATAGGCAGATAAGGACCAAACTGGAATACTAATAATTTCCATTATAAAATAATTTTATCAAAAAATTATATTTTATTTTTTTACTTTTCTCTCCAAAATTAAACAGCCCTTGTGATTAATCAATCAATTGTAATAAAATATGCCATAACTTGTAATTACTAAATTAATAGGTTGAAATTGAACTGGGAAGACCTTTGAAATTCACTGGAAAAATGTCTAGCATTGAATTTTTGACAAATCTGAAAGACAACGTCTTTCAAATTTTAGAAATCCATCCATTACTCCAAGAGAATGTTGAAAGGTAATTTAAATAAAAAATTATTTAAATCAGATAACTTCAATTCCAGCTTTTATTTTTTCAGAATTTTATCTGAAAAGAGGTCTGAAAGGCAATTGAAAATCTCTGCTCTTAATGTTTCTACAAAACAAATTGCTTTAGACTTAGTTATAGATCAGCCTAGTGAGTTATCCAATGTGTTTATGTTGAAATTTTGGTGTAAGTACATCCGTATTATTTTTGAAATTTTAGAAAAGAAGAATGTAATAATGAGCATCAGCTCGATGTCTGGGAGCCTCAACTTCCCAACCCTTAATCAGATTTATGGAAACCTGAAAATGCAGTCGGTGATCCTATCGATACCCCGCCGGGGTCACTCCATTATTCTGAACCCCTGGTCTTTCAACCTAGTCGGCAACCTTACCTGGGAGCCGTGGATGGCCAATCCGCTCTTTACCATCCAGCTCACCTCAGACATTCTAATTGTCGAGTATTCTTATACACAAATCCAAGCTCTAGTACATATTTTCAATGAATTCAAGCCATTATTCAAAAGTAAACCGAAGGAAGAGGAAGCTACATTTGAAGGTAAATATAGGTAAAAAAAACTCTAATATAAAAATATACTTTTTAAATCATTGTTGCGACTTGCTAGGTCATTTATTTTGAAGTAGGGTAAACAAATGACATAACCATGATTTAACAAAACTGATCCATAATGGAATAAATAAAAATAAAGATAACAAAAACAAAAAGAAAAATATACTTGATATAATAGTGTTATAAATTTATAGTTTAATTAAATACCTGAATATTTTTACATATAAAAGGACATAGGACTACATTTTTTTTATAAAAAAATCTTATAAAATGATAGTGCACTTCAGGAATTAAAATAAAATGTTGAATACTCTTCCTACAATAAAATTAGTCATAACTCATAAGATTTTTTTGATATAAATACAAAAGTTAAAAAAAATTGTTCTGTGCAGATAATCTTTATACCATTAATTGCTTTTTTTCTAGATGAAACAAAAAGTATTAAAAGTGAGGGTGAGGAACAGCTTTACAAAGATGACTTACAAGCTGGCGTTTTCCAATTTGTTAATAGTACTCCACAGCCTGAACTTCCTTTAGCCTATCAAGTCATTTTTCCAACTGAAAATCAGATGTCCTGGGCTTATCCACAACCAAGGAGCATTACTTCTGTCACCGTACTTCCAATCCCTTTTAAGGTACAATTTAATATCACTTTTGATTAATCGAACATCACTGAGTTCGTGTTGCAATTTCCAGAGGTCGGTATCTGAGGGTGTACCAGTTGTACTACAGTATCTGGATTTTCTTGGGTGGAAGGATTGGGTACATTTTAAACTAAGTGAGACCAAAATTGTCGAAGTGAAACTGCCGACCAAGCCGCAGGTGGCCGGCACTTGGAGGGTTGTTATAACATCAGCCAAATCACCTGTCAACATACAGGTTAGATGTTTATCATAAATATCTAATAACAAAATAATAAGGCAGAATAATTGTCTTTTGACCTTTTTATCAGTAAATTACAGAGGTAATGAAATCATGCAGTTTTATCACTTTTTCATTTATTATTTGGAGTTAGCTAGATATATATTTTTCCCCACATCCTACATGTATTTGTAAAATTTAAACAATATTTATAAATCCCAGGCCCTGAAGATGATCTCAATAAAGATCGAAACGTTGGCATGATAAAGAAAATGTTTTTCTAAAACCTACATCACACCAGACAGCATCTCACAATCTCCAAATAATCATTGGCTAATGGTCACTAATCACCACACATTTTTCATTTATGTAGTTCAATCATCTTTTGGTTCAATACATAGTTTTAAAAATTAATTAAATAAAAATAAAAATTCAAATTTAGTAATAATTAATTCATTGGTAATAATAATTAATAATTGAAGTAAATGAATTTAAAAAATCTAGTTAAAAAACTGCTGTTAGTGGTCAGTTTTTTTTTTTTTTTTTTTTTTTTAATTTAAACAAGGGTTCTTAACAGCAGAGGTCATATAAACCCTCAGGGTGATGGTTTTTTCAAAAAATCCCATTTGCATGTCGGGTTTGAAGGTAGGGCCGCTGGATTCGAACCCGGGACCTTTACCTTACAGTGATGAACGCCGTGTAAATGCCTTAACCGTTGCGATCACTGATGCCCCCCCCCCAAAAAAAAAGTTTATCTTTATTTACCGTCAAATTGTATTTCATAAAGCATTTGTTTAATAAATTGGAGTGTGGTACAAGTCAGTATAGCGTTTACATCTGGTTACATCGTTACATCTGGTAATATAGACAATGATGATTTAATATGATCATCGTTATCATATTAAAAAGTGAATCTCAGTTTCATTTTTTGATTGTGTATGAAAAATAGATACACATAGTGCAAAGTCCGAAAATTATATAACTGGTATCCAGTTATTATAATCACACAACCTACTTTGCTCTCCTCTTTTAGGCCCTATTAAACAAAAAAGGTTGGATAAAAAGAAATCAAATATTTTAAATCAATAGGAACATAAAGAAAAGGAAGCTCCTGAAAGCTCTAGTATAAAAGGTATAATTTTAATAGGATCATCACCCTAAAAGTGGGAGAAATTTGAAGCAAACTTTTAACACCATTTGACCCCATTCTGAAGGCAATATGCCATGCTATTAGTTTAGAGAAAGTTTTTACTCCCTGGAACAACTCCAAGAAAATAAAATCAATTAATAAATGAAACTTACTTATTAAATTAAAATTATACAAACCATGAAGCGTAGGAGGTTCCCCTAAAGAACATTACACAATTAAATAATGTCACAGGAGACTCGGAAGTTAAATAAGAAAAAAAAGGATAAACTAGTAGGGAAAAAATATTCTATAATTCAGTGAATGAATTATATTATTCGAAAGAAGCCTCGATCCGCAGAATTGACATTATGAATAAAATATATATCTACATATGCTTAATTTATCAAACTGTAGCGTTAAACCATATAGTCATAAATATTTGTCAGGCTGTAAGGCTATCTTCTGCTAACTTTTATTACTAATAATAAATATATTTTTTTATCAGGCTCTTGTGGCTGCGTTGAGAGTGGACTCGTTATTTTCAGCACGACTTGTACCGAATATCAGGCTCAACATTTCAATAGACACAGCTCAGATCTCTGCATGGGCAGGCCCTTCCTCGCCTGTCAGTTTGCCTCCGGCGCTCCTTCGTTACTGTCCCGACACATCTACTCCAGGGGAATATGCCTTTGCTCGTCTCTCATTTGAGCAAGTTAAGGCGAGAATTCTCTTATGGAAAAATGGTATAACTTCATTGTAATATTAGAAAGTTTGTAAATAAGTTACTTTTCAAAATATTAGGAAGTGTAAATAAGCTAGTTTAGTATGTAAATTAACTAACATAATTTAAGCTCGTTATTTTTTTTATTTATTAAAATAATTTTACCTGGTTATTCATATAAGACTAAATTGTTTAATAAAAAATGGTTAATTGAAGTTGTTTGTAAACAGGCCAGTTGGAAATAGAAGGAGACTGCAACCCCAAACTGAACATCTTGAACAGTCTTACCCTGCAGGAACAGTGCTGCGTCAAAAAATTTCCACTGCACTTCAATTTTGAAATGGACTCACAGGCAGACCTGCGCCCCCAGCAGAACCTTTCAGTCCTCGTTGGGCCAGTTTTGGTTTACATTGCTCCCTCGATCACTCACACGCTCACAGCAGCGTTAAATGATGCCATCCTTAAACCATTCGTAGTCTGCAATGACACATGTTATCCTTTTAGGTGAGAATTATGTATTACTTGTTATATTGCTGAGCGAGCTTTATTTTAAATGTACTGCAAAACAAAAAAAAAATCAATGAGTGATGCGTATAGTTTTGTAGAATGAATAGAATATGTATTCTAAACTAGAAGCAATTGATATTTTAAACAAGTACAAATAAATATGTGTTATACATATTTATAATTTTTTATTTATGGCATCATAAATATCTTTTTATTTTATTTATTTTTTTATTTTTTTAAAGAATTGGTCAACAAGGAACCAATGAAGACATTACAATCCAATGTCTTCAATGTCATTTTTACTCTTGGAGAAGCATACACCATACAATGTGTATGAGGTTTTCAGCAAGCCTTCAAGGGTGATTATTTAATTTTTTGAAGGCATAAGCTTTTAATTTTTTAAGTTTTTAATTTAATGTATTATTCTAAAGGAACGATTTTTGGAGCCACCACATTAGCATTCACCCAGACCAGTGCCAGAGAATCTTCTTAAAGGATGACACAGGGAAACAACTCTGCGTTTTAATTATTGTCAAGAAACTGTCCTCTACAATCACACAAATTCTCATCACTGGTGAACTTATCGTACACAACAACCTGGAGAAGTCTATAGATGTCCGGCTAGTAGCAAGCACCATCCAAGAGAGGCAGAAGTATCTGACTATCAATCCAAATGTGCGCTCACCGAGCATAATTCTAACGCCTGATATCAAATATAACCTGCGTCTTGCGCTGGAAGGACAGTGGTCCGGCCTCGTCCCACTTTTTGCCACCTCCAACAGCTGGCTTGTAAAAGGTATTATTTTTGCGCATACATGATATTGAATAATATTATGATAGATGATTACAACTAAAATGTAATATATATTTTATTTAAAAAATTGTATCTTTAACCCTTGAGTTTTGGTTAAAATATGTCCGCACACTGGCACACTTTATTCACCAACTTAATTTTTCCCCTTTTTTCTTAAAAACCCTGATTTTTATATATTTATACCTTTTAAATTTTTTAATTCTTTATCCAAATATGATTTCTTACTTTACGTGATATTAAATATTTAAATATGCGTTTTATTTATTTTTATAATTTAAATGTTTTTAATTTGCAACTTGTCCACAATTCAAATAGCATACTGAAAGGGTCCTGGATGGACGAGCCCTCCAACACATCATTCAACATAAGCAAGTTTAACTTCTTTAAAAGATAGTTCTTACTCACAGTTTGTTGTTTTCAACGATCCCGATTTCAAGCGTTAAATTCTCATCATCGGGTTGAAGGAGTTAGAAATATGTTCCAATGGAAGCTGGTTTTAATGTTGCTCAATTTTGAATATGCAAAAAACATGAATTACAACGAAATATTATCCTAATAAATACTTTTAAATTAGTGATTAATTTGTATGTTAAATATAATTTAGGCACATGTTTAAAATAGGAGGTGAATCAATTGAATTAATTAATTGGAAGAATGATTTTAAATCCTCTAATGTTCCTGACTGCATAAAATATCGTCATAGAGTTTCCAAAAAAAGGACAGACTTAATTTTTATTTGATTTGAAAATAATTTTTTCAAAGTTATCCAGTAATATTTTGACACAAACTGGATCGTTGAAAATTACAAACTGGGACTTTTGAAGAAGTTAATCAACATACCCATAAGCAAGTTTTCTCCAGTGTCACACTGAGTACGCCTATGTGTAGACTTAAGAGTTAAACATGCAAGATTTATATTACCCAAAATGAAATATAATGCTTTTTGTTTTATTGTAGTTCCAACAGAGAACAAGACAGATTATAATAGCATCTGGTGTCAGATTTTTCGAGACAAGAAACATGGCTCTAGAATGATGGTAAATGCTTTTCTATTTGAGAAAAAAAAAAGATAAATTAATTTATACATACATTTTTAAGGTTGTTTTGAGTCCGATGTATTTTGTGAAATCGCATCTTCCTTGTGATGCAAATGTTTTGGTCAAGACTGCTGAACTGAACAAAATCAATTCTGCAAAGATATCAGGAAGGGGCTCTACATCAAATCTTTTCACACCAGGAACGACACAACATTCACATTCGCTCACATTCCACATCGAGTAAGAATTTGTGTTAAAATAAATCATGCGGGATCAAAATGAATCTGTTTTAGGGGCAACCAGCCATCCTCGTCACCGCATGTTCCATTGAGTTACTCCGCTATGGATGGAAAGACGCCACCTCTGCCTCCAATTCCAAATGTAGATGTACTCCTTGAGAGATCTGAGATTTTGTATTGCGGTTCCAAATGGCCGTTCCTGGGGCCGCACTGGTCCAGGGTAACATGGAAACACACTAATCAGCCAGATACCATTACACATGTCAAAGTGGGTTTTCTTCTCAGTTTTTTTTTTTTTGTAAATTTTATATAATTAATGTTTTTTTTTCCTGCAGGTAAGGTTCTGTGCTGATAAACTCAAAGTTTCAAATTCACTTTTAGTCGAGCTTCAACCATGGGCCCTAGCCATAAATACACTCGGCTTAAACATAACGCTGCAGTCTTCCTCTAAGTTCTTGTGCGCCCTTGGCAATTTCTCTGTTCTTGCCCCTCCACCTATAGATGTACATTCATGTTTAAATGCCAAACAATAGATTTTCTTAAATATTAATCCTATTCATTTTAGGAAATGTTTTACATCCTAGTCGAATTAAATGATGGCTATCATAAGTCCAATGGGCTTCAATTGTCAGACAGCAAAATGTTTTATACACCAGAAGTGGCTGGATTGATTCCTCAAACTGCAAATGTCAAAATTAAAATTCAGGCTCCTAATTCGGTAAGTCATCAACATTATCTACTTTTCTGTTAATTAAGGTTTTGGTTGTGATAAAAAAGTCAGTGTCACGTGTGAGATTCGAACCCACAACCTTCGGCTAAATACGCCACTGCTCTACCACTTGAGCTATCGTGTCGATCCACTCGGACCCCAACTTCCCATCTCAACCTCACCTTTTGAATTTTCCCTCCTTTTTGCCATTTTTCAAATGTCGTGTAATCTATTTGATTCTCGGCGTCAAATGAAATGGCCACGGATAAATTCTTTTCAATTAATTAAGGTTTTGGTTGAGATAAAAAAGTCAGTGTCACAAGCGGGAATTGATTTAGTGTCCGATTGGATCAAAGTCACGATAGCTCAAGCGGTAGAGCAGCAGCGTATTTAGCCGAAGGTCGTGCGTTCGAATCTCACTTGTGACACTGACTTTTTTATCTCAACCAATACCTTAATTAATTGAAAAGAATTTTTTTGGTCAAGCGGATCATGAAACCTAATAAATTGATCTACTTTGGGAATTCTCTTTAATTTGAAAACAATTAAAAACAAACTTATGGTATGCTTTACTTTATAATACTACAAACATTATTTGAGGTTAATCAAAGATTTAAAAACAAAATTTGTTGCACCTGAAAATGCATATGAACTAAGAATGAAAGAAGCAAAAATAACCATAATAATAAATGTGTGATAATTACTAAAAAAAGTTTAGGTAAATACATATACTCATTGACATAAGTTCATCACCGCCCTGTCGTGTCAACAGCAACATCACAGTAATACAACACTTATCCAAAGGTTGAAAAATCCCAAGTTCTCTATGGTTGAAATATTTTATTCAATTTTGTCTATTGTATGAACGTTTCGGGCCTACAGTCCATCATGAGCACCTACATATGGAAAACCTCATGGCACAATTTCCATCTGAAGATACCGACATAAGTAATTTACAATTTTTTGAAAATAAATATACCTGGACTATGCCATAGATACATATATATTTCCACCCATTTTGAGGGGTATGTCATCAAAATGGTTTTAAAACTGTAATAATAACAATAATTTTATTTTAGTCCCCTCATGGATACAACACATGATAAAGAGATTCTTTCTTTTTATATATCCCTCTGCCGCTATTCCGCCAGAAAACAGTCCGGCCTCCCCTGCTTGACAAATTGGTAAAAAACCAATAATCACCATCTAACAAGTGGAGGCTCAATCCTTTTTTTAAAAAGATAGTTCCTACTCACAGTAAATTTTTTTTTCTTACTGTGAGTAGGAACTATCTTTTTTAAAAAAGGATTGAACACCGAACTCACTCCATCAATCATCATTTCTAATAGTGGAGGCTCACGTGGATAAGGGCGGATAGCGGCAGAGGGATATATAAAAAGAATCTCATTATCATGTGTTGTACCCATGATGGGACTAGAATAAAATTATTGTTATTATTACAGCCATGAAATGCGGTCTAGTGTGATGTAGGTTTCAGAAAAACATTTTCTTTATCATGCCAACGTTTCGATCTTTATTGAGATCATCTTCAGGGCTTGTTTGTTTTCTCGGTAATTGTGCCATTCTTGTGTGTCGTGTTGAGAGTGCCAGTGAGATATTAACACTCTCAACACGATACACAAGAATGGCACAATTATGATCTCAATAAAGATCGAAACATTGGCACAATAAAGAAAATGTTTTTCTGAATCCTACATCACACCAGACCGCATCTCACGATTTCCAAATAATCATCGACTTACGGTCACTAATCACTACACATTATTATTACAGTTTTAAAACCATTTTGATGACATCCCCCTCATTTTTAAAAAATTGTAAATTACTTATGTGTGTATCTTCGGATGGAAATTGTGCCTTGAGGTTTTCCATGTTTAGGTGCTGATGATGGGCCGTAGGCCCAAAACGTTCACGTAATAGACAAAATTGAATAAAATATTTCAACCACGGAGAACTTGGGATTTTTCAACCTTTGAATAAGAATTGCTACGAACCGTGGATTTTAAGAAAAAGTTGAAAAAAAAAATACAATAGTAATAGTAACATGAAAGTAAACACAATTCAAAGCAAAGCCCCAGTGTTGTGCAGAATATGAATGTGAACGTAAAGGAATACTCACACCTCATAGTGTACAAATATATTCTTCTAAAGTTGAAAGACAAAATAATAGAAATAATTTAAGTGAAGACGTGTTGGAAATAAAATTCACTTAAATAAATAAAATACCAGCCTGAAAAAAGAAGAAAAAAATATTAGATTGAAATAATTATTTATTGTATTATTAAATACTATAAAATTCTAATTTTTATTTCAGGTTATATTAGCAACGTTTCATTCCAAAATGATATCAGGCATCCGTGTGCTTCACATCTCATCTTCTATAGTTATCACCAACCTTACAGACTATGATTTAAGCGTAGCTGCATTTTCTGTCAGGAAGGACACATCAGGAAAATACAGAGTACCCAGTGAAATATTATCTTACGCAATATCTTTACCTAAACAAAACCCTGATAATGTTTTGTAAGTAAATCGTACAATTGCATAAGGAGTTACCACTTATAATTCTGTTCAATTTAACAGTGCAGAGCCGTTGGCAGAATGGCATGAAATCGGCCATGGCTCAGAGGCTAGCAGAAATCTTTATTTGATATTTGAGCACAAAGGCCTGATCAGCAGTCCAGTACAAGTAGACTTAGGAGGGCTGGAGATGAGCGTGTCAGCCGCTCTCCTGCCAATCGCTGGCCAACCAGAGATAAACAAAGTGCTAAATGTGATTTTCCAGCTTAAAGACGGTATCACTTACATAATTGTGAATGCACAAAACACCCCACGACTTGTTGTGCACAACAGGACTCGGTACCTCCTTGCCTTAGGAAAATCTGCTACAGATGAAGGTTATCTTATTTCTTTTTTATTAATATTCTTAAAATGTAAGCAAAGAAAATTAGCAAAAATCAATTTTCATTACTATCAAAATTCTTAACACCTGCAGCTTGTAATATTTTGGAAATTGAACATTTTATCAGATACTTGTTACATTACTGTCTACCTGAAATGAATCGTAATTTTTTTCTACTTTGCAGGAGGAAAAGCTGTCGAAGAGAGTTCAGACTGGGAATGGAATTTCATGCTTCCAGCTGGGAAATGCGGACATTACAAGCCTCCTCCTTGTAATGCACCACTGGGGACACCGTTGCCCCCAATAGTGGTCACCAGGCCTGACACAATGTGTGCGTAAAATACCCGAAAGGAGTTACATTAAAAAACGAAAAATATATTTTAATTTTTAATTTAAAGGCTGGTCGAGTGCAATCTCATTAATTCCGTCCACTGGTTCAAGGCTTGTGAATCTACCGCAGAGCCAGGATTTGACAGCATCTGTGATGCGCATAGGCTATACAACCCATTTAATTCTGGCTCATGCTAACCATTCACTCATTTCAGCCAGTGATGTCAGGTCAAGGCTGTCATTGAATCTAAATGGTACGCTAATTTAATTTTAAAATACATAATATAAAAGTATTAAGATATTTAATTTAATTGAAATTTAAAATTATTCAGAAATCATGAGATGCGGTCTGGTGTGATGTAGTTTTCAGAAAAACATTTTCATATCGTGCCAGTGTTTCAATCTTTATTGAGGTCATCTTCAGGGCCTGGGATTTACAAACATTGTTTTCATTTGACAAATACATGTAGGATGTGGAAAAAAGTGAATTTATATAATGCAAAATATATTTTTTATATTCAATCAAAGTATTTCTACTCACTCAAAGTGTTTGTCTTCAGTGTAATTGTGCCCATAAATTCACATTTTTCCAGATCCTACATGTATTTGTTAAATGTAAACAATGTTTGTAAATCCCAGGCCCTGAAGATGATCTCAATAAAGATCGAAACGTTGGCACGATAAAGAAAATGTTTTTCTGAAACCTACATCACACCAGACCGCATCTCATGATTTCTGAATAATTATCGATTAACGGTCACTAACCACCACACATTTCTACACGAGAAGTTTAAGATGTTCTTTCACATTGAGGAAATATTTAATTGGGACTTAGTTAATCAAAAAGTAACAGGTTTAGGGATTTAACCAAATAATTTAGTAACAAGTTAATTATTAAAATAACAAAATAAATGTAAAAACATTGTTCAACTAATAGTTTATTCAATCATCATTATTAAAAATGAATTATTTTTCAAAACTGTAGCTAACACGGATAAATTTCACTTAAATTCGCAAGAAGAAAAAGTGCCAGAATCGCCAACAACACACGAAGAGTGTAATTCTTGTGAAGATATTGAACAATTAAAAAATTCAGGTAATTTTTAATTGTTATACGGCAAAGAAAATATGATTTCCTACATAGTGTTTTAAATTATGTATTTATTACAGTATTACGAACATTCCATTTCACGTCTTACATAGATGGGATAACAATAATGCTTTGTTCAGAAACAGAAGGGAGTTTTATATGGAAAGAATTCACGGCGTTGTCTCTCGACAATGTTGGCATAACTTTGGAGCCCAACTTGAATCCAGTAATATAAAATATTTCCATTAGTTTGAATAATAATAAATCACTATTCCTTTTATAGAATACAGAAATTACCGAGTTGTTTTTGGGTGTGACAATTTGGGATTTACAACTAGACAACCAGGAGTTTCAGTATGGCGGATATGATTTTAGTGTTGTCCTTTTGCGGCAGGGTGAGTCTGATAAAAGCATATTTATTGGAAAAGACCCTGCACACTTAGTAAAAACGTCTAAAGAGAACAATCCAGCTATCGACATGACAGTCGTCCTCAACACTGGTGTTCAGAACGTCATTCAAGAAATAAATGTCCAGGCAGCACCACTTCAGGTTTATATTGAAAACAACTACTTCACCAACTTGATGAATCATATTTCCAACCTATATCCTACGCTGTTGATCACTGCTGGAAAACAGATTAATGTCGAATCAAACTCGCCTTCTAAGTCTTTAAAAACTGTCAACACTTCTCTCTGCTCTATTAACAACAATTCTGAGAAAGCGAATGGTGAAAATTCGGTAATTTTATGCGAAGAATCGGAACCGTCATCATTTACACCCTGGGATTCAGTGAACCCAATAATCGAAGATTCAAAAGATGACTTGGATTATGAGGACACATGCTGGCCTGAATTACCAGAAGACCCACAGTCAAAAGTTCCAGTCCCACCAGAAATTGTGCTATCGGCTTTAGAAATCACAAGACCGTTACAACTAAGGGCTTTTAATCTATCCCCTGTAGATGTCCTGGTCAGCGTACACACATCGACCATGTTCTACATTGCTTTGGACCAGTCGCCATTGTACTTTTCAGAATTTTGCAAATCTGATATGGTCACTACAATGTATAGGTTGGGACAGGCTTTGACTCTTCACTACTTCCTCGGTGCAATCTATGGAACGGGTATGATTCGTATTCTAAATATACTATAAAATTTGTAATGACATTGATGTAGGTTGGGCGATTGGATCTTTACAACTTCTTGGAGCTCCTGCTGGCTTGGCCAGGAGCTTTGGACACGGCTTGAAAAGCTTTATTACCCTACCTTACTTAGGAATGATGCAGGGTCCTACTGGTTTTCTGTCTGGTGTAATAAATGGTTCTGCTTCCTTAATGAGACACATTACTGCCGGTAATTAATAATTTGTTGTTTAAAACTAAGAAGTATAAACAAAGAATATTGAAATTTTAGGCACCTTGACGTCTGTAAATAAGTTGGCTGAAAGCTGGTCAAGAACTCTTGATCGGCTTACCCTGTCTGATGATGATCTCAAGATTGCAGAAGAAATGAGGAGGATTAAACCTCAAGGAATAGCAGAAGGGTTGAAACAGGGCTTGACCGAATTTGGTAATTTGTGTTAACATTTATGGTGTTACTACCTGCACAAAAAAAATTACTTTTAAAATTTATTTTAATCCTTCAGGTGTGAGCATTTTGGGAGGAGTTGGAGGATTGGCTCAACAGCCTCTAGATTATGCAACTGGTTCCCAAGACAAAACCTTCGTAGGTTCTCTAAGCCGAGGTATTGTTGGAGTGATGGCACGACCTATCAGTGGTGCTGCAGAGCTAGTCGCTAGGACGACTCATGGAATACTCAGTGGAGCAGGCTGGGCTGACCAGCACATGGTAACATTCTTAAATTGTTCTATTGGGTTTCACTAATTTCTGTTTATTTGTAGCCAAAACACCAGGCTATTTGCCAGGGGGTGCACCCAGGCAATGAATCTGCAGCTAAATATGTGAACCAGCTGGTTTCAAAGATGGAAACAATTTTACTAGTCTGTGAGGCGACATCAAGCGATTACGAGCCTGTTGTTCTTGTAATATCATCGTTAAACTTGTACGTGATCAGCAAGGAGGATGCCATTCACAAAGTATTAATGCTAAATGATGTAATTGGAAACCGAGACAAGTTTGATCCGACAATGATAAGAATCTCTACTCAAACACCAGATAAAGTTGTAAGTTAAAAAAAAGAAATCGCTGGTTTTTATGCTGGTTTAATGTTATGACTTTTCAGGCAGAGAAATTATCTCAAAAAAGGATAACAGAATTTGTGAGGGAGACACAAAGGGCACTAAATACGAGTGGTATAGAAGAATCTCTTCCACCAACACCACCGTCAGTAGAGATCGATCCATTTGTTTATTACATAAATCCCCAGTGGCGTGATTACTTTATGAGTGTACTTGAATTGGCAATACGGCATGCTTCACAGAAGGGCTTCCCCATATTGAACTGAACTATTTTTTTTTATAGTTCCTTGTTCAAAAATTGGCAAGGTGCAATTTGATATTTTTATAGGTTTATATTTTGATACGGTAAAAAATTGTATTTATCCTTTAGCAGTGAAATACTAGTCAATATTAGTGTGTAAAACCGTACGTTTCAATATGTAAATATTTATTATTAAAACAATGATGTAATACAAGTCCATTGAAATCTGTCTTTTTGTTTTTGTAAATCCATTTTCACTATGAACAACCTTTGGAATTTACTTAAAACTCTTCTCATTAATACGTAGTAAGTAATAATAAAATTCAATATTCAAGAATTATCATTACCTATTTTCAATTTATTTGATTTTATTGTGAGGTTGATTCTTATGGTATACAGGGTGATGAACCAATTAACATCTTCCTATCATCGCTGTTTTGGTCTGTTGATGCTTTTGTCATCTGTGTTATCAGGGTAGTTAGTTAAAGTTCATATTTAATATTTTAATTTTTCTTTAAACAATAGTTTTTACATAATAATACTGTAAATGTTACTTATGTTTCTAATAGTATTTTATATGTATATTGTACAATAAATAAAATAAAGATCTGAAGTACGAACAATAGGACGAAATTTGTCTTTTTTAAGTTTTATATACTCCACATAGGTAGGGTAATAAGTTTAAAGTCCCATAATTTGTTCTTTGTTTGTTAAGGATATATAATTATTTTGTGAAATGGAAGTAGGCCGGCGTATTCACATCCTGTATTACCTTTGTTCCTCATCATACGGAAAGAATAGCCACGGCAAAATTAATTTTGACCACGAAAACTAGTGAATTTATTATTAACGAAGTTGTTCTCAAAGTAAAAATTCAAGTAATCAGTCAATCAGTTTTCCTGAGTGATCTTGTTATAGTGCACAAATCTGGAGTTTTCAGCTGTACAATATACAAGAAAAATTTCAGTGATTTTTTAAAATAAAAATTTACTTGTGTAGCCATCAGTCACCCCCATTTTCATATTGACCATTGAAACTCATTTACTCTCTCTCACTTTTTATAAAATACTGTTTGAAGTCTATATCTCTTCCGGCTTTCTATAACCCTAACAAAACCATGGTTCCCTTTACACAATCCAAAGAACAGCAGTTGTTACGGATCAGTGATTTGGTGGACTAAGACATTACAGTTAAGAAGGGCAGTTCAGATCCTCAGTACTGCTTATAGACTGGCGTGTCTGATCATCATTGGGGCAATGAGAACGACAGAACAACCCCCCACAGTCGCCCTGAACTCTGAAGTCCTGAATCTACCACCACTACACATTGTTATCCAGGGAGAGGCCAGAGCCACAATTCATAGGCTAATGCAGGGACTGGCCCCAGTAGCCTCCTATTTACAAAGCAAGGAGCTACAAAAGCTTCAAGGGGAGCTTCAGCTAGACAGAACTTTGAGATGTCTACTAATGCCATGACCCCTAAATTCAGTTTTGAGAAAAAATTTCTAATCAAAATACCTTGTAGAGCAGACTGGAAGAAAGGGATCCCAGTTAATGACAACCAAATCTGTTTTACAGATGGCCCAAAAACTGAATATGGGTCAGGAACTGGCAATTGTGGAAATAAACCAAGGACTAGAATTCATTTAAGCCTTGGACCATATGCCACCGTTTTTCAAGGGGAAACTGTGGCTATTGTACACTGTGCCAGGGAGATAAAAAGGCTGGGGATTATCACTAGAATAGCCATCTACTCAGACAACCAGAACCAGGCAGCACTGAAGGCAATTGTCGCATCGACGGTAAAGTCCAGAGTCATTTGGGACTGCATGGAGCCTTGTCAGACATTGGAGAAAATAACAAAATTACCCAGTGTCTGGTTGCCAGGGCAGAGGGGGAATGAAAAGGCAGATAAATTTGCGAAAGAAAGTTCAATGAGGCAACATATGACCCTGAATTGCTTACCAAACTGCCAAAAATGCAGATCCATTAGTCAATGGATCAATAATAAGTCCTCTGCTCAATGGAAATGTAGCCTGGGACAGAGGCATGTGAAAAAGTTTAAAGGTCCATCACAGAATCTAATGGCAGAACTACTAAATCTAGGATGTGCTAGGACTAGAATAATAGTTGGACTGCTAACTGGACACTGCAGACTCCAAAGGCATTAGTACAATCTCGGAGTGGCAGCAACAAGCCTGTGCAGATATTGCCAAGAAGAGAAGAAACAGTGGAACAAGTCCTCTGTTGGTGTAAAGGTTGAGATTCCTAATCCTGGGAGAGGAATGTGGGAAGAAGCTTTGGTGTCTGGTAAAAGCCTCAAGCTTAACAAGGAGCTCTAGATAAAAAAAAATTGATATGCACAATAGACGAAAACTGGTCGCAGTGCACAGGTTGCAAAGAGGCTGGCTCCTATATAATCTAATGTAATTGTTATCTCTTCCAGATTTTTGTTTCTCCAAAACTATTTGCTTTTCAACTAACAGAAAAGAAAACGTTTTGGTTCAAAGAGTGGATTGTCCCAAAAACTTTCAGGTTATTAGGTAATTCAAGACATTTGTCTTTATGGGGTGCTGAATTATCACTGCTCCCATCTACAATAATTACTGTTCATCATGAGGAGTATGTGCAGGTGTAATATGATCGCTTTTTAAATTAAACTCACAAGAGGATTTTTATCGACTTTTTGGAGTATATGCACAACTCAGGGGGGTAAGAGCCATTTATTTTGAGAAGAGAAGGGAAGAAATTTTCTCATTTTAAAGTGGACAGACTGACGTTCGTCCCTTAATTAAGTCCATATACCATGCCTGGAAGGTGAGATTTTAGTACTTGTTACACATGTAAGCACCCCTGCACAATCTTTGTTGTAAAATAATCCTGCTGTATTTTCGTACTATACATCAATCAATCTAATAATATTTATTCTCTAATACGGAACACTTTTACTTTTGACACTGTATATAATTATTTTTGTTTATGTTGTATAAACTGTAGTAGCTACTGTAATATTTTTATACAGTTTTGTACTTTTCTTAATTTTTATTGTCCTTTTTCCTACAAGACGGGGAAACATATAAAACAACAATGGAAAAATCGTTAGGAAATTTCATATTTTATAATGATATTGTTATAGGTAGGGTATTAGACAATTATATAATAGCAGGTACAATTTTTCTTTGTACAAAAATTTATTAGTTTTTTTTTATTGTATAAATACAATATCAGGTTGTTTTTATTTTGTAGATTGCTGCTGAAGACTTTATTTTTCAAGTTTTATCAGATAGCATCGCTGTAATTTTTTGTATATATGTACTCGTTTTTATACATAATTAATATTTATTTTGTTTTGTCTGTTAGGATAGGTAATAACACATTATATTTGTATAATAAAAAAAAGTTTTGTTTTCTCTGTACATGTCAGTTTGTAATAGATTGGATCTTTTGCTTTGAATAAAATCAGTGTATGAATAATTTATCCTCTTATTTCATTACGAATTTATTTCATATTTTTGGCATGTTTCCACATCAGCAATTACAAATGGAAAATCTTTTTGTTTTTAGTTGGAAGTTGAACATTGTATAATTATATATTATAATATTAGTATAAATTATAATATTACTAGAAATAATTGTTCTCAAAAGATACACGTGAACCATTAAGAGTGGAAAGTTATTATAAATTAATGTTAGAAGTATTAAAAATATTGTTGTGAAGAGTGTGTCAGCCTTTGATAAACTTAATAATTATCATCTGAAACAATAGGTTCGTACTGTTGTGTACTATTATTTCTCCTCAGCCCCAGTAAATATTAAAAATATGTTCCAACATGAAACCTGTTGATTTTATACAGATCTATTTTTTCCCAGCAAGTGGGACAAATTAAGTCTTTCTCAGTCTTTAATTCACACAGGCAAACACGACAGACCAAATGATCACAGGAGAGTTTAAAAAGTAATTTGGCACTCGTGCATTTGGCGCAATTTTTGTCCAACTTTTTCACTTTAGCATTTTCTAGAAAGGACGGAAGCCCCGAGAGACAAGTTTGTAGCATTTCTTCAAAACTCCTCTTCTTCCCAGAGCACTGACTTGGTCCTGGTGTCGAAACAAGAGGGACAACTTCTGATTTTTTTCCCAACGCCCTAGGAGCATTTTTCAACTCTGGAACGAAAGAGTTTTCTAATAAAAATTTGTCCATTCTTGCCTTCAATGATGTTGCGACAATTGGCCTGCTCGAATCTGAAAAGGCCACCCCGGTGAAAGGGTCGCTCTGTCCCCTTCCATGCTCCTTCTCTGATTCGTAGAACTTTTCAAGTGTCAAAGCATCCACTACTTTACCCGAGGGCAAGGTCATGGGGATTGTCATCAAGTCACATGTTATAGGATCAATGAATTCCTCCGGAATTTCTACTGTCGGAATTGGCTTTGTGTACCTGAACCTTTTCTGGCATGGAGTTTCTTTCTTTTCAGTCTCCACAGTTTTTCTAGGCGGGTCTGAAATATTCTTCCAAATCTGGAGGACCCTTTCGGTATCCTCTTTGGTGGTGATCTTGTTCACAGTACCCCACACATCGAGTCGCTTCAACGAGGGCAATGTCGAGCCGTCAGTCCTAAATATCCGAATAGCGAGCTGCCTGATTTTGTTGAGGTACTTTGAAGACTTAAATGAAAATGAGTCGGCCTTGTCCGACCGACCGTGTATATGAAACTCGACAGCATCGCCCTGAGCAAGACCCGATCCGACAAACACCTCCTCACAGCCGTCTCTCGCAGTGAATACCTCAAAGCCGGATGACTTCTGTTGGCCAACCCTTGAATTGATAATGACCGATTCTATGTTAACATCACAAATAAACTTGAGCCTGATCAGTACGGGTGGTTTGATGAAATGTCCGGCAAGGAAGCCTCTACTCCTTTCCGATGCTTTAAGCGATATCAGATTAGTGACATCATAGTCGTCAGAACAGATCCTGTCACACGCTATTTCAGTCGTGAGGCCTTCATTTGAAAAATTTATCAACATTTTGAACTCTGTTTAAAAAACAGTACATTTAAGTTTACCAATTTGTTATAATTAAGCTTGACATGTCGGATATATTTTGATTATTTACATTAGTAAAAAAAACACACCAATCAAATTAAAATAATTTAACCAATCACAGATATTTATACTTATCGTTTGAAAAAAAAAAAAAATATTGTTCATACAGTACGATAGTTAAAATATAAACCAACTTACAATAAAAAAAATTGACTTTTAACAAACTCGTCCGTGTTATCAGGCTATTGAAGAAGGTAAAAATAAAAATAATATCGAGTCAAAACATCGCTATTTGTATGAAGTATGTATTAAAAAAATAGATTCCATGTAATCAGTAGATAGTAAACAAATGTTAAAAAATTTAGAAGAATAATAAGCATTATTACTTTATAAAAATATGAAACAAATTGTAAAAATATGTTTAAAAAACTGATTTTCTTGTTTAAAACATCGACGTAATAATAATCGATACTTATACTATCAGACTTTGAAATCAGGTTATCAGGCTGTAATCTTTTCAAATGTGTATATACAAATGTAAAACTTATACAGCAACAAAGCAGTTAATTTCAAATTGAATTATTCATTGGCCAGAGGAGGACGGATTCAGTTTTTGATTTTAATATGTAACAGTTGAGAAATCCCGATATGGCAAAAGAGACACCACTCAGTTCGGTTGGATGTTTTTTTAATTCGAACCACTTTTAAAATTACAATGAGGTGATTTGTTAAAAAGGAGAAATGTGGAAATTGAAACTTTTCCCAGGATTTTTCCGGGGCTTGGCTGGAAAATCCGAGCCGCCGAGACGTGTCTGCATTGTTGGAAGTGGCCCAGCTGGTTTCTACTTTGCACAGCACTTGTTCAAAGTGAGTACCTATTTCTATATGTCTCAATTCAGAGCTAGTCGTTCTAGTTCTTTCTTATGCAGATATTTCTTAATTTAAATTTAAAATGTAATTTACACTCGAAAGTTTAAAAAAATGATAAATATGTATATAAATAAATAATGTAAACTCCCAAAAATAATTTTATCCTATTCATTCCTAATCTTACTCTTGTGATAAGTAACAACTTGCATTCCACGTTTCGTAGATTTTGTTATGTTACATATTTAGTCCAAAGGAATATTTTCAGACTCAGAAAAGCTATTTTCTACTTTGTTCCAAGTGACCAGCATCATATCCTCGATCTCACAGTCCACAGATGCACTCAGTTGGATCAACTACATATCTATTCTCATGTTGAACCGTGGGTTAAGACAGACCCAGTAGTGGCTGTGTGCCGGTGTAGTAGTGTGTGAGTTCACCAACTCGCAGACTAAAACCCATCAAGTACTACATATCTGTTCATTTGAAACATTAAATGGAAGCACTCTGTACATATTAATCCTTGCAGTGTGAAGCGTTGTAGTTTATAAATAATAATTTCCAATTGCACAAAAGTTGCTGTTTTTGACAGTCGTATTTCTCAGATTTTAGAGAAAACCTAGTGCACTTCATAAAGGGGATCTCTGTGGTCTTTCTTTGGCAAGTGTCAGCCTGGTGTGGCATATCTGTAGGTGAGTCAATAAGATACTTTCTTTTTTCCCAATTCACCCATGGCCTACTATTTAGCCGACAGTTTTATTTTGTGTAGTTTGTTGGTCAGCGTGGTCCAGCGATTCTGCCAATTTTTCCAACATTAGTTTTTAAAATAATTTTACACATTGCTGGACTCATCAATGTCTCCTGGTCATGTGGCGTTCTTGCTGCTTGACTGGCTTTTTCATTTCCGTTTGTACCAACACGTCCTGGGATTCAAAATATGATTATTTCTTTTCCTAGTACTTTTAATTTTTTTTTTTTTTTTTGATTAGTGGATTAGTGGATATCACAGATGGCTAACATGGCACTGTGTGAGTCAGCACATACAATGAATTCAAGATTGATTCCATGGTATGGCGTATCTGCAGACAAGTCAATAAGATTCTTTCTTTTTTTCCCAATTCACCCATGGCCTACTATTTGACCAACAGTTTTATTTCATGTAGTTTGTTGGTCATGGTGGTCCCAGCGATTCTGCCATTTTTCTAGCATTAGTTTTTAAAATAATTTTTCACATTGCTGGAATCATCAATGTCTCCTGGTCATGTGGTCACATCACCTTCACACAAAACCAATATGACATCACAAGAATAGCACCACACTTAATGCCCTGAAGATGACCTGAATAAAGGTCGGAACGGCAAAAAAATGTTTTTCTAAACTACCTCATTCTTGACTGCTCCTCGCGACTTCAACAAATTATGAAACAACCGATCACTAAGAAACACATTATAGATAAATTCACTATTTTTCGTGGCCCGCTTGACCAATTAATAACATTCAATTTTATCTCAACTTAAAACCTTAATTAATTGAATGTTATAGATAAATATTTCTTTAGGGAATTCTTCTCTGAAGGACATTTTCTGTTTTACTGAATAGTTACTTTGCAATTTTTAATGAAATTATTCTATGAAAAATTGGTTGCCTTTTCAGGGACTGCCTAGTGTTGTAGTCGACATGTATGAAAAATTGCCAGTGCCTTTTGGGCTTGTAAGATATGGTGTCGCCCCGGACCACCCTGAGGTGAAGAATGTCATCAACACTTTTACAAAAGTAGCATCAAACCCAAATTTTCAATTTATCGGCAATACATCAGTCGGTAAAGATATCAGGTTTGACGACCTGACCAGTGCATACCACGCTGTCGTTTTGGTAATATAAATTTATATTGAATTTGTTTCGGTTTGAATAGTTTGATTATTATTTATTCCCTCCTCCTAAGGCATATGGTTGTAGTGAAGACCTGGAGTTGGGGGTGAAAGGAGAAAATTTGGAAAACGTGATCTCAGCAAGGAGATTTGTTGGCTGGTACAATGGACTCCCAGAAGACAAAGATTTGACTGTTGACTTTTCATCGGAAGATGTGGTCATTATTGGCCAAGGAAATGTTGCTATAGACACTGCTCGAATTCTCCTTACACCTGTTGACCTCTTAAAGGTAATGGAATCTTTTTGGTCTAAGTTAGGAACTTAACTTTTTAACATTAATTCTAGAAAACAGATATTACAAGCTATGCACTAGATGCACTTTGTAAAAGCTGTGTTAAGCGTGTTCACTTGGTCGGACGGAGGGGTCCATTACAGGTCGCGTTTACCATAAAAGAATTCAGAGAGATGACAAAATTGCCAAATGTTCAGACTCTATTTAGAAATGAACAATTTGACATTGATGAAGATCTTATAAATGGTGAGTTCATTTAAAAAAAAAAGTCTTGTCATATCTGAGAATTAAATTACTTATAGATTTGCAAAGGCCCCGGAAACGCCTGACAGAGCTGATGATGAAAACGGTGTCAACTGACCAAAATGGGGACAAAACATTTTCCCCTTTATTCCTCAGGAGGCCAGAGGAATTCCTCGGCGATGAAAGGGTCGAAGGGGTCAAATTCGTAATAAACACCATTGATAACAAAACTGTAAAATCCATTTTTTTCCGCCATGTTTATTTATTATGTAATTATTCAAATTAATTTTAAGGGCATCGTAACTCCAACTGATAACTTTGAAAATGTAGAATGCGGCATGGTTTTAAGAAGTATCGGATATAAAGGCATCTGCCCTGATGACGCGATTCCATTTGATCGTAAAACAGGCCAAGCAATTAATAGCTTAGGTAATTCTATTTATAACATAATAATAATTTTTATTGATCTTTCTGAATTTGTATTGTACAGTAAATACAAATTTTCAAAATACAGGTTTTCTGCAGAGTTGACCATAAGTACATACTTTTACACAGTGTGCAAATTACCAACCTCATTCTACACTTTGATCTTACCAAAAAGTTTGAGAATTTTTTACATACTTTGTGTTTTTTTAAGCAAGTTTAGTTGTGCTTAGTGGTGTAAAAAAAAATTTTCTTTACCCAAAAATGTTGTAAAAATGGTGTTAAAAAATTAAAACAACAATAAAAAGTTATCAAATTACCGATAAACTGGGAGAACGGAGGCAGCTTTATGTAACACTGCTCTGACTATTAAAAAACTTTAACATAATTTCTGCACTCCACTCTGCCTGCCACATTTTTTGTTTAAATATTAACTTTTTTCATGTACAACTGTTCAGCACAATAATGCAAACACTATTCTAAAAGCAACGAATAACATAAATTATTAGAAATTATAAAGTTGGGGTTAGTATATTGTTCAACTACTTAAAAGATTCTTAGTCACAATTTGTTGGTTCCAATGATCCAGATTTCAAGCATTAAGCTCTCATCATCAAATTTGTTTGAGTCAGGCATGTGTTCTTTAACTTTCGTTTTAATTTCTCTGTCGCTTTGTCCTATATATTTAATATCGCAATCATTACAGCTTGTAAATCCCACTTTTTGACAAGCAGTCAACTTTGTATTTAGATTTTGAGAGGATGTTTCTTAGTGAACATGCACCTCTAAAAGCTATTCTTAAACTTTCTTGTTTAAGAAGTTTACCTAATTTTTCTGATAGTTCACCAATTTATGGTAAGCAACAAAAACCTAATGATTCATTTTTGGTGGAGTGACTGAGTCTGATTGTTCCTTCTTAAAAGAATTTAAATTTTTGTACTTTTTACTAGCAACCTATCGATAAATATTTCTTGATATTCATTGTTTTTAGCCAAGGTTTTAATTGCTTGTAATTCTTTTTTTATAATTAGGAGGTGTTAATGGGAGTTTCAACAATGGTCTATGAGCTAAATGAATCCAGCAGCAGCTTTGTGAGCTCCTTGGTGAGAAGAATCTGCTGGTATCATAAGTGTCTGTAGTTGTGGGTTTTCTATATATCTCAATTTTAATTAGGTCATTTATTATGTACAGTTTTAAGCCCAAAAAGTTTAAGCAATCATCTTTATTTATTTCCAGTGTAAAATTTATACTAGCATATAAAGAATTAATTGGGGGAATTATTTTATTTCCTCTAGCACCATATACTAAAATAACATTTTCCCTTTCATTTCATAAAATTTATTGTTGAATTTACAATAATTAGATAGTAGGTATATTGTAGCTTACAATTTATGTCATCATGTTTGTAACTCCTTCAACCTGATGATGAGCATTTAATACTTGAAATCCTGTTGAAAACACAAACTATACGAACTATCTTTTACAGTAGTTTAACATAAACTATTATCTTCACATTTCACATTTTAACTTAAAGACTGAAACTAATATCCTTTGTTGAATATTTGGTGCAGAAACCAGCTTTATACTCAGATATATATAATTTTTTTTTTTTTTTTTTTGCTGATTTTTCAACCTTTACTTGGTAAATCTTCAGGGCTTAAAGTGTGGTGCTATTCTTGCTATAGTAGTGTTCTGTGAAATTGTTGTTTTTTCAACTATTTCATACAACATAGTGCCACACACACTTTCGCCCTGAAGATGGCCCAAATAAAGGTTGAAACATTGGCAAAAAATGAAAAAGGTGTTTTTCTAAACTACTCATTCTTGACCACTCCTCACGAATCCAACAAATTATTAAACAACTGGTCACTAAAAAAACACAATTCTGTTTTCTATTTAGATAATTAATACTCCAACATAAAGCTACGTTTTAATCATGTTTTGTTTTTGGTTGTACAGGAGTATACACATCTGGTTGGATAGGTACTGGCCCAACTGGTGTAATTATATCAACAATGAACAACGCCTTCAGTCAGGCGGATGCTCTAATCCAAGATATACAATCAGGAAAACTGGACACGTCAGAGGCCAAGCCAGGATACAATTTCATAAAAACCATCCTAGATGCCAACGGTAATATTTTTAGAATGTCTAATTTACTTTAACAATTTACAATTTAAGCATTGACAAGGCACTCATCACTGTAAGGTAAAGGTCGTCCTGGGTTCGAATACAGGGCAACTGAATTCGAACTGAGGATTTTTACCCACAAATTTTTTTTTTTCTCCAAAAACACCAGCATCCCGAGGGTTGAAATACCCTTGTAATAAAAATTACATTTTTTTTTGTTTTTACACACTTTTTACCAAAGCTAAGTATTTTTCAACGAGAATATCTTTTACCAACTATGAATTACTAAATTAAAAGTGAAAGTAACACCACACAATATTTACAACCTTACAACTGATGGGGTAAGTAACAAAATTCAAAGGATAAGTGTGACTTATACATAAAAAACAGGGGATAAAAACCTCTCGATATGATTTCACTCCTGATTTCTATAAGCTCAAGGCAACACCCAAGGTTTCTCGCTTAGCACCTGGTTCCTTGATGACTCGCATGGTACCAAATTTCTAGATAGTCATTTCATAGTCTCCACATAAAAACATCAAAGCCAGTCACCATAATTGTGTTGATTGTTCATATACGTAAAATATCTGTCAACATTGAATTGAAAAATGCTTTTGGCAGAAAATATGAACAATTGCAGAATGGCCCATCATGCTGGGTCCACAGTATTAACTGTGAGCAAAGTGAAACATTGTGAATTCACATAAACAACTTCGGAAGTATGTGAGTTTTTTTGGGAAACTTACGTATGACCACAAAATCTTTCGAAATCCTTCTATGGCTATTATACAAAAATTACAATTTACATACTAATTAAATAATTACAATAATTATAGACCATGGAAGAGTGTCTATGTGAAGAATTATTAAAAAATAGGAATTAATCAACAAGAAGTTTCACCAAAATATAGCCTGGATTGAACGGTTACTACAACGCTTGCACTCAGTATTTGCAACCTGAAAATATGATATGAGTGGCTGTGACTCAATGTCATGTGAAATAGTGTTCTTCAGCTTATGGGCTTGATTCCTCAAACATTTCATTTGAAAACTTTAAAAAAAATATATATAGCCACTGTATGTATATCTAGGATATACTAGGCGACTGGCGCATGGCCAACTACTGTCCTATGCAGCCAATTACAAATGTTCTAAGATGGTTGTTTTTAAGGATGTATCATGGCACATTGGTGGCTGCAACGGTTTAGGCATTGACACGGCGCTCATCACTGTAAGGTAAAGGTCCAGGGTTCAAATCCGGCGGCCCTATATTCGAACCAGACATACTTACAAATGAGCTTTTTTTTTCAAAATCGCACCCTGAGGGTTCATATAACCTCATAGTTGAAATTAAAAAAAAGGATGTATCACCAGGTAATTCTTCAGGTATCTAGGCACTAGTGAGACACCTCTGATTTGGCCTTAGACTAGCATTCATTGGTGGTCCTAGTCCTGGCACAGCAGATAGGTACTTCCTACATACATTTCTCAGTCAATAACTATTTTGAAATGCTAAACTAGTTTATTTTTGTAAATGTATACTACATTTAGCATGTTTTACTTGCATCAAGGCTGGAAAATTTAAATGGTATTCAAAAAGACATTACATTCATGTTTCAGATGTGGTGACAGTGAGTTTTGAAGGTTGGCAGCGTATAGATAAGGTTGAAGTTGAAAGGGGCGCCAAAGAAGGAAAGCCTAGGGAAAAAATTGTTGATATAGATGAACTGGTAGAAATCGGAGGTGAAAAATCTTAGCATAAATTTAATTTAAGTATTTTACAATATGTTATTTTATAATTATATTTTTACATATAAAAAATGAAAGTTCAGTTCATGTAAATCCTAACCCTTTTTTCCTTTAAATTATCATTTTATATTGAAAAAATTTTTTAAGGTAATTTTTTCAAAATAAAATGATGTGTATAGAATATTTAATTTTTTATATAATTTATAAATTAAAAAAAAAAATAGAATAAATGACTTAAAAAGAAAAGAAATATTCTAAATAAATTTTAAAACAAAGTAATAAAATTTTATTAGGCAAGTAACATTAAAGATCAATGTAATATCACCACATTTGTCTTATGAACTACTTTTAACCTATTGCAATATATCACAGATGGTATAAAAAAATCATTGAATTGATAAACATTCGGCAAGTCTTAAATCTTCGATAGTATCAATTTCTAAACTCTCATTATTAGGAATTTCTACAACACTGGCCCTGAAAAGTATAAAGTTGGTTTATTAAAACGAAATAATACAATTTTAGAATTTGGACCCACTTTCCTCCCTGGAGCACCTCCTGGTCGAAAATTATGTCAGTATATGTGAAGTAAAACATGCCATTTTCATACAGCTCTCCATCCCAGTCTTGTCTCCTTGGACGGTTGTAGGGGTCAAAGTTGTCCGGCTCTATGATGTTGTCTTAAAATAATAAAAAATGAAGCTACTATGAAAACTGAATACTTGATTGTTGGAAAAATTGTTGAAATTTGATTTATGTTCTCCGGGGGTTAGTAATGAAAAATAATTTACTTTCTAAACTTGAAAAAATTAATCTGCAGCACTTTTAGTTTTTACACTTGGAAAATTGAAATAAATTATTTATGTAGATATTGAGTTACAGCTACTTATGTGAAAATAGACAAATCACCTTCAATGCGCCATCTCAGCTTGTGGTCCCGGGTCACTGAAAATACAGAGTGATAACCAACGAGCAATTTATCGTAAGCCTCACGCAAGTGACTAACCCGTAAAAATGGTGATGTGCACTGTATAAGTCCAACAATACCTATTTCTGTAAATTTTGAAAGACAATCAATGTAATTCTTTGGCGGTTTATGCTTCCTGTACCTGAGTGGCTCTGGATGAACTCTTTCACCGCAATTGAAGAACTGGCCTCATCAAGAGTGGTGAAAGGCTTTCTCCAGTGCACGTTTGCCCCATTCTTTTCAGCCTCTTTGGCTATTTCCTCATGGTCTGTCGAAACCCAAACAGAGTCAAATACTGTAAACATAAATAAGCAAAATGTGCTGACCAGTTTGCAGAACTTTCTTCAATTTTAAACCAAATAATATCAAATCTGAATGCTACATTAAACGAAAATCTAAATGTTTATATGAATTTAAGTCAATCCTTTTTCACTGTAACACTTTACAGATCTAGACGGTTGACCACCCTTTTTAAAAATGGCTACGACAACTACTTAGGTTTCTATGAAAGAGAAAAAGAAGAATTCCTATTTGCTCTCTATATTGAGCCAAAAAATAACATCCTTCAATTGTGGGGCATATCGAGCAACCTTTCTCTACCAGACACATTCACCAAAAGTAGTGTCAACCTCGCATGGCCTATCCTTAATCGGGTGAGGATGACCCTTCTATGATTTACATCCTCCGAAGGCTATTCAGCAATTTGTAAAGATGAGAGCGTAATTTTTATTACTGCCTTCATAAGGGTTGCAATTCCTTCAACATAACCCCATGTATTATCTCCAATAAATGAATAATGGAAAAAAAGGCCCTTCTTATATTGATAGGAAATGCCATTAAAATTATTAAGTCCAAAGTGTTCAGCTTTTTAGCATACATTTTTCCTATTTGTCTCAGTGTCTTGCTTTAGATGAGAGCTTTCAGTTTTTAAAATCCTTACTTATGTCTTTTTGAATGAGGGAGATATCTTTGCATAAATAATTAAAATCAACATCTTAAAAAAAAATTTTGTTTAATGGAGTCAATACTGATTTTCCCTTACTGAGTTTTCATGGCTGTCCAATCTGGACACAGGACAACTTTTTCATTTTGTTGATTTAGAATCAGAAGCCTGTATTATATTTTCGACTTTTTCAGCCAATGAGATGAAATGGAGATATTTTATTGGTTTGGGAATTAAAAGTTTTAAAAGATTAAAAATAATAAATAAAATAAGTGAAAGTGAAATCACTTTCTCAAAACTTTATTTTCATTACGGCAGAGAATCCAACATGAACTTTTACGGCCTTTGATTTTCAACACCTTTAGCCAAAATGACGTTATTTTGCTAATTAGCACACTTCAAGTTTTTCTATCAAAATGTCACAATGAAAATCAAATTTTTGGAGAGCTCTGTGGATAATATTTTTTCTTAAATGTAGATTCTTTAATCGCAAAAATTAGGTAACATCGACAGGCCTCTCTTTTCTATATGTTTTCAAGCATAAATGTGTTTCGCATGTACTTACGACCGAAATCGTGGATCGTTCTTATCGTCCTGGCGAGTAAAGTGACGTTATGAATTTTGGCCAGATTTTTAAGTTTTATCCCCTTGCTCCCGCCCCTTGCAAGGATCAGAGCTGAAATGTGAGACTCAAATCTGTAAGATTAAAAATTCTTATTCAAAATAATGTTACGGATAAGATTAAATTAAAAGTGCATTTAAACGTATTACTTTTAATTAACACATAATATAACATAAGTTAAATAAAATTTTAACTCATGCATGGTTATATGTTATGAGCTTGCATATATATATAGTAGTGCTGGTTTGAAAGGATAATTCTACTCACAAACTTGTTTTAAGCAGCAAACCAGATTTCGAGTAATTAAATGCTCATCAGGTTGAAATTTACAAGCACGTTTTTCAACGGATTTATTTTATTATTATTAATATAACATGCTTGTAAGTTTCAACCTGATGATGAGCTTTTAATGCTCTAGATTTGAATTGCTGCTTAAAACAAGTTTTTGCGTAGAAATATTTCAAACCAGTGAATGCGTCTACTCACTCCACCTCAATTATTTCTCTCAATTGTTCTATGTACACTGACAAATTTAATGCACCACATAATTTATTTAGTTTAAATTAAATCTATATCTTTCTATATTAGTTACAGGAAATTAAGAGCTATCATAGCCAAAATAAATGGTAAATAATGCTTTGTTTCCTTTTGTACTGATTAATCCAATTTGCACAAAAAGTAGCATTATGGCCTTCCATTTTGCTTCGCCTAAAGACCGGTTTCAGTTAATCATTTTTCTTCGTTGATTTTATTTGATATTATTCTTATTTTTAAACCTTTTTCAATGGCTCCAGTCAGGAATTTGAGTGTCAGGATCGTAGCGTTATTAGAGCGAAGTCGCCAGAAGACTTGAGAAACAACGGAAGGCCAGGACAGGGTCGACCTAGATCTACATGTGAGAGAGACGATATGTTCATCTGTCAACAGGCTCTACAAAACCACAGCAGTACGGGAAATTGGATAAGAAATCTGATAAGACAAGTCCGAAATGTTTAGATTTCCTTCAGGAATGGAAGAACGCTCAATGAAAATAACCTCAGGGCACAGCACCCAGCTTGTCAACCTCTTCTTACCATTTCAAAGAAATTAGCCAAGATAAGTCCTAAAAGTCAGGATATAATAAATGTAAAAAATAAATTACTAAGTCAACTATATTGAATTTGATGAAATGAGAGCACAATGTAGTTTAGCAAAGCAAATAGTTTTTGTATGGCACAAATTTAATTTGTACTATTGGCTTGTGATTGTACGATTGTATTGGAAATTGGCTTAAATTTTAAAATAGCAATTCTGAAAAGTGTTTTTGACTCAGTTTTGCCTTGGTGCAAAGCACGACCCTTTTGATTCCGAAACCGCCAATGAACTTGATTATCAAACAAAAACCACGAAATATGTTTTTTCTGCACAATAAATTTACAAATTTCATAAACCTTCTGTGCCATAGGAACCCACACTATCAATGAGTGTCTCAGACCGAAAGAAAATAGAAAATGAAAGAACAATGGAATTCACTAATGGACACAGGCAATCCAAGAACAAATTTCGGAAGAAAAGAAATTACAGAATGTGTCAAAGGAAGCAGGAATAAACTGTGAATCCTAATAGGACTGTTAACAGGACACTACAAGTTAAATGGACACTTAAAGAAGATTGGAATAATTCAAGACAGCACGTGCAGATTCTGCAAAGAGGCAGAGGTGACACCAACACATCTACTAACAAACTGCGGTGCTTCATTGGTCCGCAGGAGGAAGTGCTTTGGGGTGTACAATGTGACGACCATAAAAGAGCCTCAACTATTGAAACCAGGCCTATTAATCAAGTTCTTTGATGAAATAGGGCTCACCAGTGTGCTTTAATCAAGGGCGCAGTACATTACACCCCGACTATTACATCTACATCTACAAATTTCATGGCATTAGTATTACGGGAACAAGGTAAAAAATTCTTTGTCACCACTACATATGGTTTTTTGAAGAAACGACATAGTACATTATCTATTTTATATAACAAACACAAAAATTAAACAAAAAAAGTTGATTTATATTCTTTTGGGTTTAGACAATATTAGAAGATTGAGTATGCAATTAGTTGTGTCTGAACCTTGAAACAATCGACGTCGTATTGTTTTCTCTCCTCTGAAGGATTAACCCAACTGTCTAATATAAAAGTATTTTTCTCTTAGTGAGTACCCATTTCTATTTAATGCGTAAAATTTGTCCATTAGTGTAATAAATACTTACGGATTGAGATGTGAATATCTAACAAAAGTAATGGTCCTTTTAATAAGGTATACGGAAAATAAAGTTAGAAGTATAGAAAGGAGGAGAGTGTTTCTCATTTTACAATTACAATCTTAAATTCATTTTACTCAACAGAAATACATAGGGTGGGACTTTTTATTACACTTGTATAGCCTCAACAGAAACCTCTACCCCACCTTACAACTCGGACCAAAAATCAATACTATCATTTACCCAATAAGGCCATTAAAAAGAAGCCAAACAATTTGTTTTAATTAACTTTATTTTACTGTGACGTTTCAGCACTGTGCTACCCTAAATGAAGTTTATTTCTGTCAAGTTTATTAAATTAATTTAAGTTTATATAAATTAAATCAATAAAAAATAAAATAAAAACCATTCATATAACAAATCATAGTCAGCCATGTTACTAGTGTAAATTTGTTTTTAAGTTTTAAATTGATATCGTTTTTCTAAGTTCCTTAAGTTCCAGAAATATACTGCATAGAGGATGGCACAGGTTGCTGAAATGTAATAAAATAGTTTAAGCATAAGTTTTCTATTTAAACACACCTATAAAATGGATTTAAAAAGCCACAACTGCCACTGGAAGAAAACGGGAAAAATTATTCACTTTATTTTGTTTACAAGCAATACTTAGATAATAAAGGTTAGAAAACAAAAAGAAAAACAGTTTATTACAAAAGATTTATTAATATATTAATTATTTACAAAAAATTGTTTCGTATGAAAGTTACAAAAAAGTTTTAAAAATGACAATGCATATAAAAATATTCAACTCTCAATGTGAGATTACAATAAACCATAAGAAATTAATGTATTATTCAGTGGATGTGCAACCATGCATCCGAAATAAGTATAAAAATTCATTTTCTGAGAAATTAGTAAACAAATGTTAAGTTAAATGTAATAATTTCAAACAGCCAAAGTCAGTCGTTCTCACAGCAAGGTTATGCATTATAAAAGTGTTTTTTTTTTTTAAATAATAATTTCCTGAGAATTATTTCTTAAATATTAAGTTAAAATTTTTGTAAATGATGGTTACACTCACAGATTAACTCTGTGAGTAGAATCATCATCATAAAAGTAAATCTACATTCACCTCACCTTCATCATTTCTATATATTAAGTTAATTGTTATAAAAATGAGACAAAGTTACAAATCTAAATCTTTTACCTTTCAGGGTTATGTGTTATAAGAGTAAAAAAAATTAATTTCCCAAGAATTATTTCTTAAATAAATATTAAATGTTACTTTAAAAAATTAGTGTTTCAATATGCTTCCCTCTTGTTTTAAAAATATTTGAGTTGTCTGCTAAGTTACTTCAATTTCAAGAATTCAGTAAAGCATTATGGCTCCGTTGGACTTCTCCTCGATTACTGGTTTTGAAGTTTTCTTTTTCTGTCTCATCTCACTTGTCGCCATGTAAATCAACACTATGTTCAAAAGTTGGACCAGGATTGAGACAACAAGAAGCCTGAAAAGAGAAAGAACTATGTGTTTTAAATTGGTAAAGTTGCCTTTTTTTTCAATGGCGTTATGAACTTTGCATATTAGCCAAGATATGAACATGAAAAAAGGGCCTGGGGCGACAGTGGGAATCGAACCCACAACCGCGGTCCCCTAAAGTTGTCATGTGAACAATTTGAAACAGTGAATACTCTCTGGTTTGGACTTCAATTGCATCTTGATGTGTCATTAACTTCAGGATAAGATTTATTTGTTAATTTATCAAATTATCAAAAAAAAAACACTTAAGATAGCAAAGTAGAGGAACTCAGGCTAGGATGACACCAAACTACATGTTTATCATTTCACTACTGTATTATTGGTAATGTCTAATTAAATTTTTCTTTTTAAGTTCCACAGTTAAACATTAATTCTTAACATTAACGTATATTAAGAGACTAGTCAATCAAACCATTTTGTTCATAAAAAATTACATAATTTTAGAAGTAAATCTGTATGAAGTTGGTTAAATAATGAGAGATGTCTTAAATTTTAAAAAGTTCACAACATATAAATAATTCTACATCAGACTGTCCATGATCTCTTAAGTGTTCTGAGAGAAACCGTCTGCTGATTCTTAAAAAGAGTACATTCCAGAAAACCAGCATATGAGGTAGAAGTTTCACATGGTAGTGTACAAAAATTAAATTTGAGTTGAAAAAATGTGACATGGGTGTAATTCGAACCCATATTGTTCAGATTGTATACTCTCAAACATTCTGGCCCTGAGAGTCCATCAGTACATCTCAACCTTCCATTATCTTTGATAATTTTGTTTAATACGTGCAAATGTTTTTTAAAGATTGCAATGTTATATGGCTGGTCATATGAACCATGTAAAGCAAAGTAGCAAAAATATTTCAGTACGAGTATGAATATGGCTGAAGCGGGGTTGCCTATACATAGATTGTCTAAAAGCAGGTTTGTAATCAGTAGGTGATAAATTCAAAACTAAGTGAATCTGTTGATCGGGGAGGGGAGATAAAAAATGAAATTAGAATAAAAACCGAATGAACTATAAATTCTAACTTTAGCCCTCATCCTTGTTCTTATAAAATAAGAGAAGTTTATTAAAAACAAATCCAATACCCCCTCTTTTGAATTTTTTAAAATGAAATAAAAATGTATTTGCTATAATTTATACATGCTGTTGAATAATAAATAAATAATTGCAATTTTTGTAATTTTATATTAAAGATTTTTAATAATATATTTATACAGCTTACCAATACGACAAACCAAAAGTTGCCATTCCTTCAGTAGTCCACCCTTTGTTATCCGTGCCCATTACGCTATAAATGAGCTTGCTGTAATAAACGATTGCCCAGAGACCAGCGGCTCCAATTTGAAAGAGAACTGGAAAAATGAAATAAAATAAAAATATTGACATTTTTAGAGTAAAGCATCAACAACTTACTTGAAACTATGTTCACCAGGTACAGGCCAGGGATTCCAATTAGCGTCAGGATCGGAGTAGTAGCACTGTTAATGACTGCAAGCACTGCCGAGTAGACTGAGAATACTATCCCGGCGCATATGCATATCACAGTGCCGACCCAAAAAGTGAAGGTGTTCAAACTTTTCATCTCTTCAATAACTGAGAAACCAAAAATAATGACAAGAGGCGGTGAGTTTTTTAAACATTTATTTCATTTTTTTAAATTAAATCATTTAAACATTAGTCAACAAAAAATCTTGCATTGAAATTATAAACATCGTATAACTAATTGATTTAAATTCAAAAGAGTTTAACATTTTTATACTGTGCATTATATTCAGTGGAAACCCGTTTATCCAGATTTTCTGGATCCATTTGTTAAAATATTTTTTTATAAATTTTTCATATTTCTCAATGCATGTTATTAATTTTTTAAAATTCATAATTCATCTATGGGACTTTTAATTCGTCGTTCGAAATTCGTAAAGGCCACCAAATCAAGGCCCTTCCACTAGTCACATGATCAGAGGTCGGAGAGGCCAAAAGTCACGTTTTTGTTAAAAATAAATAAATAAATATCCTATTTTAAAAGACTAGAAATTGTTATCGTGTTGTTCGTATGTTGGCTTCCAGTGAAAAGGTTTGTTTTTTATTACATATATTTTTATTAGGTATTTTGTATGTTTAAATTTTTCGAGAAACGTGTGTCCGAACTTAAACAAAAATAAAACTAATAAACATTATCTATTACTTTAAATGTAACTTGATATATGAATAAAAGTGTTCACTTTCGTATATATTTTTTCCGTTTTTATGACACAATACTAATAAAATCACAAATTTTTGGATTATACGGACTTTCCATCATCCGGACAAGCCCTGGTCCTTTCAAGTCCGGATAAACGGATTTCTACTGTATTGATTATAAAAGACTTTAACAAATATTAAACTTGTACATCTTAATAAAAGGCCAGAGTATATTTACAAATGATGAAGATGGGGGTAAGTATTCACCTTTTTAACAGATAGTTCTTACTCACAGTTTGCTGTTTTCAACTAAACTTTTGTTTCAAACAACAAAATGTAAGTAAAAACTATCAGAGTATATGTTGTTTCATTTCTTTTATAAGGACAATTGTCCATTTGCATATAAATAAATCATAAATCTTGCACTCCGATTGATGTTCAAGAAAGGGAAAAAGGAACATTTTCAAGAATTAGAGTATGTGGAAGAAAACATGATTGCCAAGTAGCCCCGATAATTAAGAGTCAGTAATTTATTGGGTAGAACGTGAACGGGATAACAAGTTTGGGCAGAGCTAATCAAGAAAGGGTTGTCGTACATTTGAGCACACGGCATCCATTAACAATAGGAATTGTGGTGTACCACATGTTAGCTCAACAACCTTAGGGGATGATGAAAATCTTTTCCCGGCACACATATGCACCAGTTCACAGAAATTGCCTCCATCCTCGGGACCAATATAAAAGTGTAGGATATGCAAATCAAGACAGACTCGACCCAGAAGACACAGAAAAGTCATTATCAAGGAGAAACTGATCACGAATCTCAGGAAGTGTTGTTGAGACACATTCAAGAGGAGTGTTGTGTGAAGACTGACAAATATGTGGCAGAAAGGCAGAGGAAAAGAAAAATTCCAGACGAAACATAGGAATGTTTATTACTAAAGGCGGGTCCAGACGGGTGTAACGTGTAATGTGGATTATGTGTAATTTAGAGTGAACAGTGTGGACGGCAAACGAACTCAACGCGAATCATGTAACGCGAATCTTGAAGAGGGGGCTGTTCCACTCAGTTGCTACGAACATGGTATAAACCAATAAGTTCAAGCGACTGTTCGTCACTCCACATCATGAACGTCCACACTACACAACTGCCACGAACGCCGTCCAAACGAGAACTGCGAGCGCCTTTGTGTTCGCACAAAAAACCGACACCCCGATGGATCCGGTCGAACGGTTGGGCGAGCGTTACATGTAATGCTCGTAGTAGCGTCCACACAAAGAATTTGCCTTGCATTACGCGTTACGTTACGTGTTACATTACACTCGTCTGGACCCGGCTTAAGATATTGAAGAATGTGAATCCGGTCTTCAGTGAGTTTGCACAACGCTCATAAATTCTCTAGTGTTTTTGTTGCAACCAATGTAACTATCATTATAAACCTGTAATACTGTTTATAATTAATTAGATTAATTTTAAATATTAAGTTGGTCCAGACGAGTGTGACAATAAAGGTGTGTGTATTTTATACGAATCTCTCTGCTCTTTGTTCAGATGCTGTATTTAGCAAAGGGATAGTTTCCATACTGTTTACAAAAGCTCTAGATTTCGTGGTCCGATTGACCAAACAACATCTTTTAATTAATTAATTGTTATGTAAGGTATTGGTTGAGATAAAAAAAGTCAGCGTTACGAGCGGGATTCTCGAATCCACGACCTTCGGCTAAATATGCCATTGCTCTACCACTTGAGCTATCATGACTCCGATCCACTCGGACTTCTTTTATATCAACCAATACCTTACATAATGATTAATTAATTAAAAGGTTTGGTCAATTGGACCACGAAATCTAGTGAATTTAACAAGTTAAATGAAGTATATCTTCACTTAAGTTCTCCATGGCTACTTCATTTGTTGCAAGAATCGAATAGATTACACGACATTTGAAAAATGGCAAAAAGGAGGGAAAATTGGTAAGGTTGGGTTGAGATGGGAAGTTGTTGTCCGAGTGGATCGAAGTCATGATAGCTCAAGTGGTAGAGCAGCAGCATATTTAGCTGAAGATCGTGGGTTCGAATCCCGCTCATGACGCTGACTTTTTTATCTCAACCAATACCTTACATAATGATTAATTAATTGAAAACTGTTTACAAACTCTAAATTAAAATGAAATTTTGGTTCTTTCTCTGAGAAGTATTTAACATGTAAATAAAGTGTAAGAGATTTTTTTAAAAATAAGTAGTTAAAAGCTTATTATTTCACATGCAATCAAAACAAAATATTTTCATGATCTCATAACATTAGTAAATTAATAAAAATATGGGCAGATTTAATATCAAATCAACTCTATCTCCCTTTTTCTTTTACACTCTAATATTTCATGACAATTAAATGCAGATAAGGGAAAGAAAATGAAATCATATGAATACATGAAAAATATGAATTAAGTTAAATTAGATCCATTGTATTGTACCCGTGAGACAATAAGCAGGCCAATAGAAGTGAAAATTATCCATTGAATGAAAGATGTACCATGTAAACTTTCTATATGAAGGTCTCAAACAATTAGTCCAACTTTCTTCTGTATGCTCCAAATTATTGTTCTATTGTCTAGTTTAGTAGCAAGGTGTTAATATTCATTTTGTTTATTCCTCAGTGTTGTTAATGAATGCTAATAGGATTTTCTTTTATTCATAACAAGGTTCAAACCACAGCATTGCCTCTTTTCAAAAAATACAAAACTGCTTATTGTAGAGTAAAGGTTAAACCCAAGGTATTGACATTTATGAGTTGGCACTATTTTATTTATTTTAAATTAAACGTAAAAAATATTTGCTAAAATGTAATGACTTAATAAAAATTGTTGAACGTTTGGAATAGATAATTATTAAGAGAAAATTAAAGAAGGTTTTGTCTTGAGACCTCCTTACCCCTTAATTCCTCACACTGAGAGGAAATCATTAAACTTAATTAATTAAATAAATAAGCACTGGAAGATATGTACCTGGTTTATATAATCATGGGGGCTCAGTTCAGTCTGGATGCTGACTTATATTTATATTTAACATAAACTGTGTGGCACGAACAGAAGACCACACTAATTCACAATATATGCCCCAATATAAATTAGAGATGTGGTTGCTGATTGGTAGAAATTGATGAAAAGTAAAAAAGAAACATTTGAGACTTTTCTATCATTATGAAGATGGACTAATCTGATAAATGTTGGGAATAAAGCAGCATACTAACATAAAAGAATATCTTGTAAGCATGCCGTGGCCATAATCAAGGAAATTGATGTACCAACTCAATAGTGGAAGGATCCCAGATACAAAATTCAGCAGCCTCTAATACATTTTGAACTTTTATTTTATTGATTTATCATAATTTAAATTTAAAAAATGGGATAATTATAAGCACAATAAAAAAATTCTTGAAGTTTATCACAATGCAAGTTATTCTTAAATGATTAATCTTCATTTTGTCATATTATTTGCAAATTAATGGAAGTTACATCTGTCAAATGCTTTTTGGAAATTTGTTTTCAATCGGTTGGCTCAGATAAGATAAGAGGGCAGCAAGCATAGGCAGAACACGATCATATCTCAGACATCATCGCAATAATGCTCAATTTATGATTTCACTTTATTGATAAACAAAATTGTTTTAACTAAAGGTGGTAATTTAAAACCTATGCACACAAAGGGCTAAAAAAACCCTATCCACCTTCCTTACAAGTTTTTAGCATCAGTCGGTACTTTCTTGAGAAGATAATTTGAAGATCGTGGAATGCGGTCTGGTGTGACGTAGGTTTTAGAAAAAAATTTTTCTTTATCGTACCAATGTTTCGATCTTTATTGAGACCATCTTCAGAAAGATAGAAACATTGGCACGATAAAGAAAATGTTTTTCTAAAACCACACCATGCAGACAGGTCTCACCATCTTCAAATAATCATTAACTAATGGTCACTAAACACCACACATTTCTTGAGAAAGTCAGGATTCCTTAATTCTCTATGTGTTATATAATAAAGTTGTTTTTATTGTCCTTGAATTCTTCTCATTTGCAATTCTTACGATAATAATTCATCTGTAGAATGATGTCTAATATAACACTTCTTCAAATGTTCCAAGTTTGGCAGATTAAAAAAACAACAAATTGGCTCGATTTTTTTGGGGGGTTGAGGTCTTGAAGAAAACGACAGAAAAACATCGAACTGTTTCAAAATAAAAATTCCTAATGAAGGCTGAAAATTGGCCAAAAGCTCAAATGAAAATTTAAACAGAAATGTTGTTTTTTACTTCAAGGCCTCAACCCCAATAAACATCATTTTGTATCTTTGAAGGCCAATACACTCTTCACAACAATATAAATGTCCATTTATTGTGCCCCACCTATTTTGGACAAATTTGTTTGTCCGTTTTTCTTATTTTTAAGTTT